GCGGATGTGCTCTGAAAGCCACCTTCCGGCGGCCGACGGCAGCATTGTCACTGACTGCAGTTTCCTGTTTTTAAACTCATGGTCGCTCTTCCTTCTGGTCTGTCCTATGCACCACAACACAAGTCACCTTTGTTTGTCTCAGGATCCGGTGTGGTGTTTGAGAAAGAGCGGCTCTAAACCAGTCCGCCCTGTTCAGACCGGCTCCCCTGGGCTCAAACAGGAAGTATTCACAGGATTTCCTCCCCACTTGAAACAGGACACCTCTGCTAGACCTGCACTATTTGCTCAGCCATCTCCTACATCTCATTTACAGGTTTTGGTGAAAACTTATTGTTACAATTACCTGAATGGGATAGTGTTTAAAACAAGTGAAACTGTGTTCAAGAACAAATTAACATATGTTTAAGTTGACGCCCATGATCTTGAATAACTCATTATCTACACAAACTACTAAATATGCCATGTAAATAGCATCTGCAACTGTATGTCTACAGTATACTGCATTATTGTTATGTTTCCTTTGCCTCCACTTACATGTGCAGTTTGTTGAGTTCTCACCTGGAAAAGGGAGCTGTGCCCCTGTAGGCGGGCCGGGCTAAGGGGGGCCACAGGGCTCAGGCTGCTCCAGAAGTGGATCCCGGACAGGAGCGGACTATGGGCCAGCAGCAGGCCTGAGGGGGTCTGCACGCAGGACAGAGGGGGTTGTAAATAAGACAAGATTCAAACACAAACACTCAGACCCTCAGACCGGTCAGTGCTCTGGGCCCTTGTTAATGTGAAACATGCTGTAGTTGTAAATGGACGTGTATTGGCGTTTGGAAAAACAAACTGCTGCAGCAGGAAGGAAGTCTGTGGTTTCTCCCTGAAATCCAGGGGTGACGCGGGGAGGAGCGGGCGGAGGGGGCTGTTGTTGATTGGGGGTGGAGGGCGCTCGAGCGTTTGGACGTGAAGAGAAAACATATGAAATCAATTTCTCCTCTCTCCTGTCCCTCCCCCACTTTCCCCTGTGTCACCTCAGAGAAGTGAGCCAGTGTTGCGCTGGGACCAGCCCTGCTCTCATTATTAATGGAATTATTGGAGCATATGGCATCACTTAGGGCCTCTTCCCCTCTCGTAGATCGGACTCACACACAATTTCTGTAAATCCCTTGTTTTTCTCTGATCTTACTCTTCTGTTACAAACAGTGAGTGCACTTTTTTTGGGTTTGTGGACAGACTCCAGTGGCACAGGCATTTAACCAGTCCCCAACACATGATGAGGTTATATCTGCAGTTATGTAACATTACAATGGTCTTAACCCACGGCAGTTACCTGAACCATTTTCATAATCTGACAAAAATAAGCCTGCAGTATACACCATAGAAAACAGAAATATAAATACTTAACTGTCACAGATTTTGGACGATGCTCAATGTTCACCACCTCCCTGACCTAGTTTGAACCTAAAAACCTACTGACTTTTAACTTTTATACGGACTCTGAAAGAATGGAAATGACAACAGCATAATGGGGCTGTGCCTCTGTTACTATTTCCATAGAATTTCTATTATTGAGTAAAATGGGAACAACTCAGTAGCATTCATGTTGTGGCTTGTCTGAATGGAGACTAGAAAAGCAGGGTTTAAAATCTGCTGACTTCAGCAGCATGATTTAAAGGATTTGCCACTGTTTATGCGGTAGAGAAAATGCTACCCCTTCAACTCATCCCAGTGTCTGTCATGTGCCCAGAGCAGAGAGGAGACTCACCTGTGCAGTGAAGAAGGCTGGAGTGAGCGAGCCGGAGGGCAGGGCGGGGCTGTTGAGGGCGATGGAGCCAATGTCACTTCCTGCCAGCATTAGGGGCGGGGCAGAGATGTCCAGCGCTTTGGGCTTTTTGTTTTTTGGGGGGAGTCCATCTCCTGAGCTACTATTGTTCCTCCTCTTGTCAGGGGTTCGCTGTGCCCGCTCCCTGTGTCCTGCTGACAGGTTGAGTGGCTGGGCACTGTCTAAGTCCTCCTCCTCTCGTACTGGGCTCCAGCTGTGAGGGGACTGAGGGGAATGGGACAGGGGTCTTGGGGACACATAGGACTCAGGTTTCGATGTTGGAGGCGGACTCCTGTCATTGTTTCCAAAGCGGATGACGGAGCGTGGCTCATCCTGTCTTTCCCTCAGCTTCTGCAGAGAACTGAGGCTGAAGGAGGAGTACAGGCCTGAGTGCAGGTAGTCAGTACGACACTGCTGTTGTCCCAGCACCCCCAAGGCCTTCCTCTGCACCTCCTCCCCCTCCTCTTCCTCCTCCTCCTCCAACTCCAGCTCTGCTGCCTCTGCATCCTGCAGCGGGACCCTGCCCAGCTCCATGGACTGAGGGTCCATCTTCAGGATTTCAGGGAAAGACACAAACTTGTACACAAACTTCTGCCCAATCACTTTCTTGATGATGTTCTGAAACAGAGTTAATTATTGTGATTAGAGGATAAAGAGACTTATTACTGAAACTGAAACTCTAGTGTTTCTCTCCACCTAAATTTTACCACTATAATAAAATACTCATTTACTCATTGCAGTGTGCAATACACAGGAAAGCAGAAGTGGATGTGACTCTTAACCACAGAAGGCCCACAGACCATCCACACACCCCCTCTCACCTTGTCATAGTAGTAGCGCAGGGCTCGGCTCAACTTATCGTAGTTCATGTTAGTTTTGTTTTTGCGAAGACCCCACAGTTTGGCAACTTCCTCAGATTTTAGGAGTTTGAACTCTCCATCTGTGGACGTCCAGCAGATCAGGTGTTTGTGACTCTGGTCCAGCAACAGCTGCAGTAGGAACTGCCACAGGGTGATGGCACTGTCCATGTCTGAAAAACATGTCCTGGAGGTTAGAGGGGACACTATAAACTATATATCTATAACATGTACAATACAAATCAATGCAGTCCCCTCCTGGAAATGGGAACATGTCTTCATCTACAATGTAGATATGAATCATAAAGCCTTGTTTATACTGAATTTCCTCCTCATAATGGATTTGTTACAGATTCTAAAACAATCTCTAGTACATTCAGTTTTAATGTTGCTTTTTAGTTTGTGGACCAAAAAAAACATTTATTTGGGATTGAACATGTGGTGTAAGGAAGTCTGCTGGCGATGAATAGACGGGTGTGTTATAAGCCTAAAGTGGTTGTAAAGAAGCAGTAGCAGCAAAAAAAAATGACACATATAAGGAGGAACAACAGCTCCAGCCAAAAGTATGCTGCGGTCCAACCTGGCCCTCTGCACAGGAAGCATGACGGGCCCAGGGTGGGTTAGTCCTTTAATAGAGGAATGTGCAGCCGCTGAGCTCCTGTCTGCTCCTCACAGATCCTATATTCACTGTCATCAAGAAATCAAATGTTTTTGCCTCGCTCAAACAATCAACAAATACTCTCTGGTTTTATTTAATATATGGAAATATTAGATAAATATTGCTTTGCTTTCTCTATCATTTATTGACTGCTTGTATTTACAAAGTCCACCGTCTGTTTGTGATTTTCTTTTAAATCAGTTAGTTAGATACTTTATTGATCCCAAGGGAAACTAACTATCAACTATCAATACAAGTTCATTTGAATAGGGCACAACTGGAGCCTCAGGAAATCACAGGGCCATAACCTCTTTGAGGTTCAGGTTCTGGGAGGAAGGTCATTTGTATGATCCTGTGTGTAAACAGCAGTGCCCTTCTTACTAGAGCTGTTTTATTATTAGTTTGTTAGTATGTTGATCAAAGTAAATCATTCACATAGGCTCATACTTTGGGCAGTGCAGTAATTATAATATATGCTCTTAGGTCATAGCATCAGTTCTGATTTCTTATTAACCAATTTGAATGAATTATTACACTGTTCTGCTCTCTTGATTATTACTGGTGCTTAATAGCAGCACATTAAAATTGTACTTCACAGTTAACAACTGTTTTTTTCAGCACTTTAAACAACAGAAAATATTCTAACAGTAGTCTACCCGGGCAGGCAGATCGGTTGCCCCAACTGAAAGTGTTATCAGTGGAAGTGGGACTTAAAACAATGATGATAGCACTGAGGTGATTTAGCCCGTGTCCAACAGACAGAGAAATACCGGGTTTGAACTCTTTTCCGCCACAAAGCATCCCCAGAGTTTTCTATCTGCCATGTGAAACTACAAACCTGTCAGAGCCAGGACTTCCTCCTATTCTACTTCCAAGGACAAATGGCAGAGAGGGGATCCCACAGCAGGGGAGCATTTCCCTGCCATGGCCACACTTCCCATCAAAGTCCCAAAAGACAGGGTCAAAAGATTGGATCATTGTCCCCCATCCCTGGCTCCACCCTTCAACCCAGAATATGAGATGGGGAATGTAAAATATAGGTGACAAACTGTCAACACAATTAAGAGAAGAAGACAGAAGAAGACCCTCTTATCTATAGATCTCAGAAGTCTTTCTTCCCATCGGTGTCACCTTTATCTCAGTGTGTTTCTATTTCTGAAACTGGTATATTTATTGAGATGCAGAATGGCGTTGTACATAGAGGAGATTCCCCTAAATCATGCATTTATGATGTGACTGAAAGACAGGTTGTCATGTACACACTTGATATACATATTCATAATATGCAATAAGAAAACAATAACAATATTCCACTGAACCTTTTAAAGTGCAAAGAAACATCATCACGAATGAACTGACACATGCACTTTTGAAAAGAAAACTAGCCTAGATATTTGACAAGATGCAGCAGGGGCCCTTAAGCCTCAAAAACATACTGTAGACTTAATTACTAAAAGACGTTACTAAATTAAGCTACCAAAGGCATTTAATCTTGAAGCTGTAAACGTTAACCCGAGAGCAGACAAGACAAATGGAGGTACGCGGTCCACCGCATAAAATAAACGCCGTGCCATTGTCACGGTGAGAGATGCTCATGTGGTGTTAAATGTTTCTAGGAATATCACAGGGACATTGTGCAGTTTGGATCGGGGATGAGGAGACTCGCTGTGTGCACAAAGACATCCAGTGTGTTGGCTGAACGGAAACTCCTAATGAGATTAGATGGTGTGTGCAGACATTACTTAGCCATGACTAAATCTGCTCTCTTCCTGTTCGCAGACGGTGGAAAATTCAGCAGTGGTCAAAAAGAAAAGCATCCATAAACACAGGCTCTAGGCAGACGCGGCTTTGCAACACTATTTCTCATAAATGTGTTTCTTTTGGAGTTTGTTGTGCGTTTCCGGAGTTTAAAGTTGCAATAACTTTGACGCACGCAAGTCTGAATCACTGCTCTGCCCCACTGACTCATTTTCAAGATGTTGCTCGGACCGGAAGAGCGTTCAGTTGTGGTCCGAGTAGAAAAAAGCGCAGTTAACGTACAGAAAACATAATAAATTCGCAAGTAGTCCAACACACGGCGAAACCTTAAGCGACCACTCCAGGCTATACGATAGTAATAACAATAGCGGCAGGTAGTAATATCGCATTAACTTTGTAGCGACCATCACGTATCAAAACAATATCGCACTCAAACGATGACACTTTGTCGTACTTTACCTGCGGTCTCTCACTTGGTCCGGTCACTGCTCGAAACTTTACGGCGTCGCTGGAGAGTTTCCTTGTTTTTCCATGCTTTCTGCTGGAGCCCTCGTCTACACAGTTGTGCTGGACTGAAATAGGATCCTGTGCTTTTTCTTTTTCTGAGCAGGAAGTTGGAGCACGCAGACACAGAGCCGGCTGACTTCCTCTCCCCGACGATTCCCCAGGCAGTTTGCCGTCTGTGTAAACAGACTTTTCCTCCCTCCTCTCGCGCTGACGGCCCGCAGCAGGCCTACGCGCTGTCGACTGCACACATGCTCGCACTCAGCGCACTCCGCGCACTCTGCGCTGCGGCGCTTTCACTGACATCACCAGTCCGCAGGCTACTGCTGCGAGGCGTTCACGTGCTGCTCGTTACTCAAACCACTTTCAAACCCTCTGTGACTGCCTGCCCAGGATTAGAGCTCATTCATCCATTTGAACTTTCCTCATATGGACTAGGGTCGGCTGGTAGGCCTAAATTATTGAACCGCCTGTTAAACCTCAAGCAAAGAATAAAGTTATTTTTGACAATCTACAGGACAAAGTTTTTGGGTTGCCAAAAACTAAGTACAAGTCAATAAAGTCTATAAGCCTATCTCTCCCACCCGCATCACGTAACGGCATTTGTTGACCACACAGCCCAACCTGCACAGGTCAGTGGTCCACAGAGGTGTGGCCGCAGATCGCTGAGTTGATTGGTTGAACATTTTTACGCTTTGTGGTGGTACCTTGGAGAGCGGTGCGCTGCGCCCATTATTGCTGATGCACAGGCGCGCTATGCCTCGGTTTACGGTTCACGTACGGGACGAGTGGTTGGCCATACCGTGCCGAGACACCAAAAATACAATCCAGTGGCTGGGACTCGAAGCCCTAAAACGATACATCAAGAACAAACCCGACAATGGCGGCATCACGTCTGTAAAAGACACGCATTTTGTTGTGCGCCGGTGTCAAGGATTGGGACTTTTGGACGCGGACGACACAATTGAAGATGTTCTGGAAGACAATGATTTTGTCGAGCTCGGTAATGACTGAATACAAAAAAAAAGGAAACCAGCAACAAGTTCAGCAGAGATTTAGGCTGCGTAAATGTGCGTGCTCGTGGTGCTATGGTAATAAGTTAACCTTTTGTCTTGTTTCAGCTATAGAAGGGGACACTATGTCTCCTGACTTTATACCCTGCCAGCCTGGAGTGTCCGATATGTATCCTTCAGCTTTTAATATGTTTTCCCCAATTTTATTGACATGCTAAATAATAGTAGACTAACAGGCCTAGGCCTTTATGAAATATTTAACAAACTGATGTGATCGATACGCCTATGAATTGGCGCAGTTGTTTTTTAATCCTTAATAACATTTTCTAAAACAGTACAGCAGCATACAGAGAGCCTGATGAGGTATGAGTGATATAAATTGTGATTAAATTAGCCTATTTATGACATATCATTATGGACCTCTTCTGTTTTCACAGTCCATTCTTCTTGATGGCAACAGCCTTACATCAACTGATCTGGTCAATTTAGGCCGAGGTTTTTACAAGATAAAGGTAACCATAAGTACGGGTTTAGGGCTCACAAAATCTGTGTTAATCGTTGATTTTACTAATATTTCAGCTGACTTCAGAGGCAGAGCTCAAAGTGGTGCAAGCCAGAGAGCTTTTGGACACCATTGTCAAGGAAAACAAAGGTGAGTTGTTTATTAAATATATCTTAAACAGTGATTTACTATTGCATTCACTGTATTGTGGTTCTCCTCTGCTTTTCACAGTTGTCTATGGAATTACTACAGGCTTTGGCAAATTCGCTCGCACTGTCATTCCTGTCAGCAAACTCAAGTAATGATTTGGAGCAGAGTTTCCAGGGTCTATGTTCAGTTTATCCAGGGTCTGGGGTCTAGGGTCAGTTTGTTCAGATGATTGAATACATTTTGCTTCACAGGGAGCTACAGGAAAACCTGGTGCGCTCTCATTCTGCAGGTAAAACATGTTTTAGTAACATTCCGGTCACTATCTGCTACAGAGGCTGTAATATTTACTACTGTGTGGATCTTTAGGAGTGGGGAATCCTTTGAGCCCCGAGAGGACCCGCATGCTGCTGGCTCTTAGGATCAATGTCCTGGCAAAAGGGCACAGTGGGATCTCTTTAGAAACTCTACATGCCATGATCCAGGCCTTTAATGGTATGGCTGTTAATGCAGAAAACTAGACTACAACTATCAGGAAATCACAGTAAACAGCATTTTAAATGTATCCTGCAGCGTCCTGTCTGTCCTTCGTACCAGAGAAGGGGACAGTGGGAGCTAGTGGAGACCTGGCCCCTCTCTCTCACCTGGCACTGGGATTGATGGGAGAGGGAAAGATGTGGTCACCAAAGAGTGGTTGGGCCGATGCCAAATACGTATGATACTTTTTGCTGTCTTCAATTCAACGTTTTGTTTTGTAGGAAGTGCCTTTTGTTTGAGAGTGAAAGGTTTCAGTTGTGAAACATGTTTGCCTTTTGATGACCATTGACCTTTCACATGTTTTGCCCTCTTTCATCTCTGGACAGGTCTTAGAGGCCCATGGACTCAAACCAATATCACTGAAGCCAAAAGAGGTAATGTCTAAAGCAATACAGACAAACACACTGAAAGAATGCTTAATAATAATAAAAATTACACTTAATAATGCACTCTTCAGGCTTGTCAAAGCTCTGCAATGTAGTCAGTGTTCATGCACTCCATATTTAATGATAGTAAACTATTCTGGTAGCCACAGCTGCTGAGGGATGTGAGGCTGCTAATCTACCCCATCAGCTCCCCTGGCCACCACCAATCTTACAGACACAATGACAGAACTTGGTAGATCGAGCAGGAATCGATCCACTGACCTTCAGGTTGGGTGACTACTGCTCCAACCACTGAGCCTCCACTACTTACATAATCTGTGCAGTGTGTGATAGGCTGGATGACACACTGATAGGAATATAAATATTAGCAGTGGCTCAGTGATAGAGTGTCCTCCCACTAATGGCTCAGTGTTGTTGTGTCGTTGGGCAAGGGCCAATGTTTGTGTACACTAGAGTATGAATGAGTCTCAAAAGCTCATCCAAGCTGAAGAAGCAGCTTGGATGAGCTGTGAAACGTATTCGACCAAATAAACTTTTGTCCAGTTGAATGTGAAATAGATTTTTTTCCTTGTACTTTACTTAAGTACATTGAAATTGAATTTTTCCAGAAAAAGGTTAACCTGAGGAAATGGGTGTGTGTTTGTTGTTTTTGTCCAGATCATTTTTTTATTGTTTAAAATGAACCATTGAATTTTTTTTTTTATAATTATGATCAACTACCCAGTCCCAGAGAATTATATTATCAATGTAACTTTCTACATTTCAGGGGCTCGCTCTGATCAATGGGACGCAGATGATCACCTCTCTGGGGGCAGAGGCAGTGGAGCGAGCCCAGGCCATTGCACAACAAGCAGATATCATCGCTGCTCTCACTCTGGAGGTGCTCAAGGGCACCACCAAGGCTTTTGACAGCGGTACAAAACAAAACACAAAAAACAAAGTAACAGTTCAGAAAACAAAATATGCAAATCAAATCATGTTTGATCCATTTTTGCAGATATCCATGCACTGAGGCCTCACCCCGGACAGACTGAAGTGGCTCTGCGTTTCCGATCTCTTCTAGACTCTGATCACCATCCATCTGAGATTGCAGGTGATTCATGAAGATTTCTTAAAAAACAAGAGGAAAGTAAAATTAGGTTTTTAATGAATTTTAAAGGTGCAGAGGGGGTTAAAGGGGGGTGAGGGTGTGGCTGTGACTGAATTTTGCCTTTTCAGAAAGCCATCGTTTCTGTGACAGAGTGCAGGATGCTTACACCATGCGATGCTGTCCTCAGGTAACATACTAATAATAACTTTATTTGGATATTTTATACATTGTGTTGTATTCAAACAGTAATCAGCAGACATGAAGGCACATAATCAAATAAATTTCCAATCATGAATATCTTTTTCAAATCAATAAATCTGAAAAGGAGTGGGGACTGAAGCACACACCCCCACCCTGTAGCCTCAAGTCACTTCTGTGAGAAAATACCATATTCAGTTTATCAGTGGATGTTCCCTAGAACAGGGGTCTCCAGCCTGTAGCTCGGGTGGTACCAGTAACTCTCCACCCCCTTCCAAGTAGCTCATCCAAGGAATTTCTGAATTTCTCCTTTGTAAATGTATAATTTTTATGTAAATTTTTGTGCACTGATTACTGGATAGTGGTTTATGTTTTATAGACATCTAACTGTACCTCATCTTCGGCTGACCATGACTCTTATATTTACAAAATTTCTGGCGACTGTTAAAATTAGTAGCTCTCTCACATTTTCATTTTACAAAAAGTAACTCACAGGGGGAAAAAGGTTGGAGACCCCTGCCCTAGAAGTTGTGCAATTTAAAATGCATATAGTACATTTCAGTGTCTCAGTATGTGTTGTGGTTATTTCAACAGGTTCATGGAGTCGTCAATGACACAATCAATTTTGCCAGAAACATCATCAATACAGAAATCAATAGTGCCACAGACAACCCAGTATCCTTTTAAACCAAATATATGTTAGTTTCTTAATGCCTTGCACAATATTTACTCTTTCTTATGGATTTCTCTGTGTGATTGCACTTAACAGCTGTATTAGATGGTGTTTGCAGAAAGAGGGGAGACCATTTCAGGTGGCAATTTCCACGGGGAATACCCAGCTAAGGTACTGTATATGCTCAGTCACCAATTTGTTTAAAATGTATTACAAATAACTATAGTTGTTTTCTCCATAAGGCACTGGACTTTTTGGCCATTGCCGTGCATGAGTTGGCCGCCATCAGTGAGCGGAGGATCGAGAGGCTGTGTAACCCGTCCCTGAGTGAGCTCCCGGCCTTCCTCGTTAACGAAGGAGGACTCAACTCTGGGTTTATGATCGCTCACTGCACCGCTGCGGCGTTAGGTTAGTATACATACGCATACACACACACACACACACACACACACACACACACACACACACACACACACACACACACACACACACACACACACACACACACACTGGCAGTTGGTTAGCATAAGGATTTTCAAAATAAAACACTGGGACACTCCTGGGTTAGGATGGATGATGGTAATAAAATAGTGAAAAGAGTGCATAATTGAGAATATTATTACTATGCACTCCATCCATTTGTGATTTATTTCCACCTCTTTCACGACTTCAGTTTAACATGAGAGACTTCTGTTAGTGCAATAAGAACATAATTTTGTGTTCTGGTCATTTTCAAACATGGCTTTCTGTATTTTGGCTGAAGAAATGACAATATTTGCCCCTGTCCACTGTTGGTGGGGATCAAATTGGTCAAAAATAGGGACATCTATGACATGTTTGTTTATGACATTCTTGTATAAAACTGGGACAGATCACTGGTTTTGGATAAATCTGCAGGGACAGGGGACACAAGGCTCAAAACTGGGACTGTCCCGGTTAAACAGGGACATCTGGTCACCCTATGATAGCATATACACACACTCACATTAGGTCAGCATGTACACACTGGCATTATTGACAGGTCATAAAAAACTAATTTGAATAAGTTTTGATATTGAAATATGTTTTTGCATAAATAAGGCAACATTAAACTATTCAAGAATGGGTTTAGTGAGTGGGTTCGATTTATATCAAAAAAAGTAGAAGAACTATTGGTAATATTTAAAACTGTAACTATAACTCAAGTGTGAAAATTTAGAAAGGGTCTTGAGGCTTTTCTTATCAAAGTTTGACATTTCAGATTCATAGCAACACTAAATTCCTTGTTTAGTTTCAGAAAATAAGGTTTTGTGCCATCCGTCATCGGTGGACTCTTTATCGACCAGCGCCGCCACCGAAGACCACGTGTCCATGGGAGGATGGGCCGCGAGGAAGGCTCTCAGAGTCATTGAACATGTTGAACAAGGTATTTTAAATACAGGTTAAAATCATTGCAAAACGAGCATACAGTCAAGATGAAGATTTCAACACTTATACACAATGTAACCTATAATAAAGGAATAAGAACTGCAGTAGCAAAATGCTGTGATTTAAAGTTGTCTAATTATACTTCAGTGTTCTTTTAAAGTTGCTTATGTGTCTGGAAGTCTCTTTTTTTTTTTTTTTTTTTTTTTTGTTGAACACAGATTTTTTTCAGGATATTGTACTTGTTTAGGGCACTTAAATTACCATCAGGCCATTCAAGGATTCAGTTCCACTGAAGATGAGTAATACAGGTAGGTGTGTTATGAACTGTGCTAACCAGTTTGTTTGCTCAGTACTTGCCATAGAGCTGTTGGCAGCCTGTCAGGGCATCGAGTTCCTGCGGCCTCTACGTACTACCACTCCACTGGAGAAGGTCTATGACCTTGTGCGCAGTGTGGTCAAGTAAGTCAACACATGTGACCAAGGTTCACCATTTCTCTCTTTGAAATGTACAAAAGTACAAATGGGTTAATGTTTATCCACTGCTGTCTCTTTTCATGGTTCAAAACAGACCCTGGATTAAAGACAGATTCATGTCTCCAGATATCGAGGCCGTGCACAGACTCCTGATCGACCAAAAGGCAAGTGCTAGTTTCAAACTTCCAAATTATTCTGTGTTAAATAAATCAAATACTTTGTTAATTGTATTGTGAACTAGATTGTCTTAAAAGACTGGATTAATTATTACACAATAAAAGTTTCAACAGGGGAAAAAATTGACTTACTACTAATCGATTATTGAAATATTTAGTCATCGAATAATCTGGTGAATACACTGGCTTCAAAACATGCCATAACTTGAAAGAATATTTTAGGACATGAATAGAGCAGTAAATACATGAAAATGTGAAAGTTGTGTGTGTTTTGATTTTAAAAAACTGCACTGGATTGTTCTCATCTTAATTTGGATAAAACTGAGTAAAAAATTCATTTTCACCGCTTTTGCCATTTTAAACAACTAACCTATTAATTAAAAGAAATAATTGCTATATTAATTAATTAGCAAAATAATCTTAGTTGCAGCTCTACAGCATGTATCAAGAAAATGTCCCATTAATGTTTAGTGAATTAATGCTCTGTGACTCTTCCATGTTTTACCACTTTCAGGTCTGGCATGTGGCTCAACCGTACATTGATAAGTACGCTACAGAGTACATCCCTGAGTCTCGTCCTGTTAGCCCCACGGCCTTCTCTCTGGAGTCTCCAGCATCACCGAGGAAAAGAGTTCGCCTTGAGTGAACAATGACTTCATCACTAAACATTATAAACTGTTGATATAATTGCATAAATAAATATGAACAACTAAATAGGGCTACATGCAGTGGTGGAATGTAACTAAGTAAAAGTAGTAAAGAACTGTACTTAAGTAACATTTTTAAATATATGTACTTTACTTAAGTACATTGGATACTTTTTACTTTTACATCAATACATTTGAGAGCAGGTATCTGTACTCCACTACATGTCTGGACAGGACTGAAAAGTAAAAGTATTTTCTTATTATAGTTTACGGCTGAAAAAGCTAGGAGTTTAATTAGTTTAGAGCAAACGAAAATATAACAACATTAAAAACTATTGATTAAATTGTTTCTGTTGAACAAAATTTAGGACAAATCTCAAAATATGCACAAAATACCTTTAATTTTTACTCTAGTATTTTTTTGCTCTGGTATTTGTACTTTTACTTAAGTAACATAATTGAGTACTTCTTCCACCACTGGCTACATGTAATCAATGACAGTTATTGTTCAGTAATACAATATTTCAATTATTTTCCATTAACACGTACTATTTAAATGTATATTTATCTGAACTTTAACACCATTTAACTGTCTGATTACATGTGCATTATTGTTCTAAGACTACCTCAGTCGGTATTTGATATCAATGAATTTTCAATAATAGAATAGCATAAATATTTAATGTGCCAAATCAAGCATGTGTAATCTTTACCATGAGTTACCAACAAACAAATAAAGAATTTATTACGAACGCTGTGCTGAAAATATGTGTCAATCCCAATCTTTACTTGATGATATTTCACTGTATTAAAAAGTACAAGAATTGAACTTTTTTTTTTTTTTTTTTTAATGTTCAGTTTAACACAGCGATACGTACTTCATATTATGTTTACATTTTACTCTTAATCTAGACAGTCTGTGAACACGTGGTGGCGCTGGAGGCACAAATGTGATTCTCTTTAAAAAATAAAGAGAAAGAAAAACTTGTCTCCTTCGAGCCGGATTCGAACCAGCGACCTAAGGATGTCAGCGCTCGGCTTGTACCACTACAGTCCTCCGCTCTACCAACTGAGCTATCGAAGGGACGGTGCAAGAAAAGGTAAAATAGTCTTTAAAAACACAATCGCTACGCCAAAAGACGCCTTCATATTTTGTATTTACTGCAAAGCTAAACGCTCCCAGCAGCGACTAATCAACTGCGTCCGTGTCCGTGCGTTTTAATGTTTTTTCAGTAGTTCCGCGGACGCGCAGAGATACAGTTTGATCGAGGTGTAGAAAGTTTTCCACTCAGTCTACAGATTCTGAAGGCATTTTATTATTATTATTATTTTTTTTAAATAAAATGTTGCTTGGCTCCTTACCGACGAAAAGCTGTATATATATATGCACCTGTGTTTGTGCGCAGACGTCTTCCCCTCACCTTTAACGTGTATTTTTGTGAAGATACCCTGAGTGACCACGAGATGGCAATATTCTCTCAGTTTTGTTCTTCAGAGATGTCGTAGAGACGGTTTCAGACATGGATTTATTAAATTAATGGCTGAAAATGGCTGAAAATGTTTTCTGGATGGGAGCAGAAACACTGTCCAGATGACCAATGTAGAAACCGTTTGAACACTGAGCCCCTGGACGAATGAAGGATTACAGAGAGTTTGCAAACAGCTACAGTCTCAGTCTACACCAGTGACTTTTATCAAATGTGTTTAAAGGAACATGGGTTTGATCTGTAGTGTAAACATGATAGAGGCTAGACCATTTTATACAGATCTTTTACTTAAGTGTAACACAAACAAGATGAAAAATGCATCTCATTATTAGTGCTGTTATTTCTTATGGACATCTAAACACTCTTAACCCTGCCAGAGGTGGGACCCAGTTGTTGTTTTGCAAGTCTCATGTAAGTCTCAAGTCTCTGACCTCAAGTCAAGTCGAGTCGTGAGTCACTGGCCCACGAGTCCAAGTCAAGCCCAAGTGGTCTGCTTTGAGCTTCAAGTAATTTCAAGTCTTTAAACAAAAGTACCAAATATATCATAGATTTTTGCAGTTACTATAATTTTTAAACTAAATTGTACTTAAAAAAATCTTGGTACATGATATATGGGTATTTATATAAGAGTTGTAGAAATGTTAATTTTTCCTTTTTAAATGCCTTGACAAGAGGGCGAATTGTTACGGTCAAAATAGAAAAAAATAAGATTTAGGAGCTCTTAATAACAGTTTTTTGTCAACTAGTCTAAGCATCAAGTCTTCACAAGTCACAGGGCTCAAGTCCAAGTCAAGGTCCAAGTCACTGACCTTCAAGTCCAAGTCGAGTCCCAAATCTTTGTCTATTTTATCAGGTCAAGTCTCAAGTCCGGAAAATAGTGACTCAAGTCTGACTCGAGTCCAAGTCACGACTTGCAAGTCCCAACCTCTGAACCCTGCCACCCCTAAAGCCATATGATAATAATAAATTATAATAATAAAAAGTGCGTTAGTCTTATATAGCACTTTTCCCATCACTTTATTTATTTTCTGCTTTATTCTTTCACTCCATATTATCCAAAATGTTAGAAAATCCCTCTATCTGATCCATGCAATTGTTTTGTTCAAAATCCCTTATAGAATAAAAAGTACTTTGCACCAGTGAAATCAGAGCCTTATACAGTTCTATCTAGATATCACAAATTTATAGCTAAATGATTTGTAGGTGTGGTCATTGTGCTATTCAAAGCTCAGAGATTGCAGAAATACCAAATGGGTTACATCACTGGAGGAGTAACAGATCTCCAACACAGGTGCTGATTTTTAGATAAAACACTGTAACGTTTTGTTATGGCTAGGCTCAGGCAGAGAGACAGCAGTGATAAACATATTAAAGTCAGTGAAAGCAGCATCCGTGGGCATGTATGAGGACCCTGAAGGCAACACTCCAATATTTTGTTGAGCGTGTCTGCTGGCTTTGTGGTTGACTTTTACAGGGGAGTGGACAAATCACTGAGGGCCGAGATGGTTCAGTAAACTGGAGGTGCTACAGGAGATGGCACCATGGAGATGGGACAGCTATATCCTTTATCAGTCTTGAAATATGAAACGCAAGCAGTAGAATTATTTAGTTGTGTTTTCCCCTGTTTAGCCCTTAAATTGTATTTGTATTAGTATTGTAAACTCTAGCATCTCATATTGGCTCTCTATTGAAATCTCCCACATGAATATTGTTTACTGCAGTGCAATCCAACATTATGTAACTAGATGCAATGTACCAACCACTTTAGTAATTAACAATGGCCAAGTTTGAGAAAGGCATATTGTCTGTGTGTGTGTGTGTGTGTGTGTGTGTGTGTTTTCCTGGTACTTAAACTATAACACAGCAGCTCTACACATTTTCATTTCTGACAAATGTCTATGCTGCATAATTGATCCCTATGTCTATGACCCAGAGCCCATATTTTTAAACAATCACTTGTAAATACAGATTAGGGGGTGGAGATTTGGGGATTTGAGGTTTATATATTTATTCTGGGCAAGTAAGAAATTTACATTCTTTTACAGTGGAACATATAACATTAATGAAGTCATAGCAGAAATAACCACAACAAAAAATAAACAAATAAAAAAAATTGGCCCAAAAAGGAGTGGGAAGAAGAAAAGTTATTTAATCCCACCCCCACTCTTCTTATCTAACACAATGAGCTTTCTTTTGAATTTTTCAGACATTTTACAGTAAACTATATGAACTATTTACAAGTGCGGACAAAGAGTCACTGTTATAGTTTGGTAACATAACTGTATTGCAATAATACATAAGTGCAACAATGGTAAGGAAAATTAAAGATACCAACAATGGTAACAGACAGCACATACCAGCAATGGTAAAGAAACAACAAGCATAAAGCAGCACTACAGAAGAAAGTATTGTTCTAATATTAAGACCCACCCTCTATATACTGTGACCAGACCATATGTTTATATAACAACTTGAATTTATGGATATTTTGGCATTGCTTGAGATGTGTATCCAGACTGTTTCAGAGTTTTACACCACATATAGACACACAGAAACTTATGGGTAGTTCAAACATTGGGCAGTTTGAAATTTCCATACCCTCTAAAATTATGAGTTCTCGCTCTCATTTTAAACAAGCTTTGACGATTGCTTGGTGGTAAATTGTTGAATGCTCTAAATAAAATTACCAGTGTATAATATTTTACAAGGTCAGGAATCTTTAGGAGCTTGGATTGAATAAAAGGATTATGGGTGTATTCTAATAAAATAAAAAAAAGATAGGGGCTCAGTGGAAACAGCAATTTTTCTGAGAAAGGAGGGAACTGCATTATAATATATAAGCTCATACAAGTTGATCTCGCCTGTCTCCTTTAATAGTTTGCCAAAATATGCAAAATATGTGAATATATATTTACATAATATAGATTCTTATCTTTTCTCTTATAAGATCATAGCTAATGCCTCAGACTAAATGTTCAGCTAGAACAAACCTGGGCATTGTACAGCTCCTGGGCCACATACAGCCCTTTGGTTGACTCTGACTGGAATGTTTAAAATAATTTGGAGTTACAAAATAAACATGTTTTTTAATTTTACCTCATACTTGGACTAAAGCTGCATTGTTTTTTTAAAATGACATTTTTTGTAAGGCAACCTCACTTTTTCATTACTTCATAACATAATCTCTTACCAATCTTACCAGCTTCTCTTTTATAAAGAAATACAATTAATATTATGCAGAATTGAGTTAAGCATTTTGTCACAGCCCTCCACAGTATTTTCTGTTTCTCATGTGCCCCAAGGAAAAAATAACTGCCCACCCCTGAGGTAGAAGGATGCAGAACTTAGAGGTAAGGGACCTTGAAGAAGACCAAAGAGGGGCTTTATGGATGTAGAAGAAGTGGTAAACAGAAGATGGTGTTTCTATTAAATTATTTATTTGAGGTATTTTGGCCAATGCCCCCACACAGTAGTAAATGGCAATGGGGAGGGAAATATCAGTAAATTGTCTCAAAGAGGATTTAAACTCAACACACACTGCACATGGAGATGATTGATACGACCATTTTGCATAAAACTATGACCAAAGGGGGTTAGGCTGAAGTGAGATCACTGCATGCAAGAAAAATTCTCTCACACTATGATACTTCAAACAGTTTAAAAATAGCTGTCACAAATGGGACTAATATGTGCGCAGGGCTTTCATTCTCCGCTGGGAATATGACACAGACTGGTGAAGATTAGACATCCTTCCTGCTGCATTTTCCATGCTTTCTCCTGGGATTTGAAGATCGAGAAACATCTGAACGATGTACAAAGACACAAGCTCAAGGTGCGTCACCCTTGGCCCTGTCAGACCATCTGGAGACAACCAAAATAACCCATTACAAATTTGAAAGCACACAGACGTGAACCCACTCCCCTTTAACAGAACAGGCCATCGGAGTCGCAGTATTTCAGGAATGTCCCGAACTGTCAAAGCCTAAGGGAGACAAGACGCTCACTGGTCTTCCTCCATTTTATCCACACAAGTCAAACCTATGTTTCACGCAACAACACTGACTCTGACAAATCACTACTGAACTGAACTCAGGTCTTTACATGTAAAGAATTGTGTGAATGTCACATTGTAAAAGATAGAAAATATGTGCTATCAAATTCAGCAACAACAATCAGTATGAAATAAACCACAGCACACAGACCTCTGTCAAGGCTCTATTCTTATAATTATGTGGTAAAACATACATCTTCACTTGATCAAGATCTTCTACAATCTATACAACAATTCAACACTGGGAAAGAAAACCCGAAGACAGAGGTTCTCAAACTGCTCCGGGAAGCATTGGTAGTAACATTGATTCACGATCTTAGGAATAGACCTGTTGTCCTCGTTAAGTTTGACCAATTCTGTCAGTAAAAGTTTATTTGAAAAGGCAAACGTATACTTCTCACGTTGCTGTCTCTCCTCAATCTTCTCCCTTGACAGTTTAACAGGGCTTATGGTGTCAAATGGCCATAATAAATCTTACATTAATGACAGGGAGGATCTCACAGGAGAGGTTTCTGGGTCTTGAAAATGTCCCTTTCAACTCAACTTAACATCACTGAAGTATTAAAGTTGTGACCTAAATGTCTGAAGAGAAGGTAAACGAGACAGACACAGTTCAAAGTTTAGTGGGGACTTGTAGCAACAACACAGGTAACTGACTGGGACACCTGGGACTGCTGTTGTGGTCTTTTGAGAAAGTTTAAAACGAGTATTGAATGTCATGGTCTTATCTGCAGATTTTAATGATATAATATTAGTATATAATTATTTTCCCATCTGTAAAATTATATCAACATTGTTGTGGCCGTGAATACACAAGAGTAAAAACATATTTGAAGTAACAGACCTATTCAATAAGAAGCTACTAACTGAATAGTGTCTAAGATAAATTAATGTGCTTAAATCCAACCACATATCAATGACAATAGTTTACATGCACATATTCCCTCTATTTACACTGTGCGTGGGTGTGGTCTAGGAGGAAAACAGATGAGGCGGGGCGTGGAGCGAATACTTCTCTCCAAATGTCAATGAACGGAGCGAGTGGGATGGAGACATGGAGCATATTCTGGATAACTACAGCGACACGTTGTAGTAAGAGAGGACACTTGAGTCTGACTGGCAGCTCTTTTGGACTGATCTTTGACGCTTCTGTTTTTATCAGAATACTAAAGACGACCCCAAGATGAGAAGTTGGATTTACGCATTTTCTTATATTCTTACAGGTGAGTCTGATTTAGTCAATTCAAGTATTAATTCACAGTATCTTCTTTTTACTTGAAGGTTATAGATGTTTGTTTGGGGTATACTTTTAAAACCATGTGCGCTCCTTGTAGCTCTATCAGAATCCAGAGGTCCACCTGTGGATAGCCGCTGCTCCGGGCGCGCATGTAACCCGCGCATGGGCAACCTGGCAGTGGGCAGACTTATCACCACTGAATCGGTGTGTGGCTACAATTCTTCTGAACCATACTGCTTCTTCAAACAAACTTTATCCACTCGTAGCAGTAAAGACCTTTGCGCTCATCCTAAGTGCGGCAAGTGCAATGCTGCCATTCCCGGGCTGGCGCACCTTGCCTCGGCTATGAGCGACTCCTCTTTCCGCTTCCCTCACACCTGGTGGCAGTCAGCGGAGGGAGCAAAGCAGGAGACACTGCAGCTGGACCTGGAGACGAAGTTTTTGTTTACGCACCTCATCCTAGTGTTCCGCTCCCCCCGCCCCGCAGCCATGGTGCTGGAGCGCTCTCAAGACCACGGCAAGACCTGGAGGACGCTCAAGTATTTTGCCAAAAACTGCGAGGAGGCGTTTGGACTTGCAGAGGGGCAGTCATCAATTGGAAATGGGACCACATGCAGCTCCAAGTACTCTGCAGCCTTTCCGTGCACCAGAGGAGAGGTGAGTACTTTCTGTTAAAGGCGACTGCGAATTAGTGACGTCTAAGATCCCAGACAGTTTTGAAAAAGTTGATAACATTGTGATGCATAGTGAAAACTAATACAACAACATAATAAGACCCCTTTTAAAATTATTTATTAAGATAAAAAAAAACAAAAAAAAAAACATCCCTTTTTGAGGATGCAGTGTAGCAGTGTGCTATTTTATGGTTTATTTGTTTTGCTGGTGGTTACGTCTTTTAAAGCTCTACTCTGCTCGGAAATGTTTCATGAGAATCAATGTACATTTTGTTTCTCTTATTTTTACACGCTCGTTTGTGCCGCAAGCCAACGGAGTCAAATCAATTTAACTGCCCCTTTCCTCTGAAGTCTCCTCAGCGCATTGACCGTGGTCCGTGTATGTTGCATTCCAGTCTTGTGTTGGAGGTTCAGGGTGAATGGCTAAATGGCTTTCACTGATCTCATAATTATAGGGGAATTTTCATAAAGTGTTTTTTGTTGCTTAACACCCCATAAGTACAGTTATCTTTGAGTAAGTGCTCATAATGGTAGCAGTATTGTGTTAGAGGTTTCACTAAAATGAATGTTGACAAGAATAAATGTGTTTACTGTGGACTACATCGTGTCACAGAGCAGCAGAATCATCATATGTGACAGTCATTTCCTTGTGCTAATGAAAACTAATGGCCACGTCCATACATGCAGATTACTCAAGAAATACAATTTCTAAGTACTCAGATAAGCACATGGTACACGTCATGTTTACTTTGGAGCTTTGTCAGTTTCCCATCAGCCTTATGAGCAAAACCAGATGTATTTTATTTTGGAACATAGTTATTTTTGAGTCAGTTGGTGGGCCTAAAATTCCTAAAAAAAAAAAGGTATATAGAGGACCATACTGTACCTCATCAGTGTACCTGGAAAATGTTTTTCTATTCACAATGAACAGACAAAATAAGTTTAAAGATCCCCTATTATACAAATTTTTGATTTATGTTATGTTGTCCCACATCAAAAACACATCTAGACTTTTGTTTTGCTTCATTCACATGTTTAACACACAAACTCTCAAACAGAAAACACTCTGTTCCACTCTGTTGTATGGTAATACATGAAGTGCTCCACTGTGTTTTTAAATTCCATACACCTTCACTAGAAGGATGGATAGATTGGATGATTTCAGTCCTGGAATTTCCAATCTCTACTGAACAAAAGGTAAAAGGAGCTGTTAACTTGAAAATTTCTGCTTCATGACATCACAAGGTGGAACAGGGCTTTTTGAACTTTGGAGATTTAGACAACAAAGGGCTACTGAAATATGTGTGAATGAAACAAAACACAACTCCAAGTATGTTTTTGATGAGGTAATAACATTACAAGATGGCGTAAAGTTCATGAGAGTCAGTTATGTATTTCATATAAGCTAGTGAAAGTTTAAAATCCACACACCTTATAGGTGAGTAGAGACACGTACATCCAAAAACCAAAAAGCGACGTGCTAGGTCCAAAAAACAAAAAGAGGAGAAAGAAAGTAGATCTTTTTTTTTTTTTTTTTTTTTTCGAATGTGACATTTTGGGTCAAAGCCCTTCTTTATACAAGTCCACACACCTTACTGAATTTAATCTGGTTAGTTTAACAGCTAAATTACTTCTAACTAGGTAAATGGGATCAAACTGGTATGATGGCTCTGCAGCTTTTTGCCTTTTCAAAAAGTTTCAGTTCCCATGGTTGCCAACAGGGGGCTTTATAATTCAAGCGATCTCTGTGAAACTGAAAGTAAAAGTGCTGAAATCATAGTTTTCTTACATATACCATGTTCCTTTTAATAATGACTTTTCTCATTTTGAATCCAAAGATGATATACAGGGCTTTACCCCCTGGCAGTGCCCTAGACCCGTATGGACCAGACGCTCAGGAGCAGCTGATAGTGACCAACTTGAGAGTGCGACTCCTCCAGCGCCAGCCCTGTCCCTGTGAGGCCAAACACCCTGGAGCTCTGCCCACGAAACATTATGCAATTTATGATTTTATTGTGAAGGGGAGCTGCCTCTGCAACGGACATGCAGACCACTGTGTGCCAGTCAACATCCACCAGAAGAAAACGCACAACATGGTAAGCATACAGAAACAATGGCCTTGACAATGGTCCCTTTCTCTGTGGAGATTTTGATTTGTTTTGTCGAAATATTGAGAGTAAATATATCACAATGGCAGACAGCTGCCATTACTGAGTTTAAAGACATGGAAACAGTAATTATGGCTTTACTATAATGCCTTAACAGCCCACAGTCTGTATTATGCAATGCTTGTTACCCCAACTCAACAATCAAAACTCAGTTTGGGACTTGTATCTCTTTTTTGTGTACATAAAGTGTATGCATATCAACAAGAGGATAATTGCATAACAGTGCTTACATTTATAAAAAGACAGGAGTATTACAGACGGTAACTGATAAATTGATCTAAAATGAAAAGTACTTTTTTGCACAACAGCTGATTTTTTTTTTCTTTACCTTTAATACCCTGGGTGGAGACTGTATGCTTAATATCAAACCTAAATTAATTATTATTTTTTTGTTTACTTTGTTAATATTGTCTGGGAAATGTCAATATCCTTATATGTCTAGGTGCACTCTTGATGTGTGTTTGTCTTTCAGGTCCATGGGAAGTGTGTGTGTCGCCATAACACTGCTGGTGACCACTGCCAGCGCTGTGCTCCTCTTTTCAATGACCGACCCTGGCAGGCGGCCAATGGCATCACCGGGAGCCCACACGAGTGCCAGAGTGAGTGATGGGCCAAACGCACAGCATGTAGACCTATCTGTAAAATCAAACTAGCCCCATAAATCACATATCACCTTCGGACTGCTGATGTGTGAAGAAAAAGGCTTAACAATTTCTCATGAACGCTCCTTGCTCCTCAGATAGATCTATGGTATAGTTCAAATTCTGAGATTGGAGGTTTGACTGCTGGCGTTGCATATTGTTGCGTTCTTTGGCAAGACACTTTACCCACCTTGCTAAAATCAAACTTTACTCAATAGCTGATAGCAAGCCAGCAGCACTGTAAGTCTTCTTTGTCAATACACTGGTCTGGAGGGGCAAAGGTTGAGTGAAAGATCGAGGATCGGTCTCAGGCATGTATACTGCCATTGTGTCTATAAGCAAGGCATTGCGGTGTGTAGCTATAAAAAAGTAATGCATTTCTTTTACAGTCTATGCTTACTAAAAATAGTAATATATTTAACTGTCTGTATTTGACCACAGAGTGCAAGTGTAATGGCCATGCTCAGAGCTGCCATCTGGACCGTAGGCTGTGGTTGGCATCCGGCCGGAGAGGTGGAGGTGTGTGCGACAGTTGCCTCCACAACACTGGAGGGCGCCATTGTCAGATCTGCAAGAAAGGATACTACAGGGACCCCACTTTACCAAAAACTGCCCCTGATTCCTGTAAAGGTAACTTTTACTGCTTATCTGTCCACACCTCTTCCTTTACCATCCCAAAATCCATTCTTCCTCTTAGGGGTTGTGAGCCACTGTGTTCCAGGAAGTGAGCATGGGCACTCTTCTGGCTCCATTGACTTCGCCTCAAATTTACCTGTATTAACAAATCATTGCGTCTCTCTCTGTAACTGCTACTATTAGGCTGGTCACTTTGGTCTTAAAATGTTCACATTAACCCGCTCTACTTGATCTTGGTATTGTTATTTCACTATTTTGCCCATAAATCAATTGTTACTCCTAATATGGACCTGGCTCCATATTCGCCTTAGCCTCGGCGAGCTTGGTTTGACTGGAGCCGAACGCTATGGGTCATACTTCCTTAGTTCACTTTTTTATAGTCTATGGTTGTGACTAAGCCCAGTAACTATGGGCCATGGACGGGTTACAGTCTAGAGCAGTGTTTCCCATTAATAGAACAGGCTACAGTGTTTCCTCATAAAACATACTCTTTGTTTCATTGTATTGCCATGAACATTAAAGGTACTATACTATATCAAAAGGACTGCTTAATTATGGGTAACGTGACTCCACAAATAGTTTTAGAAAGAATTATTGATACAAATATTAGTGCTGATTAGCGGCAAGGCCAAAATAGAGACTCTGGAAGGTTTTGTTGCATTAAAAAGATAGTAGTGCTATAAGTGCTGTCTAGCCATGTGTCTTTAAAAGTAGATTGATCTTCACTTTTTTTATTTTGGCCTTTAATCTATTTTATAACCCCAGTTGTTCTTTATATGGTAGTGACAAAAATTTACAAATGGTAGGCAAGCTTTGAGAAAGCCCCTTTACAGTCTCCTATTTCTTCCTTTAGGTAAAACTTTTTTTGAATGAATGCCAGAATCCAGTGTGGGTACTGCCTTTGATTTTGCAGTCAGTAATGTATTTTTGATGCTTCCCTTGAGCTAATGCAGATCAGTTTCTCTGATATGAGCCCTCTCTTTTAAACTCATCCCTTGACAATGATGATAAGAGAGTTACATGACCCCAGTCTGCAGCACCACAGGAATGATAGGGGCCCGTCTTGCAACGCATATGTAAATGCAAACAATGCCGGAATTTCCTATGGTCCATGAAGGTGCATATTTCACATTCTTGCCCTTTCGCCTTTACAGCACACTAGAGCATTTTAACAACAAACATGACGTTTTTGAGAACAAATGAAGGACGTGTACAGGAATAATCTGTCATCACGATACGGGACATTAGCTTGGGACTCAACAGAGAAGCAGCGATTTGCAGGTTTTTTTTGCAGGCTACATTGTTGTTGTTGGTTACAGATGGCTAATTAAAGTGGAGTAGAGAATCCTGCACATAGTACAGTTGTTGGGCACATAACTAAACACTTCTCTTGATCCAGTATTGTCACAGGATTTTTGGAGGTATGGAACATTAACATTATTGCTCTTTCACTTTCTTTCACTGCAGCTTGTTTGTGCCACCCTCTGGGCTCTGTCTCGGTTGGGGGTCCCGTCTGTAACCCCAGCAGCGGGGAGTGCACCTGTAAACCAGGAGTGGCCGGCCCCCACTGTGACAGGTGCATGATGGGATATTGGGGACTCGGACAATATGGCTGCCGTCCCTGTGACTGCACAGGGGATTGTGACCCCTATACCGGAGATTGTCTTTCTGGGTGAGTCCTATTTTGTCAGTATATAACTTCTATGTCGACCTGAATTCTCTCTCCTGGAAATATGAAATTTACTAGAGGAAAACAGGTCTTTAAGCAACACTATGAATGCATCTCAGAACAAACTCAAACCTTGAATGACTAATATAATGCTATTTTCTGATCTATGCTCTAATGTTGTTTTCTTATTACAAATATACCTGGAGTTGTATTTTATTTCATTCACACATGTTTAACACACAAACCCTGCATATTTAAGTTGAGTTTTTCTCTGCATATTTAGACTGAGTTCTTTTCTCAAACTGAAAACCCTCTATTCTACTTTATGATGTCATGTGGTAATGCAGGAAGTGCTTTCTTGTGTTTTTAAACTCCATACATCACTAGAATCATTTGGATGATTTCAGCCCTGAAATTACCTATCTCTACTGAAGTAAAGATCAAAGGAGCTGTAATCTTGAAAACTACCACTTCAGGACATCACAAGGTGGAACCGGGCTTTTTACATATAGAGCATGTAGACAGACTAATAATAAAATTTACTCAAACATGTGTGAATCAATCAAAACACAACTCCAGGTATGTTTTTGTAATGGTAACAACATTGTATTGTGACACAAGAATCAATTTTGTTTAATATAGAACCTTTAAGTCAATACAGAGATCGCCAGTTGTCATAAATATTATAGAGCGCTCTACACTCTGGTTTAAGTTTCCACTACTTCATCACTATTATTGTTACAACATTTATATCTCAAATATTTTGGATGAAATCCTAGTGTTGCTTCAAGTGTCCATTATATATAAATCTCCTGACCTTAAGTATAACGCTGCTCTAACCTCTGCAGCTCAGATGTGGGGGTCTCGTTCTTTGCCATTGACCACCGCAGCAATAACAGTGAGACGGCACTCTTCAGGCTGGAGGAGCTGTTCTCTGCACTGCACCACTCTGGTATGCCACAGTTCAGCGCATCTATCACAATCAGCCATACAAAAGACCAGAGTCATCCATTCAAAAGACCAGCACATCCAACCATATAGAGCTGTAATGTATGTATGTGTCCTTTCATTCTGACAGAGAAGTGTGAGTGTGCCGAGGCGACTCTCAGTAATCCTAAGGTTTTCTGTGCTGCAGAGTACGACTATGGTGAGTAGTGCTTGATGCATTCTGAACACATGACTTTAAAGGTGCACTCTGTAACTTTTCTGGTGAAGGGTTCGTCCAGTGCTTTTCGTCATGGAGATGTTATTGCTTCATCTGGAATGTTTCACAGTATGGCATTAAACGTTTCTATCTTCATGGAGACCAAAGCAGACTAAGTTACAAGTCAGATCTGTGGAGAGGCAACCCCGCTCACAGTCAGAATGCCTGTTTTTCTACATATTTTTGAGCAATAAAGGTAGATCTGTTTAATGCCATACTGTGGAACATTCTAAGCAAAGCAATGACATAACCATAGAAACAAGAAGGTAATGTTCCCCCAAATGAAAAGTTACACAGTGCACCTTTAAATATATAAAAAAGGAAATATTTCTTAGTTATTATTATATTTCCCAATTTAAATCAGTAACACTGTCATGTATCCCAAGCCTTTTGTACCTAATATGCCAGTCCCAAGCCTGGATAAAGGGAACGATAATCATAAACAATAAGCTCTATTCACGCTTACGTCACCAAGAACCAGGAAGATGTTTGGAAACATGTGATGGGCTCTGTTCTCGGTAGCAAGTCTGACAAAATCTAAGAAAAATTAGAAAATGGCCCCGTTTTCTTCATCTACACGTCATTGCAGTGTTGTGTTATAATCAACAATTACAACCACACCTCAGTTTTTGTAATTTGCCCACTGATACAACTCCAAGAGCACTGGGTACATGCAATTAGAAGAGACGAGGGCACCAAGATGATTCCAAACAGCACATACATATGCAGTCTTCATTTTATCGCTGATGACATTTACGAGCCCAGTGTCAGGAACCGCACCGGAAGTTGTCATCACATGTTTCCAAACTTCTTCCTGGTTTGTGTCTTAAGCTTGAATAGAGCCAATGCCTATGAGCTAATGTGTGGAATGTAATTTTAAAATGTAGATAAGAAGGTCTGTGTAAAAAAAATTAACACATGGTTTCTGTTTAGTGTTTATGGCAAATGTAATGGCTGCCCACGACAAAGGCTCCCATGCTGAGGTGAAGGTGAAGATTAAGAAAGTCTTGTACAGTAAACAGGGACTGAAAATCCTAAGAAGCACGATTTCCCTTTTTCCTGAATCTTGGACTCTAAAGGGCTGCACCTGTCCCATACTCAACCCAGGTACACTGCACACTAAAACACAATAGTATAGGTAATAGTAATAGGTATTTAAATGTTTATTATCCAGTTCAAATTTCAAATCTTTATCTTATTTTGAGATTTATTGTATGACTGTATTTTACCTCTTCTTGAGTAATACACAATACTGAATGAAATACTTCCTGCTGGACTGTCCAAGCCACCTCTGGCACTTCCAGTGGTGTGGAGGTTTGTGCTGAATAGTTGGTCTTTTCTGCTGAAGTGTAAACCATTTGGACATATGCCAATGTACAGCCATTTCTCATTTAAATTGGACATTTACAGCCTGAAGATTAGAACCACCTCTCTTTTATGAGGCTAACGCTTTGCAATAATCATTTGCAGAGAAACTCATTCATGCCTGTCTTTGCAGTGCGTTCTAAATGTGCATTTATAATTCTTTAATCATGTGGATTTTATAGACTTATGCTTTTGTGAAAATTGTCATTGCTAAGCATTCTTTTTCCTCTCAGGATCAGATTATTTAGTCGCTGGACATGAGGATTGGAAGACCGGTCGTCTCATTATCAATATGAAGAGTTTTGTAAAACCGTGGAAAACAAGTTTGGGACAAAAAATTATGGATATTATCAGAAAAGACTGCGCAAAACGGTAATACAAAGATCACAACTTTCTGATTTCTGTCACAGCAAATCATCTAACTTCAAGTGGCGAGTAGTCGTTTGCATTAATTTGGTGTAGTAATTATGCCAGATGACCTCCCTGAAGTTCTATTTATCCAGACTAGACTGGCCTGAAGAGGACACCGGCTTGTAAAAACTGCCCTGAAGAAGGACTGAAATTTGTTTTGGTTTGTAACAATTAAGTTCTTTTACAATCATTTGTGACACTGTGAGAAGCAAAGTTGATATAGATGGCGGATGTACTGTACCATACAAACAGGCAGTGCGGAATGTTCAAGCCAGGGCATACCATAAAAAGATATGCTTGTAGAATACTGGATCAAGAAGCCATGAGAACAAAGAGAGCCATAAACACGTTGATCCGTGCAAAACCCGCTGAAATCCCAAAGACCTCAGGCATGTTGTTTATGAAAAGGAAGGAATGCACAGTCAATTTAGAATAATATTTCCTGGTTTTACTTTTTGACTCAAGGTGATGGGCCTGTACACTGGGGCTGTGGTGTTTACTGCAAAAGCACCTTGTTGTCTCATTGAAATCGGTGATAAATCTTCAAACTGTGGAGCTCTGTTTGCATTATATGTCCTTGACTAAGAGTAGACTGTGAAGTGAAAACACCAAAAACTATTTTAAAACTCAGCTAAAAAACTCAGCTTCAAAATACACATCACCTCTTAAAACTCACTCATAACTAAGTGCAATATTAATGTAACTGTTTCTTACTCATCCACTGTTACATATTAACAACACTCGTATCTAGTCATTTTTTTGTCTCACCAATTCAAATCTTTATATTTTTAAATACATATTAAAGTAATCATGACAAATTGCTATACCCTAGTTTTTGAACCTAGTAACCTTCAGAGTCTGTCCTCAGAAGACCTCCCTCGGACAGTGTAAACCGGACTGTGTGAAACCAGTGGGTGTGAGAAAAGAGGGCACATGTGTGGGCATGATTCTTGTTTTGGCTTCTTGCCCTAAAAATACCAAAATAAGTTTAGAATAGCCCAGTGTCTTGACTCTAAATAGGACAAATTGAGAAGGGACACTATGTATTCCTCAACTATGACATCATTGTCCATGTGTCCTTGTCCCAAAGAAAACAAATCTGTGATATTTCTGTTTGAGGACAAAGTGTTAACATTTTCTTGCATGAATGTACTTAACCACAAATGTGATTTTGTTTTGTAAATATTTTATAAACTCTATTGTTTGTATATAAATGTGGATTTTTATAAAAACACCCTTCTCCGTCTTGGTTTCCATGGATTATTGTTCAGTTTATACATCAGAATTAGCAGAGGCAATAAACAGTTTTCTAAGTATGTTTTGTAAATCCATATCTCATATCACATAATGTAGTAGCGCCCCCTGGAGTTCATGTCACAAAAAGATTCTTCATTGTACAGAAAATTTAATTTATAACAATTTATTTTAAAACTTAAATTCAAAGAAATGTAGAAATATAAACATTTCATGGCAGCTTAATTCCTTATTAACAAGGCAATTCAGCAGAGCATTTTAGTTTTTTGACAAACACTTTTTTGCATATTTTTGCATATCATTTTCTTGCATATTTTAAGCAGCACAAAAAAGTGAAAAGAAAATTGCAACAATTAATTTCTTTAGATATGCCCTTATGTTTTAACTTAAACAAATAAATACTACTAAGAAGCTACAGTTATGCCCAAATGTATAATTCAACACATGGCTTTGTACAACAACCTAAATATACACAAATAAGGTATAAGTTTCTTATAGGATTTAGAGTCCAGACCTGAACCTGAACAATTTTAGAAATATGACAGAAAAAAATGGAGTAATGACATCCTCCGAACATCTAAGCAGAAAAGCACACACAATTCTAAGTGGAAAGAGCAAAACGTAAAGAAAGACCAAAAAAAAAAAACTCATTTCGCACATTGCCATTTTCCACTCAGTTGACTTATTTCTTCCTGAATCAGATAAAAAAAAAAAACAACAACTCAAAATTCAAACAGGGTATGAATCATTTTGGGCTTAACTGTTTGACATCAGCCATTTTCTTGATTAAAAAGCACTGGAAATCCATGTTGCATATTTTCATCAAATTTTGGGACATCTTGCCTCTTGCTTGTGTAACTGCATGCTCTAAAGGTGCACTATGTAACTTTTTGGTTGGGAGTTCATCACCTGCTTATTTCTATGGATTGTCATTGCTCTGCCTAGAATGTTCCACAGCATGACAATAAACAGATCTACCTTGCATTTATTCAATTATACGTGGTTTTATAGCTCAAAAATACCTAGAAAAACAGACATTCTGACTGTCAACAGTTTTGCCTCTTCTTGTGTTTGGTCTCCATGGTGATAGAGGCTTAATACCATACTGTAAAACGCTCCAGACAAAATAATAACATCTAAATGGAGAAAAGTATTTGACAGACCCTCCACCAGAAAAGTTATACAATGCACCTTTAATAGTCCTCTCCCCTGCTCACCACCTCTTTGCACGTTGGCCTGAGGAGGATGGTGTGTTCATACTGGGCTGTGTAGCTGCCCTTGATGTCACACAGGGGGGGGTAGGGGTCCACGATGCCCAGGTCACACAGGTTCTTCAGCGCCATGAGGTACTTGCTCTCGCCCAGACGGTCCAGCCAGCGGCGACAAAAGGCCAGTGTCCCGAAGTTCTCGTTGATGACGTTGAGCAGGTGTTTAGCCCTTGGGAGTCTATCACAGAATCACAGAAATAAGTCAAATTCCATTATGTTTTATGCACATAAAAATTTAAGAATTTCTGCATGCACCAGAAGATGACCTTGTGCCACTCATGCCAGTTGTATTTCACCTTTTATAGGGAAAACCTATCGCTACAGTGTGTATTTAGAGGTCCTATATTACACAAAATGGATTCTTATTGATTGGATTCTTATATATTGTTATCACCGCCACATCAAAAATATACATATGGGTTGTGTTTTATTTTTGAGTGATTATAATAAGTCTGTTTACATCCTCAAAACTCAAAATGCTCTGTTCCACCTTGTGATGTCACAAAGTGGTAGTTTTCATTAACAGCTACCTTTTACCTTTAGTACATGAGAGATTAGCAATTCCAGAGATGAAATCATCCAAATTCTTTTAGTGAAGGTGTATGGAGTTTCAAAACACAGTGGAGCTCACAAGAGAAACCGAGTGTTTTCTGTTTGAGAGAAGAACTCAGCCTAAATATGCAGGGTTTGTGTGTTAAACATGTGTGAATGAAACAAAACACAACTCCAGGTATGTTTTTGATGATGAAATAACATCATAACTTAGATCATTAAACAGTGTAATATGCCCTTTACCAGTGTAACTCTTTAGTGTATCTTACACTATGTAACCTTTTTTGGTGGAGATATTTTTGCTTTTATCTGGAATGCTACATAGCATGGCATTAAACACATCGATTCAGTATTTCTTTAATTACAGGTGTTGTTATTGTTCAATAACCTCAAAAAACATGCATTCTCACTGTTAAGTAGGGTTGCCTGTCCACAGATCTGATCTGTAACTTGGTCTGCTGATGCCACCTGCTTGTCGTCATGGAAATAGCTCAATTTGATGCCATACTGATTAATAGGAATAGGAAGTTTCAGTCACTTTCTTTCCCCTTACTCAGCTGTTTCTTTTCAATGGAGAAACAGAACAGAAACAGATGACACAGACGGATGACAGCAAACCTTATTGGCACATGTCCCACGTTGAAGTTCTTCATGTAGTGGGAGCACTCCATGTCGTCATGAACAGCACCTCTTCCTGTGCTCCCAAATGTCTCAATGGCGTAAGCTTCATTTTCCTGAGAACAAAAAGTGCAGGATACTGTTCATTTGTATAATTCATTTAATATATATGTACAGGACTTTGCTTTGCACAGTTACACTGTGTAACGTTTGTGGTGGAGGATCCACACCAGCTTGTCTCCAAGGAAATGGTATTGCTTTGCCGGGCATGTTTCACAATATAACATTAAGTATATTGTATATATTTCCAAGCTAACAGACAAGGGATGCCACCAAGCCAAGTTATAGGTCAGATTTGTGGAAACGTTACCATGCTTATAGTATGTTGCACTTGTGAGCAATGAATAGACCACTGATTGTATTAAATGTTTGGTTTAAGTTTAATGTCATACCATGGAACATTCAAGGCAAGGCAATATCGTCTCCAGAGAAACAAACAAAAGAAGAAAAAAAAATTACACAGTGCACCTTTATTCTTTGTCATTCCTTATGTAAGTGATTCCTGTTTAAAAAGTAGGATTAAGTTCAGTACGGACCAAAACCACAAACTAAACTAAGGGTTTTTTTCCCAGACCAAATTCTTTTATTTCCAAGGACAGTAAAGTATATAAATCCCTTATTTACCTTACTCTAAACTTAAACCACAATCTTGGTCTAAAACAAGCCTGAACCAGGAAAGGACTAAAAAGAGACAGCCCAGAATGGATAATAAATTGAAGATGGTATGACTAAACCAGGATAAACCCAAGCTGATATAGGCTGTTTAATCTTTGTCTACATGCTTGAGCTATTACATTTAATCAGGACTTGAAAAACTGCTTTAGTCTTCTTAACTTTATTTTGCCCTTTTGTGTAGTAAACTGATTATGAAAACAGTGTCAAGGACTGAGTGGGTGTGAGGACAAAATGACTCTGGGGAGAAAAAGTAAATTTGACAAAAAGCCTAAGATGTAAGGTGCTGACATGGTCCGCTGTACCCTATTAAGGCCAGTGGTGTACTTTCTCTCACTGCGGTGTGATTGGCTGGTTTTCATTGGTATTTTGTATCTCTATCATAGCGTGGCTGTTGTTCCGGGCCCCTATGGGATTAGCTGATAACACTGCACCACCCTCTCTCTCTCTCTGAGGTAATACTTGGAATACTTTTACAACGAGCTGCATTATATTATAGTGTCAAAACGCAGATTCTTAACAGCTTTATTACACACATTTGTTACACTATTGGTTAAGCATTTCCTATCTCTAATTGGAGTAGTTAAAATCACACATGCACTCACCACAGTAAAATGTGACTGCTATCCAAACCCAAACTCTCTTGTCTACAACAAATTTACAAGCAATGTAAAATGTTATCTGACATTAAAAATGTAATATAAGAAGTGAAGAAATTGTCCAAGGACAAAATCTGATGTAAGTCTAGACCTGTTCACATTTTCTATTCACATTACACATACACAATATTGAAGTTCATTTCAGTTCAGTTTATATGCAATTTGCAGTATAAAAACTACATTGAAAAAGGGGTGTGAGAAGCCCTGAGTGCACAGCATTCATACAACCATTCAAACAGACAAATTAAATGGTAAATGGTAAATGGTCACATTTTTCTATAGCGCTTTTCCACCTTCAAGGCACTCAAAGCGCTTTACAACAAGGAACCACTCACCCATTCACACACACATTCACACACTAGTGTATGCAGACACTGTGGGCAAGGTGGATTAAGTATCCATAAAACATATTAAAACATATAATTTAGTCAAAAGATAAAACAAAAATTCACTATGTTGTGTTTTCTATTTTTCCCACTAAAATTTTAAAGTTTAAAGGAGTTTAAAGCCTAAATTTTGTGATCAGGTACTACAATGTGTTGTTTTTAGGAAAGTAACTATAATTGTAACTTCTGAATACCACCAAATAAAAAAGTAACTGTACTCAAACTGGTATTGTGTATCTCTGTGGTAGCGTGGCTGTTGTTCTGGCCCCTATGGGATTAGCTGATAACACTGCGACACCCTCTCTCTCTGCCTCGATAATCACTCAGAGTGCAGGCAGCCCCATGGCACGCCCAGCTGCCACTCCACTGATCCAAACCAAGGTAATAGTGCACATAATGAAAACACACTTCATCTAAAAATACAACATGCAACCTGCCTTATCAGCAAGAAGACACATTACCCTTATACTTCCCACTACTGGCAAACTGTAATGTAAAAAGGCCTTGACACAGCATCTTCACAATTAAAATGCTCTCCTACAGCAGCTTTCAGGGTTTACAATAGCAGTATATGGCTGTCAACAGACAATTTAGTGAACTATATTTAGGGATTAAGAAGGTTTGTTACAAAAGATCTAAGACTAAGGCTGGGTAAAACAAGGCAATACTCTAAAACAGGTTTAAAGGGCTCAAATTATTCTATTTTTTGATCTATGTTGTAATGTTGTCCCTTCATCACAAACATACCCGGAGATTTGTTTTGTTTCATTTTATGTTCAACCCAAAAATTCTGCATATTTAGGCTGAGTTCTTCTCTCAGACAGAAAACACTCTCTTCCAACTTGTGATGTATGGAAAAACAGAAAGTGCTCCATTGTGTTTTTTAATTCCATACACCTTGACTAGAATTATTTAGATAATTTTGGCCTTGGAATTGCCAATCTCTGTTGAACAAAAGAAAAAAAAATGGTTACTGTTAGCTTGAAAATTACCTCTTCATGACATCCCATGGTGGAAGGGAGCATTTTGAGCTTTGGAGATGCAAACAGTCAAATAATAAAGAGTTATGGTATTCAAACGTGAATGAAATAAAACACTCCAGATATGTTTTTGATGAGGTAACAGCATTATAACATGGCTTAAAGTTCACAAGAATCAATTTTGTGCAATATAGGACCTATAAAGCAGACCTCAATAAGGTCTAAATTAAAATTAAAACAGGACTAAACCATGTTATTTAAATTCAAAATCATCGTCACTCCCAAAACCTTCCAAGTATTATTAAGAGATGTTTTTGTATAATCATTTGTCCCTCTACCAGCTGGCCTCATCCTATCAGCTACGGAAATGTAACAAGGTAGAGAAATGCATAAAGCTTGCAGTGTTGTGAAAGTGTGTGCAGCCACGCTTCTCAGGCGACTCTTAATTAACTTTCAAGCTGAGGATTTATTGCTCTAACAGAAGAATTAAGGGCAGGACTTTTAACTGGTCGCTACTGAATTCAGCCGGTAATTCATTTAATGGTGTACTTAAATCTTGATGAGAGTGGCAAAGAAGCTGTTAGGAGCAGTAAAATGTTACTGCTATCCAAACCCAAACATAATACTTTTCTCGTGTCTACTACAGGTTTACAAACAATGTAAAATATCATTTGCCATTCAGAATGCACAGAATTTTGCTATATAGGAAGTGTGGAAATTGGTCATGGACAAAATCTGATGTAAATCCAGACCAGTTCACATTTTCTGTTCCCATTATGCAAGCACAATATTGTCAATCATGGGAAGAACACTTGTATTGTAATGGTACTGTAATGTATTTAGTTACAGAATACTGAGTACTGAATTAAAATGCACTTTGTAATGTATTACCTTACACAAGTCAGAGTACTGAATTTCTGAATACTTGAAAATACTTTTACTAGTACATCGAGTTGCATTTAAATTACAGCATCAAAAGCAGATTCTAAACAGCTTGTTGCTATGTTTGTTACACTATTGGCTAAGTATTTCCTATCTCTAATTGGAGAAGTTAAAAATCACACATGCACTCACCAAAAAAGCAGTACTTTCTTTTTTCCCCACTAATACTGTGCACTTTGAAGCCTAAATTTAGTGATACAATTTTGTATTGCAATGTATTTCCTTGTATTGTATGAAGGAAAGTTCTGAATTCTGAATACTACCAAATGAAACCGGTATTGTGTATACCGGTACCGGTATACACAATATTAGTATTCAGTAAATGTATTCAATTACTTCCCAACACTGAATACTGAATACAAGAAGGCTCCCAATTCCATGTGTTCAGAGGTTGTACTACATTGTAACTGCACTGACCTCCATCCTTGTTGCCTCTCCTCCTTTGACAATAGGGACAGTTTTCCCTGAGTGTATCCTGTAAGGTCCGATAGAGTGTCCGTTGAGATTCCTGATTGGCTTCACTGTTAAAAAAAACAAACATCACTGAGCTTAAACAGAGAGAAAATAACACTAACACTGAACCTGTGATGAGGACAGAGATGGATGACCTCTCTTTACCTTGATATGTTTTTCCATCTATCTCCACTTCATAGGACTCCATGACCTCCTGAATGGTCTCACCCACATCGCACAGGCGCACATCGATCCCAGCGCACTGTAAAGATATGCTATTTTAACATACTCTGAAGTCCAACAACAAAACTTGAAGAGCAACTCAAGTATGTTATGTTGCAGTTAATTATTTTTTGGTGAGAATATCCAATGCTACGCCCAAATCTAACCTTACTAAACAAGACATTTTTAAAGGTCTTACATTATACAATATTGACTCTTGTGAGCTTTAAGCCACGTTATAATGTTGTTACCTTGACAAAATCATACTTAGAATTGTGTTTTGTTTTATTCACACGTTTGATTAATCCTTTATTATTAGTCAGTCTACGTCTCCAAAGCTCTTCCACCTTGTGATGTCATTTAGTGGTAGTTCACTTTTTTCAAGTTAACAGCTCCTTTTACCTTTTGGAGATTGGCAGTTCCAGGGCTAAAATCAACCAAATGACTGTAGTGCAGATGTATGGAGTTTAAATACACAGTGGAGCACTTTTTATTATTGGTATTACCACATAACATTACAAGGATCCATGGATGGATGGATTACAAGGTCAAACAGAGTGCTTTTGTGTTAGAGAGAATAACTCAGCCTAAATATGCAGGATTTGTGTGTTAATGAAACAAAACACAACTCCAGGTATGTTTTCGATTATAACATAGATCATAAAATAACATAGTATGGAACCTTTGGATCAATGTAAGCAACTTATATGCAATTAGAACATTGTTATGGACCAAACAGATCAACACTGGCTTCCCACATGGATGACTATTTGCTTCCTTGGACTTTGAATAGATGACCACCAGACCACTGTAGACCAGGAATGCAAGAGTTTAGTTGAGTTTAGTTTATTTTACTCATTTAGTGTCATGCACTATTTAGTTGGGTGCCTAGCCCACATGGGGTTATAAGACACATGAAACAATAAGCAGATAGATCACACATCAAACATAAAGTGTCCTCTTACGGAGGTCCCAGGCTTTCAACACAAACTGAGCCAGCTTGAAAGCATTACATTTAAATAAATACGCCAATCTCTCCTCATCAGCCACAGCAAACAAACAGTAAGATACATTAGACAACAGCTGACAGTGCAGGTCATGATACAAAGAACAGTAGTACAGAAAATGCATTTTATTTTCAATGTCCTTTAAGTCGCACAGAGCACATATGCGCTCCTCCTCTGGGACTCCAAAGGCAGAGGTAGAGTCCCACACCTCAGCTACAATGCATTTGTAGAGATGCTCTGACCAAATTCTGTACTGTAGATGAAACATTAAGAACTACAAAATGTGTTCAGCTTCTAACAAAGTATGAACTACACATCTTCTGTCTTATACCCTAAACAAGTGCCCTTATCTGTGCTATTCACTTTACCTGTCAGGGGTTATAATGCTATGCCTGACTGGTGTATATAAAGCATATTATGCACTTTATTCTATTGTTTTGGGTGTTTGCTGCATTGACACATCCATTTTCTTTTTCAGACAACAAAGTTCATCTCATTTACATAATTACCTGTACCTCCTCATGTTCATCACTTATTTGTTTCTCCCTGAGCTATAATTGGTCCCTGGAGAAAGCTATGAAATATATTAGGCTCTGTTCTTGGAAACCACACAGGATGAATGGTCTAACGCAGCTGTAATGAGTCTTTTGTATGTGAGACAGCAGTTACCTTGATGCCTGTGTTGGTGGCGTCTCTCACCGCCTCCAGCAGCCGGTCGTACTTTGGATTGAAAGTGACGGTGAAGGCACAGTCTATTATTCGACCTGGAAGAGCCATAGCTTTAGTCACACACTGAAACATACAGTACACTTAAAATGTCAGAAAAGAGAAATTACTGCTCCAGAAAGACAAAAGACTACTTGGGTGTATTCTGTCTGGTAGAGTGCTTTACTACTACAGTTTTGGCATACCAATCACAATCAGGGGTTTAGTATTGTGACACACAGCATAATAATCATTTCTTACAATTAAGAACAGTCAAGATGGCTGCCATTTTGAATCAGTTCTTGAGCTAGCCTTTGTTTTGAATGCACTCAACATCCCTTGCACTAAAAGTCAGCTCTGTGCTACTAAAGCTGTAATTAACTAAATAAATTCTTGGTTGACTAAAGAGATGCCCTGTACATGAATTAGTTGACTGAAAGGGAGTGTGGAATTAGCAGAAGCTCTCAAAGAACTAGTAAATTGCATATTTGTATGTAAAAAGACACAATATGCTCCCAAATCTCCTACATTACTTCCATGCCATGGTCCTCAGAAATTCTTATAATCCAAATAAATAATTACTCAACTAATATAAATTTTGGTCTATGGAATCTTAAAGGGACAGTCCGGAATTTTGGACATAGGATCTCATTTCCTAGTGAGCCAGAGTATTGGAGACGTGTGGAGACACTTTTTTAAATATTTCATCCAGTCCTTGTATTTGCAGAGGTCACTGGTGCTAGGTTAGTGCATGTCAATGGCCATAGTTAGCCTGCCACTAAAAACAGTCTTACCCACTCCACAAAGCACCCGAAGCAAAACAATTATTACACCAGACTGTCGATGTAAATGTCTGTGTTAGAATAATGTTTGAAATAAAACTATTGTTGCATTGCATGTTGAGGGACTATTTTCTCAGCAGCAGCGGAATTTCACTTTGCCGGTAAGATAGGTGCTAGGTGATATCAGTCCGCCATACAACTCGCTGCTGCTGCTCCGACATAAATCATTCAAATGCAAGGTTGGTTTTACTTCTAAAATTATTCTATCAACACAGGCATTCACATCGACAGTCTGGCGTTATAACTGTTTTGCCTCGGGTGCTTTGTGGAGTGGATAAGACTGTTTTCAGTGACAGGCTAACTATAGCCATTGACATGCACTAGCCTAGCACCAGCGACCTCTGAAAATACAAGGAATATTTAAAACAAATGTCTCCACATGTCTCCAACACTCTGGCTAACTAAGAAATGAGGTCCTATGTCCAAAATTCTGGACTGTCCCTTTAATCGACTTAATGACTAAAGGCATACAGTCATACACATCTATTAAAGATAATACAATGGGAAATAGATAATAAATGTGAAATGTGAAAAGTGAAATGAGTGAAATCGCTAGCCCACTAAACTATTCTTACTCATAGGACCCTTACACTATAAGAGTAGTACCTCACAATGTTTCCTCCACACTCTGTCAGAAGGTTGACAGTGAGCAAAGGACATATTTTTATTCTATATTGCAGCTATTCATAAATCTTAATATATTTTTACCGTTTATGTGTGTCCCAAAGTCAATTTTGCAGACATCATCGTAGCGCAGGACAGTGGGGTCTCCAGCGTTGGGCGTGTAATGGGCAGCACAGTGGTTTATGGAGCAGCCGGTGGGAAAGGCCAGACCAGCCCTCAGCCCGTCCTCTTTGATGAGTTTTCTAGAGCAATCCTCGAGCTTCTCACTGTCAAAACAAGAGGCCATCACAGAAAGCCTAGAGAAACTGCTATATTAGTATTAGACAGCATATTTAGATATTAGTTAACTGTGTACCAATTTGTTATGAAAGTGGGGAATAAAACATGTGGTATAATTCAGCCATGTTAATAGTAACAAAACAACGCTCAAAGATTTACAGAAGGCAAACCTAAAGACCAAATACATACATAAATACAGTAGATAAAGAAAACTACTGATGATTTCATAGTGTCAGTAAAATAACCCAAGCATTTTGTGCATGTTAAATCACCATTGGTTTGGTTTACAATTATTTTATTATTAAGTAGCAGATTTCCTAGAATTATTTTAAGTGTGATGGCGAGTTTGATCGCTTTGCAAACCAAAGCTGCCAAAGTTCTAAGTTCTATAATACTGTAGAATGGAGAAAGGTTATCAGAAAGGTTTTTCAAGATTTATCTCAGATCTAGCATTGGTCCTATATTACACAAAATTTACTCTTGTGAGCTTTTAGCTATGTTATAATGTTCTCAAAAACATGCCTGGAGTGGAGCACTTCTTGTATTACACATGACATCACAAAGTAGAACAGAGTGTTTTCAGTTTGAGAAGAACTCATCTTAAATGTAGAGGGTTTGTGTGTTGAGTGTGTGAATGAAGCAAAATGCTAATCCAGGTATGCTTGTAAAACATTATAATATCAGAAAATACTCTAATGTGGGTCCTTTTGTTCCAAATGCTTCTTTTGTGAACATTTCAGAACAGCCTCACCAACCTTGAAGCGATAATCAGAAAAAAACTAAAGCTGCCAAGGTGTTAGTGGAACCAATATTGCAATAAAAGATGCCAGTTCTCACCAGATGTCAATCATTGTCATCCCAGGTTTGATCCAGCTCCTCACGTAGGCACGGACTTGCCTGTGTGCCTCTGCTGCCTGCCTAAAGTCACTCCACATCTCCTCATTGGCCCGGTCTAGAGCGCGCTTCTCTTCGCTGGTGGTCCGCCATGCTGCACTGCGCCTGGGGGGAGGTGGACACAGCCCCATGGCAAAGAGCCACTCATTATTTCCTCATTAAACAGACATTATCAACAAGGTTACAACATGTAGCTGCAAGAAGGAGAACTAAGCTGTGATGGCAATTATATGACAACATTTATATATAAGACTTGATTTATACTTGATTCAAGAGTCACTAACCTATATACCTTCTATAATAGGCAATTGATACTTTGCAACTGATGTCGTCAACGCTCCCTGGGGGTGTGATGGTAAGTGAAACTACTAGTATAGAAAGTACAAGATCTAGTATTACTCAATCAGACCATAAAGAGCTGACTTAGATTGAAGTGCAATTGGTGAGCTGATTTGTGCTGTTAAACAAGTCTCTCATACATAAAATTACAGTCAAATTCAAATACCTAAACATGACCATGAATGTTTCTAAGCCTGATAACAGGCTCCTGAAAAAACATGTATTTTTTCTTGAGTTTCAGACAATCTTAAAACTATTTTTGGCACTGTTTGCTAATGTGTGCATTGTGTCATTACGGTATCTACATGCAGAACACCCCCAGTGTCATGCCACTGCAAAGTATCAATAGGCAATACTTACCTTGCCAAGTAAAAGAAAAATGCTAAATATTTTGCAAACTATTTTTTATGCATACATTTTTAGCTACACTACCGTCCCCAAACGTGCTACAAAAGCTACAGTTTTACAGAGGCACAAGTGTTTATACTGAATTAGAAATAATACATTATGCAATACATTACTCTAAATGAGGAAATAGACATGCATAGTACAACGTGTCCCATTGAGGTACACTGACATAAAAAGCTACTAAAGAGCCCAAAATAAATAACCATGATGTAATGCTGAGTACAAGTCTAGGTAGAGGTCACGTACCCGTCTTTTGATGGGGGGGTACTCGCACTCCTCTCCTGTTGGAAAGTCTCCGTTGGGATAGAGCTCACAAATAGGGACTGAGGGAGGGTCAGTCTGTCCCTTCACTGTGGCCCAGATAGAGACAAGGAGAAGCACATGAAATCAGCAAAAATGAGGGGGCAAAAATGCAACCATAAAACTGATCCTCTGTCCATTTATGAAATTGATCATGTTCACTTAGCTAGACAGTATATGGAGGCACTCTAACCTACAGGTCTTATTAATCAAATACACTGCTACAGTTACAGCATGACTCTCAGATGGTGTCTTATAGTTTGTAGGCATTCTTCTTCATTTTAATGTATCCCTATTTATAATACAATGTTTTACTGACTTTGTTTTGCCATTGTTTAAGTTGGTTTAGTCATGATATTTCTCTTGTGGTTCTTGTTTAGTCCTGGCTTTATATTCTGTGCATATAATCAAAGTTTAGATTCAATTAAAGGTACACCATGTAAATTTTCTGGTAGAGGGTTGCCACCGGCTTTTCTCTGAGGAGATGTCATCGCTTTGATCCACAACTGACTATCTATCTTGCAATTATTCAATTACAAGTTCAAAAATACCTTGAAAAACATGCTTTCTTACAGTGGGTACTATGGAACATTCCAAACTAAGCAAAACACAGAAAAGAAAAAACAAATGGTGGACTCTTTATCAGAAATGTTATACTATGCATCTTTAAGTCATGTCCTGGTTTAGATTTGTTTAAAATATTTCCATTTCACTTATGGTTTAGTGCTAGTTGAAGTGGCATGTTTAGTGTCAGTATATTTCTGGTTATGTCCAATTATAGCCCTTGTTTTGTCCTACTGGAATAAACCATGATTGACTGATTGACTGTTGTTTTTTATTTTGGTAGTTTTACCCTTTTACTATTTAGACCCTGTTTGGCCAAAGTTGTAATTGGTGTGAAAAGTTTGAAGACCACTGGGAAATAACTTGTAACTTAACTGTAGCTTAATGTAGTTTCATTGAGTGGCTGATCTGATGTCAGAGTGGTAATGAGTGCTGTCATCAATCCTGAGACCTGCCTGAAGTGAAAGGTCCGCAGAGTTTGTCCTCTGTGTCCTGAACGGAGAATCTCTCTTGACAATAATTAGTCTGAACCTATACATGAGCCTGTTGTATTTGCCTAAAGAGATATGGAGTGACGCAAAGCAAGACTGTACATTTTTGGAGATGGTCTTTACAACAAAACCAGACTTACATCCTTTCTTCTTTTTCTTCCTCTTTTTCTTCTTGGAGGTTGAACTCTCTGCCTCATCTCCATCTGTTCAAAGATTATTTTAGGTAAGGTTTCATTAGCATTTTTGAGTGTCATGAAAAGCACTATACAGGTGTTATGTACAACTGCTATTATTCATATTGTTATATGAAGATATAACAACATTAACAAAAATGCTCACTTATGGAGATGGATTAACAAATGTCAGTTAATTAGATTGATTCATAGGGACTGTTTGTGTACATTGGATGCAGTTATTGTCATGCAGACCTATTAAAACTTGAGACAGCCTCAAAAAGAGCACAAAGCCCTGGGCCTTGTGACAGGAATATCATTATGATCCACTGTTAATTTACAATGTTTATGGATCTAGGTATCAATAAGTATTCAAAATGTGTGTTCTTAATTATCACATCTTATCTCTATATTTCATCTGGCATTATATTCATAAATCAGAAGTCACAGAGTTACTGAGTTCCTGGTAAAAAAGCTTAAAGCCCTGTGACAGCTGCGGGTGATGCTGAGGTGAAGTGAGACAGTATGCTGTTGCTGTGGCAAGGCGTACCTTCTTCTCCATCTTCCTCTCGCTCTTTGTCGTCCAGAGTTTGCTGCTCCAACTGTTTTGTAACATCACCGAAACCTCCGGCTTCTCCATCCCCTTCAGCTTCATTCGCCCCTGCTGCAAAGTCACACATTTGTCGTGAATGCATGGCCCGGACAAGAGGCACCCACACACACACACACACTCACACACACTCAGTGGAGTGAGTAAATTACTGGTGGTCACAGTCAGCCCAAGAAAGTGCCTTCACTCCTTGGCAGGATCTCTGCATAATTTCTTTCTATACATTGAGAGTCAATATTCTCAAGGGCAAAAGTACCTTGCAGCAATAGCCTTACAGATAAGACTCAGTTAACTTCAGGTGGGTTCAAGAGTAAACGGGTTACTCCTAATGACAAATCTAAAATACAAAAACAAAGCCAATAGCCTACATTTAGCTGATGGTTAAATTGATCTCCATCTATCATATGTACAAAGCAATACATAGCAAATGGAAATTAATATTATTTGTGTCCATACATGTTGTGGCCATACCGGCTTGTCAAAGACTGATCCCATCAGATTTCAGAAGCTAAACAAGGCTGGGCCTGGTTAGTACTTGGATTTGAGACTGCTGGGAAAGTCGTTTGGGCAAGGCACTTCATCCACATTACCTAGTATGAAAGTGGTGTGTGTGGTGGTTGGAGGTGCCAATAGCACGGATTGACAGCCTTGCTTCCGTCACTCTGTCCCAGGGCAGCTGTGGCTACAATAGTAGTTTACCACCATTAGGTATGGTGTTAATGAATAATGCTCTGTAAAGCGTCTTTGAGTGTCCACAAACGCGCTATATAAAACTTATAAAACTGATGCATTATTATTATAATTTTGAGAGTAATAGTTGTCATACTGTGACACAGGTGCCACTGGTGGTCTGGACTTCTGCCAGTCCTGATAAGCTGATGTGAAATGTTTGGTAGTTTTACCTGCCCAATTCCTGTTTTAGTGTTTAATCAGTGTTTAGATCAATTTGCTTATGTAGCTGGTTGAACTGTTTGGTTAAAACCCGGCTTCTCAATTGTAGTCCATACAGTTGACTAAAAACATGCCGTGGAGTAAAAAGTTTGAGAATAACTGATAAGAGCATTATGATCAGAAAAGGCTTGATTTCCAATTGTCTAAATCAGGATTACATAAGCGCCAATTTCCCACTTTAGCTGAGATTTGAGCATGCTTTTTTGTTCTCACAGGTTGGAAACTCTACTGTCCCGCATGATGCTCTGTAGAGTCTTGCCCCACACCAAGATACGAGAGAGAGCAGAAGCGCTACAACAGCCGCACGAAAGAAAACCAAAGTGATGCCACCTACCTAACCCTGCAGTCTTGTTCTTTTTCTTCTTTTTTCTCCTTTTCTTGACGCTCTCCGATGTGTCTGCTGCGTCCTCCGGCTCTTCGTTCATACCGTCCCCGTTGACAAGTTGCGGCTCCGCTTCGCTCAGAGGTGGCTCCGGTTCCGCCATGATCACAGACTGTAGATCAAGTGACGCATAAGCGCTGAGAGCCTCCTGTGGTCACACAGGAGAAAAAGTGGGGTTTGGAGCGAGGTAGCGGCCAGTAATAGGCTTCAAGCTGTTATCTTTCTGTTTAACCCCAGTGCAGGAAATAAAAACACGTTTATTTATTTTCACATTAAATAAACAATGTGCCTGTAATTATTCAACCAAAGATAGACGATTTTAAAATCAATCTATTAATTAAAATAAATGGACCATTGGGATTGGAAATTTTACTGAGGCAAACGTTTATTTATTTATTTATTTATTCATGTATGTATTTATCTATTTATTTATTTTATTCTGTCATACCTGCTACTACATACTATAGTCTTAATTATTATATATATTTTTTTCTTGGCTCCATTCTTCATAGTCTTTCATTCATACATTTTGTTGTATTCATTCACACTTGTCTACATAACCGTACGTGACCCTTCTTCTCCAGTTACCCACCATCACGTGACCTGTGTAAAGTCCGTGAACTTGTGTTTCCAGGCGACGGCTCCACGCTGCCGTACAGCAGCCTATGAGTGCGGCTCGCTCCAGGGGGCTCATGTAAAAGTATCCGCACACACTGCCACACAAAGAAGGTCTAAAAGGGCAGGGCGTATGGAGGTGCACTACAACAATCAGGGTCGTGTTTTCTGAAGGTCGGGCAGCGCAGGGACATTTTCAAGATCACTTGTGTGTGCGTCCTGTTTAAGAAAGCGATGACGACTTCTGTTGGCCCCATGTACTTCTTTGATCAGGTGAGATAGAAAATTGGATTGGCTTCTTCCCAGTATTAAAATGTAGGACTAATAGATAGACAGCTTTAATTACAGCATATATTGTTTGTTTTTGTACAGCCAACAAGACAAAGACGCAAAAATAAAGGAAGAAGTATTAACTTAGACCTGAGTGGGGAGAAGGAACAATGTCAAAGAGAAAACAAAGACCAACGGTATAATATTACATACATTCACTTGGACAGTGCTTTTCAAACTATAAGTTACTGAAACCATATAGTTTTATATTACTTAAGGCTTTTAACTGTGGAACCAGTTTGTTTGGCTTTCAAAACAGCAGAATGTGGGACTTTTAATCTCTTAGTGAATTAGGTTAAAGACATCAGGACACAGAAACAAAATAATTTCAGTGGATGCAACTAAAGAAAATAGTTTGTTTTAGTATTTTCTCTCTAGAGGCAGACCAGACTTCAGTGATTGTTATAGCACAGTTTTACATTTTAAGACAGCTTTGCTGAAACCCCTGGGGCTGGTTAAAGTCACCAAAATACCATTATAGTGAATGAGGAAGGAATTTCAAAGGACCTCAAAGGTGCCAAAGTAAGATTGATCACATCATCTGTTAATAGATTTATATGTCACTGGGGGTGCATTGACTTTTTTTGATTGTGGCCTATATGGTGCATAGGGTTATAGGAATAGTAGAAAACAGTCCATCTATCAATGCACTTACTATTCTTCCCAAACTATTATAACAGTTAAAATAGAAGGAAGACTTAGTTTTTGTCAAATCTGATGTGTAGATTTATTAAAGTTTTCCTCTGGTCTCTTTGAACAGTGACTTACCCAAGGTGCTGCCAGGTGAAGCACAAGAGGAGGCTAGACCTGAGATCTCTTCGTCTGTTTTTAGCCTAAAAGAACAGGATGTGATAGACGCATACAAGCGCACAGCCCCGCAGTTACTCAGTGAACTGGCTCATGTTCTTTCACAGCACAAGTGGAGCGCTGAAGGTCGACTTCCTCACGGGCTTGTGAACATCCTCCACTACACCTGGCAGGAGCTGACCGCAGGGGCCCGGCTGCTGCCTGCTCCACAGCACCCAGAGAAACACACAAAACCTCTGGCATCATCAAATATAGATTTATCCCCTCAACCCCTATCAGCCAATCAAAAACGAGATAGAGAAGTAGCCACCTGTCAAGTTAAACCGCAAGTCAGCAGCACCAGTGCACGTGTGAAGAAGAAAAAGTCCCGCGCCTGCAAAGGTAGGGGAAACACACCAGTGTAGAGCAGTATCTATCTGCTAGATTATTGCATTAAAGCTTTATAAATAGGAAGGAAAGTAGATAAAAATTGATTTTGCCAGTCAGCACCAAGTTCGGCCTCCAACAGATCGATAATGCATCAAATGAATCTGTTCAAAGTAATATTTCAGTATTAAGAAGAACGAGGTGTCATGATGTACACAGTTAGTAGCAAATAGTGAAATAAATACCGGACTTTTCAGATTATAAGAAAAAAGACCAATGATGTAGTCTTATGGAATAGATGGAACATTCTCAAAGCACATCCTTATTATGTATAAGTATGTTTTTATACATTTAAAGAACAAACTAAGTATAAGTTTCTTACATTATTTATGGCATAATAATAACCTCAAAATCACTGTTTGTGATGTGTGAACTAAGTTAGACTTTCCTTGGATGCAGAATACACACTATCATTCTGGATTTACCAGGCAAAAATCATCTAGCATTGTTACCAGGAGGATAATGAAGTAAAAGTAGTAAAGTATTTGGTGTCTGTACTGAACAAACAATAATATACAATATTCAGCACGGATCTTTATCAAAATGACTACATTTGAAGCCTCAGAAGACCTCAAAATCTACGCAAAATACTTTGACTTTTTACTCTTTAAGTAGATTTTAAACAGGTACTTTAACACTATTCCTTAAGTGTATTTTTCACTGTGATACTTTTTTTTTTGCTCCTGTGATACTGTAATACTTTTTTTGTACTTCTACTTAAGTAACACAATTTAGTACTTCTTCCACCACTGATTGTTACACAGTGTTCTTTTTCTTCTGCAGATCTCAGCCCAACATCTCTTAGTTTCTCAATTTTAAACCAGAGCAGCAGTGATCAAGGTACCAAAAACCAACAAAATTTGACCAACTATATCAGTCATTAAGTGTAAATGTAAAATGCCTTGATTAAACTTAATTTTTATATTGGTACTCAGCCTGGAAAATACAGCAACACCACATATCATGCACTGAGGACATCCATTTGTACAAGTGGGCCCTGGAGCGTCTACAGGGTGCAAGAAGTTCAATGTGGGTAACTTTATCTCAGATGGGGGGTAGGAGCCACTTTTCCCATATTGATTACATTGTACTTTACCATGAAATATCCAAAATGTAAATTCATAAATGTTGAATCTGATCATTTCTATTTAAGGTCCTATATTACACAAAATTCTGAACTTTAAGCCATGTTGAAATGTTGTTACCTCATCAAAAACATATCATTCACGCATGTTTGAGTAATTCTGTATTATTAGTCTGTCCACATCTCCAAAACTCAAACTGCTTGGTTCCACCTTGTGATGTTTTGAATCAGTCGTTTTCAAGTTAACAGCTACCTTTTTACCTTAAGTACAAGTAGAGATAGGCATTTCTAGAGCTGAAATTATCCAAATGATTCTAGTCAAGGTGTACAAAGTTTAAAAACAAAGTGGTGCATTTCCTCATTACGTCATCATATAATTTTTTGATGTGGAAACAGCATTATAAAATAGATCAGAAAATAGCACACTATGGGCCCTTTAATTACTAGATCCAAGAACTCATTGTAATACACCAAAAAATTCAGCTGCCCCCATCATATTAAATAGTACTGGTCTGTAGAATATTTTGATACCATCTATAACAAAGCAGTTCTCTTGCTTCTTAGATGTTCATTCACATGTTGCATTCACAGAGTACCATCATCAGAGCCTAACTGGCCACTATTACTACGACACTATGGAGATGCACGGCCAAAACAGGGGGATAAAAGTGAGAGGAGTAAAGCCCATCCTGGGATGTTTTTAAATGGTTTGCCCCAGATCCCTGATATGCAGCTGCCAGACCCACGGAAGAACCAACAGAAGCTACACTACCGGATCAGCGATGGCTCCTCCATAATATAGTACCTATCTCACAACATCATGTATATTCATTAGCTGTTGTCTGAGTGCTTATGCAGTGTAAGGCATATGGAAATCACGCCACTGCAATTGACCTGTGACTCTCTGACCTGCCTCCTCAGCTACCCGTCTGGTTGTATGGCTGTGTGCCAAAGCTGCTCTGGTCAGCCTTCTGGAGGTTTTTACTCCAATGTTTTTTCTGATAGTGACCCTCCTGTGGTCATTGCTACGATTACAGCGTTTGGACATGGTACTGTGATGCACCCACACAGGTAGAATACAGGACTATAAATGTTTCTATAATGTTTTATTGTCTATGCAGTATGTGACAGCCTATGTGATATTCTCCAGTTCTGCCATTTCAGCAGTCTGGGACCAGGAGGGTGGGCTTATACTTGACCACCAAGGCCGTGTAACTAAGGAGTGGAGCTGGTCTACATTATTCACCAAAAGAAGGATTGTAATATGGGTAAAATCCAACACTGTATTAAAATGTGTTTGTTCATTGTGTATAAGTATGCAGAACAAGAGGTTAAAAAATTATATTTGTGACAGTTTTAAACCTGGATTAATGGGGAAGATGGGCTAAATGACCCAGAAATGTTGTTAATTGTATTTACTGTATGAGACTAAAATCTTTGTGTAGGATGGGCCCAGGCGGACAGGAAACCTATTATAGAGAAAGAGAAAAAAACTCCTTATAGGGAATTATTCCTGGATGACTAACTGTTGTATTAAAGTTTTTAATTTCTGTTTTAGATTTCTGTTGAAATATCTCTGGACTTGTTCAGTGGTTCTTCTGCCATGCTCAACTTTAAATGTGACAATGAACTCGTACAGCTACCCATTACTGCATTATCAAACTCCAATGCAGCAAAGACAATGGTAAAATTGATGGTTTTAGCAGGAATGAACAGGAATGATATAACTCCCAGAATAAATGAACATCAATGTGTTTTGTTCTTCCAGTTTTATTTGCAGTCCAACACTCCATTCACTTCTGATACAGCCCAAGACCTCCTCAGGGCTCACTGTCCATACCTCTGCACAGACATCAATGAGATGAGGGTAAGTGAAGGTTATCTAACAGGCCTACAAACATGAATCTTGCAGTACTTTATCATACAGTAAGTCCTATTGTGCATGTGATGGTGCCTGGCAGGTGTCTTTGTGTTCACAGGACGCCCCACAGATGGTCAGAGCAGTGGAGCGGCCGGAAGAGGCAGTGTCTGTTTGGAGGAGGGAGGGACGAGCCACGAGGGAGCTGAAGAAAATCCAGCAAAGAGTACAGTGCATTCTGGAGTCATGGATGGACTTCTACTGCATGGCTATTGGTACTGGTATCAAGTACACAATGCTCTGTTTTTGAATTTCAAATATGTTTTTAAGATAAGATAAGATAACAGAACTTTTATTTGTGCCACAATGGAGGAAAATTCTGGTGTTGCAACACAAGGTTTGAGAATAGAAGAATAGAATAGAAAAAGAATAGAAATATGCAACCCAAATGAATATAAATAACTATTGAAAGTTCTTTGTGAGCGAAATGTACGTCTTTCTGGTACTGCCATCGTAGTCTTACTAATTAGACCTGACGATGTCCAGAATGCCCACTGGGTGAGAGAATCACAGTTGCTACACTCAAGTCAGCCTTAAATTCTAAATGAAACAGTGGAAAAGCAAATGAGGAAGTTACTAATAGTGTCTTGACGATCTGTGAAGCAAAAACATACATTATCACTTCCTCCTGCAATCTCAACATTATTGAATTGTTCAATCAGGATCTTGTTCACGGTCACTTGTGTCAGTCAGTATCTGTGTGCATTTCTCACTGACCTCTCCCTCTCCTTCAGGAATCAAATGTCCCAACATGCAGCGGATGCCAGATGTCCCACCGAGGTCCAGGCTGAAGAGAGAGGTACAATCCGCTGCTCTGCCCTCTCTGAACTCACCTGAGCGCACAAACCATGAGCCCGCCCCAACACAGGAGGAGGAGGCGCTGCACGGACACCGGTCAGCAGCACCAGGACCAAAGAATCACAACGTGGCTTTAAAACTCTTGAGGTAAAACTAATGTCCATAGTTTAAAGTTGTACTGTGTAACTTTGCTGGTGAAGGGTCTGCCAGTTTATTAACCTGTAATTGAATAAATACAAAACAAAAAAGGTTCATGATAATTTTGACCAATCCAATCCAGACAAAGCAATAACATCTCTATGGACCTAAACCCTCCGCCAGAAAAGTTACATAGCGCACCTTAAACTAACTAATTAAAACTGAAGGTAGAATTTATTTTCAATATCTGCCTAGTTTTGGAGTATTTGGGGTTGGTCAGAGGTTAGAGCATTTGCCCATAGACCTGAACAGTGGTGATTTGATCCAAGCTCAATCTGATGCATACTGTTGTTGTGTTCTAAGGCAAGACACTCTAACCACCTTCACTATGTATGAATAGGGTGTGTGAGTGAAAGATTGGTGGTAATATGAAAGGCAGTAAATCCATATTGGGAGCCAATTTTTTGTGGTTACCCCAAGGTAAATTTGTGTTTCAATAAATCATCAGGGGCATATTGGATTTTACTTCATTAGATTTGTATTTATTTATTAAAGGGATAATGCATATTAAAAGACAAGATAATGCAAAAGAAAAAACATGTACCTGCAAATATGCAGGACTGTAGCCAAAGCTAATTTCCATCTTTAGTCCCCTGCTGGGCCAAGGCCATCTACATAACCCTCACAAATCAATGAACCATAGTAAAATGCATTGCCACGTAAGATGTAGTATGTTTCGTCATACTGAGTATGTGTGTATGTTTCAGCTGTCCACAGAAAAAATGCACCAAGGAGGAACCTCCCATCACATGGATTGGACCTGTTCAGTTTTATGGCAACATCAAGCGGGAGTAAGACAATGGTGTATATTGTAGAACAATTGCAATAATTAAATAATAATCATCATGATATTAGTTCTCCTGATTTTATCATGTTAGGTCGGTGATACTTCCAGTAGACCCAGATCAACAAGCCACATGTGCTTCATACCCAGTGCAACTGCCCTTCACCCCCTCTGCCCCTCTCACTCATTGCCCCGTCCAGCTCCGAGCTGCTCTGAGTGGAGACAGCACACAGAAACGATGCTGCTGTAGCCCGTTAACAATGCCACTGCTCACAGACTTGGAGTATGATCTCTTTATTTTGGGCCAGCCTCCGCACAGTCACCAGATGCTGATAGTATATGTAACATGCCAAAATCTGTACCCCCACACGCCGGGCACAGACGCACCAGAGCAGCTCTACAGGAGAAGGAACAAGCACCGGATGACACCGTGCACTCAGGTGTGACCGCTGCAGAAACAACTCAAATAACTCAATGTACCTTTTCTCCAGAAGGTTACGAGAACATTCACTTTCATCAGCAAATACAATGAGTGTTCTTGTAACTAATCCACCAAGGACAACGCACTTTGCATTATCTACAAAAAAGAATAAATCACTACAGTCAGCAGAGTGTATCTCTCATATACAGCACTGGCAAGGTGTTGTAGCTCTGTTATTAAGAACTGAATAGTGAAGGTGAACAGAATATGCCAAATGACTCACATTTTTAACTCTTTTTAAAATCTTTTTGCAAACTAAAACATCTTGACAGAAGTATGAAAGAATGGAAATTAATCAAAATTTTAAAACTAGTTGATTTTTGTTAGTATGTTTTTTCTTTATTCCCGTTCTCATTTTTAATAATATTTCAAAGTATTCTGTAAATATGTTTAGATTTTTATACCTTTTGTTCACGTTACTATACCTTCTTTTTTTTAAATTATTATTAATTTATTATTATTGTGTATGTTTTTAGAGTCAGGTGGATTCATTTCGCCTTCTGAAGTATGAGATCTCAATACCAAATCCCTGTTATGAAGCACAGAAATCTTTACTGCAGCAACGGCACAACGCAGCTCCCGGGATGATCCTGGTCAGTACAACCACACTGCAGATTTGGCCACAGGGCTTTGTTGTACTGTGTTAGACCACTAGAGGGCAGCAGTGATCACTTGGAGGAGGCAGTTGCTGGGGTGAAGTGAAAACAGGGGTATAAACCTAAAGCTATTTATCATTATAATGTCAGTAAAGAATGGGCCTACTTAAGTACAAACTGGAAGGCTAATATTTAATGCTCAAAGTGGTGACAGCAGCTTTAAAGATTTGGCTATAAGATGAAAAAGCCTGTTAAGATGATTTATTTAATGTATTCAATTTCGCATAATGATTTGGAAAGGTGCCAATATTTATTTAGGAAAACAAAACCCCAAGGTTATATAGAATAAAATTGTGTTTTCATGCCCTATTAACAGCAGTGTATAATTCATAATACTATGACAGAGAGACAGAGAGGTGATTGATACATTTAAAGCAGTTATTCTTTATTAATTGTTCATTTCTTATTAACAGATGTACATTAAAGGGAAGCTGTTGTTCATTGGTTACATTGAGTACACTGATCACAGCTGCCCAATTAAAAACATTGAAACTCAAATCTCCAAATCCAGAGGACAGTATAGATCAGGCTTGTACCTCCCTTCAGACTTCAAGTTCAGGTGAGGACTATGCAACTATAATTATTTGTTTTGTTTTAAAGCACCACCTCTTGTAATAATAGTTTGCAATACAATGTTGAACATATTATTTGAGCATGCTTGATTTGTTTTTCTCATATTGTAGTGACAAAGTTGATACTCCTGTAGCTAAAGACATTACATCATCAACTATACAAGGAAGTAAGTCCAAAAAGAATGACTTGAATGAAGTAATGGAAAAGTCTCATGTAAAAAGTATGACAAGCTATTTGACTTTAGTCACTTTTAACCTTAATAGGCCTATATAAACATGCTTAATAATTTGTATATTTACTTATTTTGTAGGTCCAGAGATAACAATACCCCAGTCCAAAAAAGACAGTTATTATAAACAAAAGAAGACCTTTTCCACCTTGTGACTCACACAACCTAATAAATATATGTAACTTGTCTTCTTGACTAGTACATGTTTATTTGACGATTCCTGTAGGACAGTTTATCATTCCCAACATTTGCCTAATTGACCTACAATATTTAGTTTTTAATTGTTAAATTGTTGAAATCTACGTTACCTTTTTCTTGGGTTCCTGGGTACACATTTGATTTTTGCTTAACAGCTATCTGATTAAGTAAGTAAGACTTTATTTATAGAGCACTTTTCACAGCTAAAAAATCGCAAAGTGCTTTACAGAGTGCAATGAAGAACATGTAACAAGAATAAAAAGAGAAATTACAGACACAGTCAACCAAAAGCTTGTCTAAATAGTTGTGTCTGAACTGAGTCAATGGAGTCTGCCACACAGAGGAGTAGGGGCAAGGAATTCCATAAATTTACATAGCTGCATGACATTGAACTTAAGAATGCCACAATACCTGCCTGGATGACCTATTTACTGAAAGTGAAAATAGGTTTAGAGTTTTTATTTCTATCAAGGAACCACTAGCATATTTCTAGTTAAGAAAAGTCACGTTGGCATTGTATATCTTTTCTTTTTAAGATGATTCCTGTAACTCTGTGACAAAATTACAGGATTACAGCATTATCAAAACAGCTGATCAGTCGAATGTTTACTTCCTCAAAGGTGACAGTGGCTCAGAACTGGTCCAGTCCACTCACTGCCACTCATAGGCCTGAGGTCAAGATGATTCATAGTCTGTAATATTAATATGCATTGAAGTGACGATATGCAGGAATCTGGATGAACTTGCTGAATGTTGCATGCACAATGATTTAAGACTTTTATGACAGTGATAAGTTTGAATGCAATAATAGTTAACCTTTACAAATGAAACAGTGAGCAGCTGCTAACGCCCCCTAGCGGCGTGTTTACAGAAGCACGAGGAAACTGATTTCCCTCGTCTGGAGCCGTCAGATCCTCAGTGCAGGAGCCCATGGACTAACGTGAGGGCTGGAGCAGAGAAAAACCTGACAGAAATTTAAGTCACCTCGATTTCTGGTGATGTATTCCCGGATAATGGATTTGGATCTACCCCCAAGTTAATTTATGCTTATTTAAAAGCGCAAACAGGAGCAACGCGAAAAGGAACAATGTTGAACACAGGTAAGCTAGCTCAAAAGTTCATCATGTTTACAGGTGAAGTTTAAATTTTTACCCAAAAGCTTCATGTTATTTTGGTAGTTCTAATCTTTGTATAGCACATTTTAATATAGCTTCACTTGACATCTTATTATCTTACCAAGTTGTTTGATATTTGTCCCTAATCAAATCTTAATAGGCAAGCTTTGATGTATTTGATTAATAATATTATATTGTAGCTATACCGTAGTTGTTTAATTCATAATTCATAATAAATTTAATTCATTATATTTATCTAGTTTTGTTAACTTTGGCTGGTTTTTATGCCACTAAATGAACCAGCTGAACCAGTTTGCAAGAGTTTTTACATGACTTGCCCCCTCCTCTCTTCTCCACAGCCTACCCCATCTATTATTATGTCTGTCTGGTGTGGACCTGTCTCATAGTGGCTGGATTGGATTTCACTGTGTTGTTTCAGACTAAATGCATGTGATTTTTTAACCTTGTGGAGGTAGCCTGGTACTGTATGGCAGCTTTACACTAAGCTGCCATTGGGTTAGGATCAGAGCAGATTTAAATGCTTGAACTTGCTTTAGGACGGCGACAAAAAAATAGAGATATAAATAACCGTGTCATATTATCTAGACGTTTTAATGAAAAAAAAAAAATCAATCAGTCAATTAAAAAAAATTAAAATAAAAAATAAGCAATTGGCCTGATTTGTTATTGAAACTTTCATTTAGGTTTTGCAATAGTTCTACCTAACCTTTCTACTTGTAATTGTCTGTTGAGAAAGCTGAATAAAAACAGGACAGCAAATTATCTAGTTTGCCGTGCAGAGCGTGACACACCTCTTATAGTTCTTCAAAGCTATATGTAGTATTTGCAATAGATGACAATGTAGAGTTATTTCAATTTCAAAAGGGTCTCATTTGTTTATTTTTTTCAATTTCAGGTTATCATAAGCCACCTCTGGCTCCAAAACCTAAAGTTGTCCCATCTCCAAAGTTGGGCTTGTCCCCGGCGTCTCAAAGAAAAGAGGGCCTCTCACTGGCAACTTCTGCCCCACCTCATAAACCAAAACCACTTCTAGCTCCCAAGCCCGTTCTTCCTAAAGTTACTGGATCTCCAATCCCAAATAAAAAGCAGACAACTGGACCAGACAGCGCAGTGGGCCTGTTAAACTCTCAAAATGGACATAAGCAAGAAAACAAAAGGCCAAACTGGGATTATATCATACCTATTTGTTTGTGCAACAATGCAAATTGCAGATGCATCAAAAATGAAAGATTTTCCAAATTAGAAAAGGACTTGATAACACAAAACAAAAGTAAAACTGAAACTGAACACAGAAAAGTGGTGAGTGACAATAACGTGGACAATGATGAATCAAAAACTCCCATATTAAAAAACACTACTCAAAATGATTCAATGGGGAATAATTCAAATGGGAACATCATCAAAAATCACAAACCTGTCTACAGTCCCACCCTGACTAATCGCTCATCTGTTCCTCCTAAAGTCCAGCAGGAGGCTAAAACTAACGTCATTTCTCAAACTACACATGGACTTGCACAGAAAGAAGACAAAATTTCTAGTTCATCCAGTGCTCTCCCAAACTCAGCACCCACTAGGAAACCCGCCCCTGTCCCTGTACCTCGGAAACCCCGGGTGCAGGAGCAGGAAAAGGTGGAGGGAGGCATAGGGAACCAGGAAGTAACTGTGTCATCAGAGGTGAAGCACTGCCCATCCGTATCTGTCAATACACCTTTGGCTCATTTAAATGCCCCAGGTCTCATCCGCAAACCAGCATACGCCCCCCCAGCTCCTCCACACAAAAGGACATTTCTCTCAAATTTTGGCAGCGAGGATGTAGATGAGGAGGACTTGGACTGGGATGTTCAGGAGATGTCAGTTGATAAAAGTGACGATGAATTTGAAGGAGACAGCACTGAAGAGCCAATCTATAACTCTGCAGATAGCCCTATTAGCTCACCAATCCAACCAAAAGAAGTTGTGATAAAATTACCACCACAGAAACCACTAAGGCGGAACAGTCCAATGACAAGAAGTAAGGAGTTGTTTGAGGACGAAGACAAAAAGATGTCTGGACAAAAGGAGATTCAATCTTTGCAGGATACTAAAGAAGTCTTCATGAGGCAGCTGCCATTGCCACCAAATAACGAGACGGCCGCAAATCCCACGGCAGCAATAAAAGCACGATCTTCAAGTCTTGGCAAGGCCAAGTCGTTTTCCAGCACTGATGCATCTCGCCCTCAGAAACACAGAAAGAACTCGTTTAAAAAGTTCCTGGACTCTAACCTGAAGAGGTTTATGGGGAAAGGAGGCCAGGTGCATGATAGCAGCTCTGAAGATGAAATTGTGCAGGAATACAAGGGGGAGCGTAAGTTTTCCTGTCCACTTATTGAAAAACTCCCAAATCCAACTGAGCAGCAGGATTACTATGAAGACATAGATGACAATGTTTATGAGCCTATAGACGACTATGTCAACGTCAACGTGGGAGAGAAAGAAACATCAGCATGGGAGGATGAAGTATGGCCAAGCCCAACATCTAACGAGGATGATGAAGATGGTCTGTATGAGGCATACATTAAACTGGAGAAGAACATCCCACCACTACAAGAACAGTATGACTATCCCAGGTAAAATGTACTTAAAAATGGGATTATGGAAATAATTTATATATAGCACTGTGGCATGGTAAACTCTTCAAAAAAGAATTAAAAATGAGATTATTCTCATAGCTATGTCATTATTTTTCATGAAAAAATATAGAAATTTGAGGAACACTAAATACTAAAATACTAAATTTGGTGATACATTATCATTGTCATGGGCTACTATATCAGTATATTGCCAAGAGTGACTGCACTACAATTTTGTTGCTTATTTAGTGGAAGGAAACTTGTTTCTGCAATAAGCTTAACATATTCACTGTTGTGATTATCAAAATAGATGCATTTCATATTAATTTTTGCTTAAGTGGTTTAACAAAGAAATATTGTTGCTAAAATGTATTTGGTTGTTAAAAAACTGCAACACATCATAGAGTATCATGTGCGAGATATCGATTATCACATGTATCACCATATCGTGATAATATCATATGGCGAGTCATATATCGTATGGAATTGTGAGGGACCCTGTGATTCCCAGCCCTTATTGTAAGAGATGGAAAATACCAGAGAATGCACCAAGCTGTTATGACAAACATGCCATGTGTCTATTAATGCCCAGACAATGACAGAGCATGTGCTTCTTGGATCATATTGCTGTCAGAGCAGTTTAACTCCTAGTGCACATTGACCCAGTAATTAAGTTATTTCTCTTATCTTGCCATGACAGAGCACAGTTGGTCATTAAGACATAAAATTATATATTTTTGCATTGCCAGCCACTGTGGCACTAGAATCGCCAGTAAACTTTAGTCAAAAGAACACTGCAAAAATGCAGCTTCAAAACAAAGTATTTCATGCTCATGTGCTACCCCATGATAATTTTTTTCTTCTAACTCCCATCTTAAATGACTAAAGTTATGTGTTGTTCAGTATGACCAGTGTTGACGGCTGTAAATAGGATTACATTTGTGTAATTATGCGCTGTGACTTGTACAGGTTACAGATTACACTGTTTGGACGTTATGCTTTATGTGCTTAGGTTTATGTGTATGTATATGTGTATATCGCTCCCGCATAGGCCAACATTATGTTTGTGCCAACCAGCTGACTAAATAAAATGCAATTGGATTGTTAGAACAGCCTTAGCTTCAGTCCATAAGAAAGGGGCACTGCGCTTAAAGCAGTGCTTCTCAATTATTTTCTGTCATGCCCCCCCTAGGACGAATAAAACATCTCGCGCCCCCCGCGTGACTATAGATAGTATCATTTGTCTATAAAATTGTTATAAGTACACCTCTGCATAACACTGCCACCTTATATGATGCCAACAACGCTCGCTGGTTTACTGAAGTAGCAGTCACAAGCGGGATGATTGTCGGCAATATTCGGCACGTTTTCGCTGAAAAATCTCAAGCGGCTTATCAGAGTGATCGGGGTGTAATGTATTTAAGTGACGCCTTAATTTATTGGGCTTCATGCTGTCCGCTGCCAACATTTTTAGACACAGTAAGCACACCGGTCTTTCCTCGTCTCCCACCGTAGTCACAGTGAAGCCGAGCGCTACATACGCTTCGTCATATTTCCTCGTCTTAGCTTTCGGGAGATTTTCGTTTGTCTCTTTATCTCCGTCTCTCTCCACCTGTCTTCTCATCCCTGTTAAATATTTTTTTCATGGTGTCACTTGAGGGTCTGCTACACTTCGTGTCTACACTTCATACTCAAACTCTGTGCTGTGTGCAAAGCACGCATGCTCAGTGCAAACAAAACTCCTACACCACCGAGCGAATGCTCCCTGCGCACACTCTGCCAATGAGAGCGCCACTGCCCCCTAATGTAGTGGAAGTGCAATTGCACTTTATTCTAAAGGCCAGTTCAGACCAAAGCGTCAAAGCGTCCACTTTTTTATGTAAAGTCTATGTGGACGCGCGACTAGAGCGTCCTGCGTTTTTGCGGCGCGTTTTTCGGCGTCAGCGCGGCGCGAATCTGGCGTCAGCGCGGCGCGTCTTCAGCGTTTTGGCGTCAGCGGCCAAGACGCGCGTCCAAAGCGTCAGCGTCAAGAAGTTGAAAACTTTTCGCGTCAGACGCGCCGCGTCAACCAATCAGGGACGAGTATCCAGAGACGCAGCGACGTTATTATCAGGAAGAAAGACCCGAGAACCAGAACGAGAACCACAAACACGAGCGGAGAATAAATATATACACCACAATCACCGAGCTGATCGCGAGGAATACACCAGGACCGGACCAGGACCAAACCAGGACTAGACCGGGACTAAAACAAGGACTAGACCGAGACTAAACAAGGACTAGACCGGGACTAGACCGTGATTAGACCGGGACTAGACCGGGACTAGACCGTGATTAGACCAGGACCAGACCGTGATTAGACCAGGACTAGACCGGGACTGATCCAGTGTCATTAGCGGAGTAGAAATATATATACGCCCCAGTCGTCGACCCGATCTCCTCCGTTGATGTTTTATGTCATAAAAACACTCTCAGTCTGGTCTGATATTGTTTCGGGAAAAGAGCGGGACCGGGGTCTTGTTTCCAGGGCAACGGATGCGCGTCGAGTATTTTTGTCCCGTTCGTCCACGGCGTCAAAGACGCGCGTCGGGGGGCGTCTAAACTCAAATGCAAAGGCTCCAAATAGAGGCGTCAAGGCGTTTTTTTGACGCTTTGGTGTGAACGGCCCTTAAGACAGTAAAAAACATCTAAATAAAAAAATAAAAAAGCATGTTCCCCGAGGTCAAACGCGCCCCCCTTGACGGAGCCTCGCGCCCCCCCAGGGGGGCGCGCCCCACTATTTGAGAAGCACTGGCTTAAAGAGACTACACAGCTCATAGATTTGAAGGGAAACAATTATGTCTAAAACTAAATCATTTTATGTATTTTTTTATTATTTCACTTTACTAATGTAGAGCAGTGCACTGTAATTGCATTTAGAGGTATTTTTATTAGTGGGGAAAATTATTACTATATTTATATTGACCACAAAATATCTTATCAGCCACCATTTGAACACAACACATTTTGGTGATCTCTAGTTAAAAGCTGCAGTTGTATTCACCACAGCCAAATGATTGATTATTGAGCCCTGTCCTTCTTTGTTACAGGGAGTTGCCATTGCCATTGTATGATAAGTACTTCTCCAGACAGTTGTGGCATGTTAGATATGTTATTGTTACACACAATTAGGGATGGGACAGTAAACAGTAATACGGTTTACCGTGATAATCGCCAACAAAGATAATCACCATTGTATCACCAACATGTGTAGAAAAAAGCTACTTATCCATCATGATGTCTGCTAGATCAAAGTATAATTATATAAAAGTTGTATAAACATAGAACTTATGGATAACATTAAAATTATAAACATATCCATATTATAACATATCCATAACATTTTTGAACTGTCAGCAACTAATAATTATTGTGATATAATCGTTTTGACCATGATAATTGTGACACCAAATTTCAGTATCATCCCATGCCTACACACAATTATTTTTTGTAAGTTATGCCTAGTAAACCTATTCAGGAGGTTTTATTTAGAGCCCGACCGATATATCGGCTGGCCGATATTATCGGCTAATATGGGCACCTGGAGACATATCGGCTATCGGCCGATATACTTGCTGATATGGGCCGATATTTCACGTGGGCATGTTATACCTCCTTATAAATCTTAGACTCTCTACATTATGTTCATTTAATCCAATTTACAGACAGATAAATGTCCTAATATGTGGCTCCGCATCAGTATTTATCTGCGGTGTAATTTGTCTGTGTCCGTACTGTCCCTGAACACACCACCAGAGTGACGTCACTTCACTCGCGTGTGTTTGTTTACACCCGCAGCCGTGCGCAACATTGAGATTATATTCTTTTTCGGACAATCGGTTTGAGTCTGGATTAAAAGGACATTTATTAGTGCAGACTTGTGATGTGAGGAGGAGCCTGTGTGAGCGGTGAGTGTTGGAAATACATCGACTTTGAAGCTAGTTTAGGTTTTGTTAGCGGTTAGCTGCTGTAGCTCCCACACATAAACAGGCTGTTTTCTATTGGTCTATTGTAAAGTGACTACATTGGCCGTATATTTGTTACTGGACCTGCATTGATATGTAAATGAGCTGTGAATAGACGTGTGAATGATCCACATTTATGCATATAATTAACTACCGCTTTGCGCAGCATTTACGGCTAAAGGCTAATAGCGATAGTTTACTAGCTAGGAGTTATGGGTCGGTCGCGATCGAAGCGGCTCTTAGAGCGAACAACGGGAGCCTGCTTCTTATTGGGAGCCGTGTTTTCTCTTTTTTCTCACTTTTTCTCTTCATGCCGCTTGTAGACCCGTAGTTTGACAGCAGCAGCGGCTGAAAACGAAACTTTCAGAAATCTGCGTGTGCATAGGATAAAAAAAAGTGCATATTTGGCTGCAGTTCAGCACAAAATGAATAAACCAGGACTAATCTTGGGCTCGAGTGCAGGAGAAAGATAGAAACCGAGTCCCGACACTCAGTCCTGGTTCAGTTCTGGTTTAGTCCTGCTTGCAACAAAACAATCTCAAGAGTCGCTTGGGAGCCGAAAGAGCCAGCTGCTTTAGTGAGCTGAGCCAAAAGAGCCGGTTCTCCAAAAAAAAAAAAAAAAAACTGGAATCCCCATCACTAGTAGTTAGAATGTGATGCAAAAATGCCATTAGGCCAATCTACTGTATGTAAATATGATGTAAAGAGTCAAAATAACAATAAATGTTGCCTAAATAAACCCAATTTAGAATTCACTAGAGCCAAACCTAAGTTTTTTAATCAATTCAAGATTTACAGTGAATTTTTACATCACTAAATATATCGGTGATTATATCGGCTATCGGCAGCTCCAACTCCCATTATATCGGTTTCATATCGGCCACAACAAAATCCATATCGGTCGGGCTCTAGTTTTATTAAATATCTTGTAGGGATGGCACAGTAATCACCATCAAATCACCAGTTTGTTCACTGTCATTTTATTTTAACAGAGCTTCTTACCAGGTGGACACTGCTGAGGAAAGACCGTCAGATGAAGACATAATGGACAACACAACTGATGAAGAGGAGGATGATGATTTTGATACAAGCTCAGTCTCCAGTAAAGGGGAAGAGCCTGAACAAATAGTGGAGAGCGCGGTGAGGGCTTTTATATTTGACATTAGTCCCAACTCCCAAGATATGGCTAAATACATTTACCTAAGCTAACACACAGGGCTGTACACTGCAAGGTCTTACTGATAACAGTTTGTACACAGAGGCCTATAGGGAAGAAGTATACATCATTTTTGACACATTCTTTGCTCATTTTATTTGACCTCAACAGCTGCTGCAGACAAAGGAAACATTACATTAATAAAACTGTGAAAGCCTTATTATCTGGGGGTACTTTCAGTTTTGTGTTCATCTATCAACATGAGATTTTGCAGTAATTGTATGTGCTTCTCTGTGTTTCAGACTTTGATAAGGAAAAAAGCAAGATAAAACACATTGCCACAGAAATAATGGCTTCGGAGAATGTGTAAGAAGTGCTTAAAATTATTTTTTTTTCTACAATATTGTACATATCTAAACTTGTATACCAGAATGTTATAGGGTTCTATTAAAACAATATAGACCTCTTCCAAGACTTTGACTAGTCCAATCTCGCAGTGGTAATAATGTAATGATTCTCTGAATAGAATTGAAAGGTTTGACATAGTTCTTTTCTGAGGCAAGTGCTCATTCAGTCATTAGTGTCAACCCTTTATCCTTTATGTTTCAAAATGGTACAAAATAATAAGGCTCAAAAGTAATTAACGTGATTAGGGATGCACAAATCCTATACTGGTATGACCTCAGAAAGTCTCAGAATGTTTGAACTTTTTTATACAAAGTTGTTCTGTTCTTATTTTTGTTTCAAGGAAATAAATGCTGTTTTTAGTCTCTGCTCTTGTATCGGTCAGTATCGGATGTCAGCAGATACCTAAAGCTATATTATTGGAATTGGTATCGGAACTGAAAAGGCTGGATCGGTGCATCCATAATCTCGATCTCCCCCTAAATTAATCATTTTGTTCAACGTTACATTACTGACATAACTGTTTTTGTGTTTTGATTTTTTTCCAGGGATTTTAAAACCCAAACTGAATAATACTTAATATTTAGACCATCAGCACTTATTCTAATGAGATAAAAGGTATAATTTATGTTTTGTATTTTTTCCTCACAGGTTTGTCGATGTCCTCAAGCTACTTCATGTTGTAAGTATTACACAAACATCTCATACAACATACAGAGGAGTTAGACTTTGTATATTGTGTCTGCTGCTCAAAACCCACATTCTCCGTATGCATTTAATTAGGCTGTCCACTGAGGCACACCCCATAAGAGGGGATAAAACTGGTACATAAAGCTGAGGTCTAGTCCACATGGTTTACAATCTGTATGGTTTTCCACAGTTTTCTTTGCAATTGTAGTCTGTGGAATTACATGTAACTGGGAAACATGATCAAACATAAACTAAAAATAACACGTAAGATTAATCATCAGACTTACTATAAACAGTTCCAGGAATCTTATCAGGTTTAAAGTGTGACTCAATATTTTAGTGTTCATTCTCCTTTTAAACAAAAAGACAATTGTTCAACATTTGAGAAGAGAACCTCCTTAATTCATTCTGGGGACTCAAGGCTCCCTGATGCTCCTTTCAATATACTAAACATAAAAATCCTCCTTACGAAATATTTTTTGGGGAGTGATAGCAATACACCACCGTAATACACCACCGTACCTCCTTGATATTTTCCAAGCCTAAAAAAATATGTTTTAAAACTGTTAGAAATTTGAGTAACAGTGTTGTATGTTGTAGGGTTGTAACAGTAACCAAAATATTGATTGATAGCATTTATATAGCGCCTTTCAAGATACCCAAAGCGCTTTACAGTTCATTATTCAGTCACTCCACACTCAGTGGTGGTAAGCTACTACTGTAGCCACAGCTGCCCTGGGGCAGACTGACTGATACTGTATTGTTAGAAGTCTCATAATAATATCATGGGCCATCACAATATATTGAATTGCAAGTCTCTTTGCTTAAATGAATAGTTATGGTGCAGCAGTAGCTAAAAAAACAAAGGGAACTTCATAGACCATGATCCTTTGCTCTGTTTCAGTGCAGACTACATGAAGAAATAACTGTTATAAGCACTTTTAAATCTTAATTCTTTGGATTATGACAAAACCAAAAGGCATTTTAAAAGAAAAAAGGAACATATTGATAATTTTATTAGCCTCCAAAAATTATCACAGTAAATATCGAATCGTTAGATGCATATCGTGAAAATATTGTACCAAGAAATTTGGATATCCTTACATCCCAGCGGCACTTCGAACATATTTACTAAAACGGGATCTTGACCCTTTAGCCTTTAGTCTATTTCATCAAACCACTTACTAAAGCAGCTGATTGACACACATCAGCATTTATTTATGCTTTCATTTCAACTTGTTTTTCCTGCTTAGTCCTTCAGTTTTAGCACAGACCGCACTCCAGATGTAGATGTGGTTGTGTAGGAGGAGATCACACGTTAAAACCACAAGAACAGTTTTGTGGCTGGCGCTCACTTTACATGGCACTTTAATTATCCCCAGTTTCCATTATCTGGCAAAAAGTCACTACATCATCACAAACTGGCAGAAAACAGGTCCCCTCTGGCCTTGTTTTGCGCTGATTCAAAGTATCCATATATTTACTGTGAAGTTTGTTTATGAGTCGTCGGCTATTAAAGGTCTTATCTTACACAAAATCAACTCTTATGAGCTTTAAGCCATGTTAAAATGTAGTTACCTCCTCAAAAACATACCTGGAGCTGCATTTTGTTTCATTCACACATGTTTGACTAACCCTTTATTATTAGTCTGCCCACAGCTCCAAAGCTCGCAATGCTCTGTTCCACCTTGTGATGTCATAAATCGGTCATTTTCAAGTTAACATCTACCTTTCACGTTTTGTACAGAAGAAATTGGCAATTCAAGAGCTGAAATTATCCAAATGATTCTAGAGACAGTATATAGAGTTTAAAAACAGTGGAGCACTTCATATATTTCCACATGACAACATAAGAGTTTTTTCTATTTGAGAGAATAACTCTTTATTTGCAGGGTTTGTGTGTTAAACATGTATGAATGAAACTAAACACAACTCCAAGTATGTTTTTGATGAGCAAAAACATTAAAACATAGATCAGAAAATAGCATAATTTGACAGTGTTGGGAAGTGACTAAATTACATGTACCAGAGAGCCATATTCAGTATGCCAATACTAATTTTCAGTAACTGTATTTCTGTACAGTTACTCTTTCTTTTGGTGGTAAGTCACTGCAGCTGTGTATGAGTAAAGTTGAGCTTAAATGTTGAGAACAGCACCTATAACCTGTATTAATATTGTTATGCAGGACTTTCGCAATGCTGTGCACGCTGCGTCCCGTCAAAGTGGAAAACCTGTGATTGAAGATCGGATGTTGGACCAGATCTTGTACTACCTCCCACAGCTCTATGGACTAAATGAAGAACTGCTGAATGAGCTGCAGCAAAGAGTAGCTACCTGGTAATTACGAAACCACATTTAACACCTAACCCAACATAAAATAAAAAATTGTATATTATATATAAAATAATAAATTATATATTGTGACCATCTTCCCATTTTTCATACATTCATAAACCATGTGTGTCTTGCTAAAGCGCACAAGAGCATCAAATCTACTACTGCGATAAGGGGATTATATTTAATAATAACACCACAGTACAAATGCTAATCCATTTACAAAGAAAAACTGTTAAAGCAACTTTTTCTGGTAGAGGGACTGCCGCATTCATTCTTAATGTGAACAGAGTCATCTCTCCACAGATCTGACCATTAATTTGTCCTGTTTGTGTCCATGGATATTGCTCTGTAAAATACTGTACTGTGGATACAATTACTTAAATTACTCAAATGAATAATCATACCTAAGTTTGAAGGACAGTTGCATGATTTTTAGAATACATGTGACTTGATGCGATAATGCTGCATTATTACTAAACTTCCTTTTTTGGCTTTTAAAAATGGGAAGCACTGTGTTCCAAAATAATACCATTCACAAAGCATTGTTATTTAAATCTTTGACTGATGTGGCTCATTTAAGTTTAAACGTGACTTTTCTGAGATGACTTAATGCTGTCACTGGGAGATAATCACGGCATAATTCCTCTTACGACATAGACTGATTAGTCAGGGTTCCCACAATAATGGAAATCCTGGAAAAGTCATGGAAATTGAAAATTTAATTTTCCAGGCTTTGAAAAGTCATGGAATTTTAGTATCTCTTTCACACAACTACAGCGTTCTGTTAAGGTCTCATTGGGCTATTATGATTATTTCCTAAAGTATGTGCCTTTTGTTTAAAATGCACAGTATTTTGAATGCTAAAAAAACTATAATACCAAACCATAAGGTGAGTGGAAAGGGTTAACTTTTCATATTTAGCCCTAAAAGTATGCTAAATTCTACACATGTAGGGCACTGAAAGGTCATGGAAAATTCACTTTAGGTCATGAAAAAGTCATGGAAAAATTTTGAAATTTTGTCTGTGAAAAAGAGTGGGAATCCTGATGAGTGCAAAAGATTTCATTAAAAGTTTAATACTAAATTGCTCTTCTTTGTGCAGGGAAGAGAACTCAAAGGTGGCAGATATCTTTGTAAAGAAAGGCGCTTTTCTGAAGATGTACTCCAACTACATCCGTGAGTTTGACAAGAATGTGGCTCTACTGGATGAGCAGACAAAGAAGAACCCGGTATTTGGTGCAGTCGTTCGGGAATTTGAGGTGAAGAGACTCACTGAACCTGTTTGTGTCATGCAGTTCAAATAGTTTCACTGTTGTTCCCGGAAATGAATCCAATGTGGTACTTTTACAGGCAAGTCCACGTTGTGCCAACTTGGCTTTGAAACATTATCTCCTCAAGCCTGTTCAAAGAATACCACAATATCAGCTGCTGCTTACCGGTAAATTTATGTTTCACTTTTATCTTCTAATTCAATGCAATAATGTTTTGGTAAGAATTAATCATTTTATTTGTAGTAATTGTCACAAAGAAACACCATAGGCATTATAACCTGGCTGCTCTTCATATCCATAAAAATTGTTCCATACTGCCCTCTGCTGTCTGAAAAGTGAATTAGACTTGGTGTTAAAATGTATCTTCAACTTCTTGTATAATAGGATTTAAACGTTTTAGGATTTAAAATACGACTTATTGTAAGTCTTACAGTTGCGCGGCTGGCAAATCAGTCTCAAAATCAAAGGAATGTCCCCACGTCATAGTTAATTATATTACATAACCAAACTCAAACTGTTCTAGTAATACTGTGCTATAGGTTACTTAGTAGCAGCTGATATTCCCGATGTGCAGATGCTTATCATTGCTGGTTTGTACTTGACTTTTAGACTATCTCAAAAACCTGTCAGAAGACTCTGCTGATTATAAAGACACACAAGGTACTATTCTGATAAAATCCTAAGAAAAACAATATCTGCTAAATCTTAACTGTAATCTTGAACTTAATGTATCCAACAGAGGCACTTGTTATAGTGAAAGAAGTCGCCAACCATGCCAATGACATCATGAAGCAAGGGGTATGTTGGCTGATAAATAATGGAATATAAATGATTTAAATACACATAAATACACATCTATGTTGATCTGATCATATTTCTCTCTAGGATATCTTTCAGAAGTTGATTCAGGTCCAGTGCAGACTCACTGGCAATCATGAGATTGTTCAACCAGGCAGGGTAAGAGTAGTAGGTTATGCTTTATATATCGCGTAACATATAAGATACATGACCATTTTTTCTTTTCTTTTTTTAGGTTTTTCTGAAAGAAGGTGTAGTCAATAAACTTTCCAGGAAAACAATGCAGCCCAGAATGATTTTTCTGGTACAGTAAACTATAATATTCAAAAAATTTACTTTTTGGTGCTTTACAAAAAAATAAATTGTTCTCTTTGTTGTATTGTTTTTAGTTTAATGACATGCTGCTGTACACCACTCCTGTCCAGTCAGGCCAGTTTAAAGTCAAACATAAGCTGTCTCTGGCTGAAATGAAGGTGACAGTTTCTCTTATTATCTGTTCTCTTATTAACTACTGCTATTGTATATTTTTTAATAGTGCCAATAGTGACAGTGTAAATACTTGCAGGTCAAAAAACCAACCCAAGAAGCTTTCCAAAATGAGTTCATTATTGAGAGTGTGGAGCGCTCCTTTATCTGTTCGGCCAGGTAAGCCCGTATATGTGTATATACAGTCTATGGTTTAAACAGGGCTTCAGTAAACAAAGTAATTGATTTTGCATTATGACATTATACAGAGTTTAAGTTTCATAGCAGATTTTTGTTTTACCTCATTATATACATCAGGGTAGGTTGTTTTTCAGTCATAAGTTACATTCTTTGTTCTTACTGCAGCTCAGCCTCAGAAAGAGAAAAATGGCTTGAGGCGATTTCTACAGCAATAAGCGACTTTACAAAGAAAAAGACCACTTTTGTTCCAAGCAATACTCTTGACAAGGTTTGTTGATTTGTTGGTCTTCAGGTCCCCCCCAGTTTTTATATTGCTGTTCTATATATCACTTAAAACACACACATGTACATTTACATTTGAACTACTTACTTACTAAATTACACTCTTCATTGTTTAACCATAAAATACAGAAGTTCATTATGAAATACATTTATTCCTTTTCTAAATAAATGTCAAAATTGTAGTGCTTCCGCAATTTCAAAATTGTAACAGCAGCTCATGATTTTGATACTATTTCATACATCAATATTTTGGTATTTTGTCACACCTTAACTAATAAACTATTTCTGGTTTAATGGTTAACAGAAGGACAGCGAAATTGGTGCTACTCTTGGGTCAACAGCTCCTATATGGATCCCAGACCCAAGAGCTACAATGTGCATGATCTGTACGTGCGAGTTTACTTTAACATGGCGGCGACATCACTGCCGCGCATGTGGAAAGGTGAGGTAAAAATACGTTTAAACACTATGTACAAGAAAATGACATTCATTTCTATTTTCTGTGTCATTTTAGGTGGTATGTCAGTCTTGTTCCAACAATAAATACCACCTTAAATACCTAAAAGACCAGTGGGCACGAGTGTGTGACCAGTGTTTTGTCGTGCTTCAGAAACAAGAAAGTAAGGATACATATATTATACACGCCTCACATAAGTACTATAGACTCATGGCTGTGATTTGAACACTGTTAATATAATCCCCAGATGAAAGCGCCATATCGTGTACAGTGAGCAACAAACCTACTTTTGCTTTTAACCGTAAACACAAGAAAATCCCTGCTCATCTTAAAGAGGTAAGAGTTCTCTCCTTATCTGCCTCAAATGACGTCATCGTGCCTTATCAAATCTTTCTGCATGTTTCAGGTGTCTGCCAATACAATCAATTCTACCATGAGTGGATATTTAGAGAGGATTAAGCCTAACAAAAAGCAGGGAAAGAGAATGTGGTTTGTCATCAAAGAAATGGTTCTGTACACATACGCTGCCAGTGAGGTGAATGCTTAGACACTCAATATTGCTGATAACTTTTTCTGTTTACACCTAACATTGATTTCTTCTCATTCAGGATGTTGCTGCCTTGAAAAGTCAACCGCTGTTGGGATTTACTGTGAAGTCGGACTCAAAGTTACAATTTAGACTCCTCCACAATGCTAAACTTTTTTACATTTTAAAGCTGATGATGAGCAAACAGCAGAGAGGTAAACTGACATTGTTAACTGTTAAAACATTCAATTAGATTTGTAATTTCTATTAATAATAGTAATTATTATTTTTAACAGGTGGATTGAGGCCATGAAAAAGGCCTCTGTGCTGGAAGCTTGATGCTGTTGTATTTCTACCTCCGAATGCTTTTATAATGTGCATACCCTGTGCTATTTTAAACACTTCTATGAAAGTGGTTGTATTAATTATGAGCAAGTGTTGTATTAATTTGTGCAAATGGAACTATTTGCAAATTAAGTAATAATTAATTTGCAAATATTGGTTTATCACTATTATTTTCATAATGAAGCAGCTTTCACAAGATTGATCTACATTGTTGGTTCTTATTTTAAATATTATTCACTTTACTAGTGTTGAGAAATATTGAGAGTTGAGAATATAGAGTTGAGTCAAACACATTTTGTTGCACAAAAACTGTATTGCACTCAAACTACAATAATGGCTACCATAATATTTTGTGAACATGTTTCTGTAACTGTGTAAATGTAATCGAACTGCGTTTAATAAACGTGAACTTTATTATTAACGTTTTATAATGAAAGAAATGTTTCCTCCAACTTTGACATATGACGCATGCGCAATAGTATGTTTTTCGTCTAAAAGGTCACGAACTCTGACCCTCCTAGTAACAGCACTTACAGTTAAATTAATACTTTTAGAGGGTAAATTAACATATTATATTATAGCACTTTTAGCGGAGAGGATAATAATTAATACGGATACGCGCAAACCTCGTTGGAGACATTTCGAGCCAGTAACACAGGAAGAGAGGGCGTGTTTTGAAGCTGTTCTAGGGAGAGCTGCTGCTAGCTAAAGGCTAACTTAGCTCGTTAGCACTCTCGGAGCTTCTCACGTGGTAATGTTTATTGAATATTTAATCCTAGTTATGGTAAATGCAGTTTAGGTTTAATGTACACCCGGGTACTTCAGTGACACCATTTGTAACTAAGATGTGAATAATGCGTAAGCATCGCGTATTGGTGCTAACAAACTGAAGCAGGTTAGCTGGTTGTTAGCATCTAGCTATGACAGTACTGCTACAATTTGGACTACATATGTTATAAAATAGACGCCAGACGTGGCCATACATTCCAGCTACAGTTACGCGATTAATAACACCTCTGGCACGTTATATTGCTAGTCAGTGTTGTTATTTGTAGATGAAATGTAGCGATTTCCGTCCTGTCTTCGCAGCCGAAGTTCCGCCCGCAATACAACATCACGGGCCTTAACCCTAGCATGCTTTAACCCTTCAATGTTGACCTTTCACCCACAGGAAAAGAAATACCTTATCCTTCCGTATCGATTTTAAATAGTTTCCCGTCAACAGTTTGTTTTGGTTTATGTAAAAGCTATTTTGATCATTCTTTGTTTGTTATTTCTCTTATTTAGACGTACATTACGAACAGTAGTACAGATTCAGACTAGCCACATGAGTTAGCCCAGGAGGCCACAAGTGAAACAAATGATAAAATACATGCTGTGTTTTCCAATATCACAGTCGTGTTATTTACTTTTAATAAAGCTCTTATATGTGTCTACATATGTCTGAGCTGTATGATTTAATTCTAGGCTCAGTTTTATTATTATTTTGTATAGAATAACAACAGCTGTTACCTCACAACAAATTTTATTTGATCAAGCAGATCATGGAATATAGGAATCATAATCTTTGATACTATGTATAATTTGTGTTTAGGTACTCATGGGTTGTTGTTGAAGAGAACAGTGGGGGCGGATGTAATATCACAATGGATGGACAAACTCAAAGAATTCAGCTTGTGTCAGCAGATGGCAACATGGCTTTGGGTCACAGAATTCAGGTAGGGACACACATTTGCACTCAAGATGTGTTTTTTTATCAGTATAACTTTACATAATTCATTTTACAATAGATTGTGACTGATCAGCAAACAGGGCAAAAGATACAGATTGTCACTGCCCTGGAACCGCCTTCTCCTGGGAAACAGCAGTTTATCCTTGCAAATGCAGACTATTCATCCAGTGGAAAGGTCTTATTGAAACAGGAAGGGTCACCTAACAAGGTCATCCTCGCTGCCCCAGACAGCTCCGGGGTTAACCAGCTGTTGTTTGCTTCTCCTGATTTGGCTGGACAGCAAATTCAGGTATTGCTTGCCATCAGTCATTTATGCCTTTTCAGAAAGTTTTGATAACTTATTTTGCATGAAATCCCATGACTGGAACATAAACGTGTTGCAGTCAGTGTGAGGTTAGTTTTGAATGCCCTCATTTTTTATTTTTTTTTCTTGTTTTTCAGTTTGTAACAGATGGGTCAGATCAGTCCCTTATCAAGCCTGTTGTTGAGTACTGCGTTGTTTGTGGGGACAAGGCATCAGGTAAACTTTTACTTTCTTCTTTTACTATTAATTTTTTGTATGTGACACAGGTGTGACTCTGTTTTTCTTCCTTTTAGGGCGCCATTATGGAGCAGTCAGTTGTGAGGGCTGTAAGGGATTTTTCAAACGCAGCATTAGAAAGAACTTGGTGTATACGTGTCGGGGTTCTGGCGAATGTGCCATCAACAAGCTCCATCGAAATCGCTGCCAGTATTGTCGGCTGCAGCGATGCATTGCTCTGGGCATGAAACAGGACTGTAAGAGACTGCCCTGAACAACTGTTCTTTTGATGCTCATAATGTTAGTAAATTGTTTCATTTTTTTTAGCCGTGCAGTGTGAGAGAAAACCTGTTGAAGTCACTCGTGAGAAATCAATGAACTGTGCAGCCTCCACTGAGAAGATCTACATCCGCAAAAATCTGTTTAGTCCACTGGCTGCCACTCCAACTTTTACTTCTGACAAAGAAACTGCGAGGTACTGCATAATAAGTGTTCTAAATTGCAATACAATAATAATACTGTAAAAAAACAGATCTACTTTTTAAATTGAATTTAGTATAATATTCAAATAGCAGATGCTCTAATGACAGGTCTGCAAGTTTGTTGGAGTCCAGCATGTTACTCAACATCCAACATCCATTCCCAAAACTGGAAAACACCATTTTGATTCCTACATCTCCAGACAAGGTAAATCAAATATAGTACTTTCATAAATTGATCAATTATTAATGCTACATGCTAAATTTAATTCTAACTAATAATTTCAACAAGGATGACCCATCACAAGGAGACCTAGGTACTCTGGCAAATGTTGTGACGTCTCTGGCCCACCTCGATAAGACACGAGAGGAGAGTGAAAGTGGCAACGATTTGCTTGGAGTGGAGACACTCAGCAATGGTGATAGTTCAATCACGGAACTTCAAGAAGACCACAATACAAGTGACATCACACGGTAAGGAATAATCAAGAAAGGGTTTTGTTTGCGAAAGTACAGATATTATGCGAGGCAAGGAAGTGTTTGTCATAAGGAAATCACATTACATATAATTTCCTGTTTGGGCCATGTGGTTTCTGACTCAGCTGGCCTAATTCAATTCTTCCTGGCTGATCAAAATGTACCATCTTGTTTATAGATGTTCTTCTATAAATAGAGATCTAAATTATGAGAGAGAGCTGAGATAATATAGAAAATGCATATTATGTTTATTTTCTGTATTTGTCAGAGCGTTTGATACCCTGGCTAAAGTCCTTCATCCTAATGAGAGATCAGCAGCAGACACTTTGGAGGCGGCAATGCAGTTAATGGCAGGAGATCAGTCTGGCCCTGTTCTGGAGCTGAATGGGCCTCTTCTGTCTGACAGCCACATCCCCTTTAAAGTAAATATAATTTTACTACATAGTTATGACTACATAAACATTCACTTTTGAGAAGTTAGATACCTACATACATATTAGATGAATCATGTTTTCTTTCATGTTTTGACAGCTCATGATGCCTTTGCCTGTGCCAGAGTACCTCAATGTCAACTACATATGCGAGTCTGCCTCACGGCTTCTTTTCCTTTCTATGCACTGGGCTCGTTCCATACCTGCATTTCAGGCTCTAAGGTAAGTTTTAATAACAACTATGTGGTTGGTAATTATCATTTTCATGACCTACCTGCTTTATTAAAATTACTCATACCCTGTCTTTTATTGTAGTGGTCAAGAAAATGACATCAACTTGATGAAAGCCTGTTGGAATGAGCTGTTTGCCCTCGGCTTGGCACAGTGCTCCAATGTAATGAACGTTGGTACCATCCTAAGTGCCATTATTAACCATCTTCAGACAAGCTTACAGGAAGGTACATCTTCTGGTCCTGCTGATGACACGCGGTTTAGATTTAATATTTGCTCTTACATTTTGACCTGCTACTAATGTCATCCTGTTGTTAAATTTACTACCTACAGACAAACTGTCCCCTGAACGAGTCAAAGTCGTAATGGAGCACATCTGGAGGATGCAGGAGTTTTGTAACAGCATGTCTAAGCTGTCACCTGACTCTTATGAATACGCCTACCTGAAAGCCATTGTTCTTTTTAGTCCTGGTACGTTCACATATTTAGACATGTATACATCATATTTGGATTACATCATCGAAACTGATGGATTGTTTTCTTCTACCAGACCACCCAGGGATAGACAACATTTCACAAATACAGTTCTTTCAAGAGCAGGCCTACACAGAACTACAGGACTATGTCACCAGGACCTACCCTGAAGACTGCTATCGGTAAACAACCTCCATAACTGCACTATGAGCATATGGCCTGTGTTTAATATAGCAGAGATGATGTCTGGTTTGCTGTACTTGCTGTTGCTTGCATGTTTTAATTTTATGTCTCATTTCTTCCTGGCTGCTTCCAGGTTATCCAAGCTGTTGCTGCGTCTCCCGGCCCTGCGGCTGATCAGTGCATCTGTCACTGAGGAGCTGTTCTTTGCTGGACTCATCGGAAACGTTCAGATTGACAGCATCATCCCATATATCCTCAAAATGGAGTCCACTGATTATAACAGCCAAACTGTTTCTGGCCTCTGAACTGCACAGTTTGACACTGATTTAATGATCTGATGAAAACTCAAAAGGACCCTTGTGACTGGTCAATGTCAACTTTTATTTTATTTAAATCTTGATGAGGATCTGGCTCCTGGATGTCTCCGTAACAAACTTTTGACATTTGGAGAGTAACAGTTGAGGGTATAGACTTTTTAATGGTAGTATAGTGTTTTATTACTCGTCTCCTCTCAGTATTTCCTTTTGGCACATCTCACATGAGAACTGAAGGACCTGTTTCATGCCATTTTCATTTGTCATAATGTGAACTGATTTGTGTACCTAATATTCTTAAAGGTTTAACCTTTATTTTCTAAGTGCTTGCTGATCCAAAGGATTACATTTGCTTCTATTGTTAAATATTTTACAGAATATGAATATTAAAAAAAAGAAAAAATCTGTACATAATTGTGTACATAGTAACAAGAAAGGCTACTGTGGCCTCTTGTATTATGCTTTCTGGACTATTCATGTGAAAATGATTTTAGAATAAAGTACTTAAATGGCATGTCATGCAGATTTACTGTGCCTCCTCCACATTTTGTATTTCTGCTCGAGGCCAAATCTTGAGAGCAATTTTTCTCAGTTTGTTCAACATTCCATTCCTAACAAAGACATACTTAGATGTGTTTTCTTTGAATAATTCAGCCTTGAACTAACGTGTCTAAAACTAATTAACTATCATCTGTTGCTGTAAGATGAACACATCTTACTACTTGGAAGTTGGCACCTTTTCCTACAATCCCTTTCTCTGAACTTGTCCACGTTTCTAATAACCACAGACTCTTTTGTGTTTCTTTTGAATTAATAATGCAAAATCTGTATCCTCCCACTTGTGTCAAGTGACGTAGAGGGGAGTAAGAAGCCGCTGCAGTGTGCTTGGCGCGTTATTGACCGGTAAATTTTTCATTAGCTTCTTGCAAACATGACAGAGATGGACCGAGCAGGGGGGATTTCTATGGCTACAGTTGATGAATATGTCCTGCAAATTAAAAGCCTTGCTAAAGTATGCATTAAAACTTGATGAACAATATTGTCTGCTGCTGTGTTGCAAGTTGTCATTGTCAAGTATAGTCTCCGTGCTATCTCCTCTGCCCTATCGAATCACCACATCGCTTGACTCACCCTATTTGAGCAGCAGAGGTTAATGACACTGTGTCAATGAATGGGCCACTGTTTAATCTCTCAACGCGGTGATGCATCAATTTTACATGAATACTGGACAAAAGACAGGTTAAAAAATAAGTATCCATTGAAAGCTATGAGGTAGATTCAGGGTAATGTTGTTAAATAAAAGAGATGGTTATTTTGGTAGCCTGGCTGGGTTAAAGGGAAATGACAAACAATGGTGAAAGACCATGCATTGTATGTTAAAATGTAATGTCTAGTTCCTTTACAAAACAACATAACAGCATTCTAAAAATCAGTTCAAGACTTTGATTCTACATTATGTCTCATATGGTTTATCATTTCAATAAAGTACTTTTGGCAACACTGGAAAAAGAGGGACACCAGGGCTTGCTGGTTGGAAAAGGAGCTAAAGTAGTGTGGTTTGTACAGTACTTTGCAGATGGCATGTCCTACATCTTTCTTTCTTTATAATTAGCAGTCATATTTTTCTTTCGTTCATGCCCATGGCGTAGTTGAGTAGCTCATGGTGAATTTCCATAATTATTATTCAAGAAACCAGAGCAAACTTTGATGGATTGTCGTGTTGGCTGTCATGTGAGAGACCTAAATTCTTGAGGAATGATGCATTAACAGTCTTCCTTCCAGGCAGCAGTAGGCCAAATAACTCCAATCTGATAAAGTGTCAGTGTTTCAGAAAGAAAGACAACAAAGAAAGAAAGAAAGAAAAAAAACAAAAACATTCTGGACGATTCTGATGGCTACTGTTATTATATTATTATAACATGTCTACACAAAATCCATTCTTTCTCTGTCTGGATAAACAACTTGAATGCTATATTTAAACTATACAAAATTAGGGTGACTATATTTTCAAAATAAAAAAACTGGGACATCCCTGGTTTGGATTGGTTGAAAATTGTAAATCGAGGAAAAATTAAGGAAAATTATTATGCACTCTGCACTAATGTGAGTCAGTACAGTCACTTTTTTTGTGTTTTGTTAATTTTTAAGCAGCCTTTCTGTATTTTACCTAAATAAATGACAATGTATGCCTCTCTTTACTGTTGGCAGGTATTATATTGTTCAAAAGTAGGGACACCTGGGACATTTCTTGTGTAAAACTGGGACAAATCACTGGTTTGGGATAAATCTGCTGGGGCAGGGGACACAGGGCTCAAAACTGAGACTGTCCCGAGTAAATGGGGACGTCTGGTCACCCTATACAAAATAAGATTAGATACGTTAAAAACTTTCAAAAGCAACTTTATCTGGCAGTGACAGGCACGTGTTTTGATGGTTTTGACCCCTCCTCGCGCTGGTTTGGGGGGCGGGGCCAGTGTGCAGAGGGGTGAGGGGGCGGGGCGAGACTCTCCACTTGAGTTTTTGGTGAGCAGAGAGATCAGGAGGGAGTAGCGCGTGTTTAGGAGCCGCGTTGAATAGAAAAGCAGGCTAATCATGAGTACACGGTCAGATCTGTGTTGGAAACCGGGTCTAACCTTGACGAAGAGTTAAATCGGGATCAAAGTCGTGAGCATGCCCAGCGCCACGGTCCGAAGTTTATGTGAAGTAGAGAAATACCTCCAGAGCAGCAGCAGCAACAACCGGACGGTGAGTAGCCCATAGCCCGTCTGTCACGAGAGGGGAGCGGCATTGTTGTCTCGTATCTGCCCCTAGTAGTGGACCATGATATTAACAGATGTCTGAAATGCCAAGATCGTGTTGTTATTGTTGCTGCTGTTGTTGTAGCATCCGCATCATTTAAATGTGTAAATAATGTGCAATAATGGAAGTCTCAAACTATGTCCACATCCATACAGTTTACAACCCTTCAACCATCACAAATTTTTGACCTAACTTCTGACAAGCACCTCTTTGTGCTGATGGGAGATATTGATTTTCATGCTTTAAATCCTTGCTCTAAACGCACCCTTTCCCCTTGGCATTTTCCCAGAGTTAGGAAGAGACCTTGGCACGTGGCTGTTATTATTTTTGTTATTATAATTCTGCTTGATTTGCTTATTGTATGTTTTATTTTTAATGTAAATGTTGTTCAGCACTTTGGTAAGCTTTGGCTGTTTTAAATGTGCTATAGATATAAATTTGATTTGATTTGATGCTTCGATATGTTTCTATCAAAGAATTTTCTCTTTTGATTTGTGGACCACTGTAGAGGAGAAGCCAAGCAGCAAAACTAAAGATTAGCCAAATCTACTGGACAATAGAGTTAGTCAAGTAGAGCTAAGTCCTCACTTTTTGCAAATTGGTCGTACTTTACAGTTGGTAGATAGTTTGTTAATCTGTAACTAGTCACTGTATGTAGCCCCTTAGGTCTTTTACTTAAACTGTTCATATGGTCAACAGTGTTTAGGCTATTTCTAATATCAACAAGAACAAAATATATTAGTATGTCTATTTTAGTAAGCTTTGGACTGAGGAAATACTCATTCTTAATAAAAAAAATATATTTTCCTTAAGTTTTGCTCAGTGAACAGCCAATGCAGTAGTCACCCAGCTGAGCAAACAGAACTGAAATTGTAAATAATGTATTACTGGGCTTTTGTCATCCGCACACTCTCCCTTACAACTGTTTTTGCTTCTGAAAACACAACCTATTCACCCTCAATTTCACCATTAAAGACAGACTTTAGTGAATTGTACTAGGGTTATGTATTTACTTGTCACACAATATTTGAAGTGAAAGATTTGTAGTAATTAATTCATATTGTTGGTGAGAACAAAACTGAATTTAGATGTAAATAAATAAGCACAAGCTTTTCATTTGGTCTTTTTTTGGTCTTATGTGTTAGCATTGGCTGTTGTTATGATTATAAGATGTATAATGTGACATAATCTATACTGGTGTTGACTTGTGGCAATTTTAAAAAGGAAAATATCATGTGATCATTCTCCAGAGGGATGAAAATGTGGCATTTTGATCTTGTGGTATGAGCCCCATCCTTAATTAATATACTTGCTACCCAGACCCTCCTCTCCAAATACCAAAAATGCCTGTTCTTGTTCTCCCCCAACTTGTGAAACCAGAAAGTCCCTAAATTAACAGGTGTATTTCCCTGTGTGTTTGCATGAGACCCTCCCATTGGATTCTTAACTGGCCTGTTTCACCTAACCTGTTGCTCCCACCTCCTTCTTTTGTCTTACTCACTCAAAATGAATGAAACGTTTCCTCTCTACCCAAGATTAAATGAATCATGACACCCAAAGTATTTATTACCTATTAAACTGCGGTTACTTACCAAATGAAGCATGAAGCAGCTATTGTAATTTGGCTGTTTATAGTTGTTTCAGTTTTTTTTCCTTTCTTTTTCTTGGCGAACAAGTCACATTCCACTTTCGTCCCTCAAAAAGCCTTTGTGTAGCGGACATAGTGGGTCAGAGGCCAGTGATGATGCAACCTTTGCATTTGGGAGGCTTAACTAGAGGCACTGCTTTTAACCCGAGATATAAGCACCAAATCATTTTAATTTAAAACAATCGTCTGTGTATTCCATTTATTAGTAAGTAGGACAGCATCATAATATTATATATAAATAAATAAATATATATAAACTATGAAAACTATTGCTGCTCAAAGTGGAATCAAACTAAACCTTTACAAAACAAGGGGAAATGGGAGTCTTGAAATGACAACTAAGATTTTATATACAGTTTAAGTCTGTAGATTTTTTAAGTTGTAGGACTGTGAAAAATCAATACCTAGTTACTAACTGATATTAAAACTTGTTGAAACTGGATACTTAGTTGAATTTATTTTATTTGTTCTTTGAATGGTACAGTAAACTCAACAGGAGAATGAATAAAATATTATCGCTAAAACTTTATCCCTTGTAATGCATAATCAGTATTTCAAAACCCATATACGTAACTCTATCGTAATTTATGGGAAACAAATTCATTTTAACTGCAGAAATGCTGATTTTGCCCTTTTAGATTGGGGAAGTGAAAGTTAGACCTACTAATTTTTGCAACTCTAGACAGAAGGCTTCTTCTTTTCTAACCTTTATTAAACTGTGTGGTGGTGGTGTCCTTAGTTTGCACATTTGGCTTTTTAAAAAGTTATCAGTGCACTTGAAGTAGAAGGTGCTTCATAGAGATTAATGAGTCTTTTAACCAGTGTTTGCGTAATAGATTTTTATCAGTGGACTCAATATTGTGAAGCGCTTCCACTTTCCCTCCATCTTGTTTTCTTGTTTATGTTTACCATGGCTAATTAGCTTGTATGCTATGTTACGTCACTGCGCCTATTCACTTTCTCACTTCGAATCACTTCTTGGCTGCTTATTTATCTTAATTGAATCCCTTTTTGCAGCACCAAGAGTCCACTGGGGCCAAGCAGATGCAGCCAATGTTAATGGGCTATTGATTTAGTCCTGCTTTCTGTCAGTCCATAAGATAATAGGGAGGAAAACATCTTAAGTAATTCATTCAGTCGCCCTCCTGGGGTGTCTTTTAGGAAACTCCAGAAGTCTTAGCTACATCTTTGTTCTTCATTGCAATTATTAAGCATTATCTTTCATTTAAGTTTTTTTAATTGAATCAGAACCTTATACTGTGACAAAACCACTTCTAGGACTAACTTGGTTCTAAGATTGGACTACACAGGTTCTTAACAAGGATTTGTCCAGAACTGGTACCTTATTGCATACTAAACCAGATCTAAAACAAGACTACATCTAGGCCTGTCACAATAATACTATATCGACTTTTTATTCAGTATATGAAAGCTGAAACAATATGTTTTGAGGCTCAATATTTATCATCTGTACATTTTCTTTATGAAAGTGGGGAGATTTTGGGTATTTTTGTTGTTATATAATAAGATTAGAGGTGTAGAGGGTTGAATAACTATTGGGTGTATAATTATTGGTTCATTCTGCTGTTTATTGCTGCTCATGCCTTTTGAATGATACTGTCTATTTAAAACCGGTTTACTGGGATTATCTTGCATTTTTGTTATTGCGTCAGTAGCATAAAGTATTTTCAATATAATCATACTTCAAAATTTGTTGTGGTGACAGGCTTAACTACATCACCTATGAACCAAGACAAAATATTTAATGTGCAAACTATAGTACATAGATCCACAATTTAATTGATCTCAACTGATCTCAATTGATCTCTTTACCAAACCAATACTGGCTGTAATAAACTAGTTCTCAACTAGGAAAACCATCTCTGAACAAGAAACAAGTACAAAACCTACAAAAAATATATAGAAATGAAATTATGATTAATGAATTATTAAACTACTGTATAACTGGACTGTGCTGAGTCTCATCACCTCTTGCACTATTGATTTGTAGGAACAGTCCATTGATGCGCTCCCCTGTTGTCCCTTTGGCTGGTGTTCTTCCTGTCTCCCCCTGTGAGCTCTGAGGGGACAGTGTCTGTATCCATCCCAGGATGCTTTGGGAGGAATACCAATCAGGAGCTCTGCAGGCCTCCTCTGCCGCCTCTGAGCCCATGAAGGGGACGGTTTGTTCACTGCGGACGACCGTGCCAGTGCTCTTACCCCATGAGTGTGTTTATTTGAGAAGCCAAACACAATATCTGTAGCAAAAGAAAGGCTGGTGCTGCAAGAAAGTTCCCATCGACAAATATTTAGTCATTTGATGTCAACATGTGTTAATGAAATTCCAGTGTGTCCACATTTCCAGTTTGTTATAGTTAAATATTTGACTATTTTGGTTTGGTACCTTTTAGTTTAACTAAGGCATTACTTGACTTTAACCTGGTTTAGCCCTAGTTTGGGTAAAGTCTTGTGTTTGTGTGATTTGAGTTCATATACCATGTCAAAACAGCAGTCTTAACAAAGCCTTGTTACAAAAGTAAATTAATATGGCTAAATAAAACAGCTGGTGGTTTAGTTTCACCCCTGGAGGTTTTATGAAAGCCCTAAGGCTATACTTAAATATCTTAACTATCAGACAGTATACTTTTCTTCCAGTAAACCTAACACCCCTGAGAGTGTTATGACACATTTTAGTTGTAGATCTCTCTCTACATATATATATCATTATGATTTATATTCCTTCATTGTACATAACTTGGCCATATGTTGCCAGCTGTAGTTTACATCAGATTACAGCTCTTATTGTTTGGCCTTAAACATGTCTTCCATGTGATGGAGACATGCCTTCCTGTTTTTCTGGATACATTTGTGTTTTTGACTGTGAATTTGCATTGGAACAGTTTGTGCCGTAACAGTTTCTTTACACTCTTTAAGCACTAATACTGTTTGCTAGGCCCACACCCTGAGGTGATGTGGTTTTTTCTCACACCAGTTTAAGTGCTGCACTGATGCGTTTCTTATTCCTTGTGGTGTCTTAACGTCGTCTTTTGCATAAGAAATTGAATTGCTAACTAGATCATTGATCTGGCCTCTGAGAGTGCAGAGCAAGATAAGCAACTTCTGCAGTTTCTCCCAACTCCTCCTTTCACTTAGACTGCAAAAAGATTTAGTGTCACTGTTTTGTTTTAAAATCGGGGCTTAAGCAGCATTTTTGGTGTCATCTTGCAGCGGACCAGATCCTATTAAATGGGTCACGTCCTGGACAGACGCTGTGTGTTATGTGGGCCAGCGTGGGGGACAGGGGGCTCACACGGAGAGGAGGCGCAACGGGGCGACACCCCAAACATCATGAAATCCCAAAAAGTCCTCATCTGTGCTTCCAATCTGTATTTTATCCATAGTTTTGGTGTGGATTCACTTTGATCCAGTAATTTAACCATTCACCACATGACACCAAACTAAACTTTACAGTTTGTACATTTGTAACAACTGTTACTGGATACTGCTTCTGTTGAAACAGCATGGAAAGATGATCCCCTATTATTATATATTTTTTTGTGCGTAGTCTTTATTTTTACAGAACATAGTGTAAAAAAAATAGTGTAAAATGGAAGTAAAGAGCAGGGAACAAACTAACATAGCCGGTAATCGATCTCATGTAGCTGAGGCTGGCGCATAGCCTAGCAGCAGGTGTGCTGCGACCAAACCCCTTCGCCACAGGCTTGCTGACTGTGAGCGGGGCCTCTCCACAGATCTAACCTGTAAATTAGTCTGGTTTGGTCTCCATAGAGATAGAAAGGCTTAATACCATACTGTGAATTCCAGACAAAGTAATAACATCTCCATGGAGAAAAGCACTTGGCATACCCTCGACCGGAAAAATTACACAATGCACCTTTTTAATAAGAAAAAAAGTAATACAATAACTACAGCACAGAGACACAAGTTCGTTTTGATTTTTGAAAATGCATCCATGGTATGCACTTATCTGTCACTTGGCACTGTCCTGTTGCAACATGGATCACTGCTCTTGCTCTGCCATATGCCATGTTCCAGCTCAGTTTTCACCATCCCATTTTCATTCTCTTTTATCCCTAAAGACCTTGAGCCCTCTGCCTGCTTCACCCCTTTCTCCACCTCCGCCTCAACCCCTGAGCACCCCTGAACACCCCTGCCTGAGTGTGTGGGAGAAGTGCAGGGGAAAGTAGGGCAGCTCTTCACAAGATTTGGGAGGACATTTTCATCAGTGTGAGACTAATTCATTTAGTGAACTCTCTCGACCAGAACAAGCCATCTCATTGCTCCAGCGGTTTTTAAAATGGCTAAAAATATTGATGCCAGGGGAGGAGGAAAATGTTCATAATTAGTTTTAGCCAGATATATATATTTTTTTCTTTTTTTTACCAACATCTGGTTTGAGTTATTGAGTTACGTGAGACTGTCCCATGAATTAGTTCTCCTCCTAGCAAATTCTTACTCCCCATTTTATCAGCTGCGTAAAACATTTTGGCCTGACACCAATTACTACAGCTGCATGCTTGCTTACTTGAATTTAAAAAATACTATCTTTTATCGTTGTTTTTTCAGCACGATCTCCTGTCAGAGATTTGTTTGAATATTCCTTGCGTCATTGTCATCATTACTTCTTTACTCTTGCACGTTATCAGCGCACACAAACACAAGTGCACCCTCCTCTTGGCCCCTAATGCTACAGCAGGCGATGTGTGTGTGCTCAGAGCCTTTGGGGGACTTGCTTGGTTCCACTGCAGCAGAAACAGCCCCAGGTCCAACATGTCTCTCTCAGCAGGCAGCTATTTGATTGTCGTTTAAAGGTAACATGAGCAAACTCCACGCTGTGCTTCCTCATAAAATAGATGAATATTGACTCGCGATTCTATGTGAAAAACAGGTTTGACAAATACTGGCTTGTTTAAACCCAGTTGTTTGGACAAATATTGTTTGCGCTCAGGAAGAATTGGATTGTGTCTGGAGGCTTGGCTCTACAGCTCACACAGCAGCCCAGTGAATGCATATGTTGTATTGTTTCATCAGTGCTTAGCCGGGACAGAGCAGAGGTAGGACATGACCACAAAGTGTGCCTTTTTCTCTGCACAGAAAGACTCCAGTGTTTGAGATGGATAGCCTGCGTCGGTGAGGGGAGCGGGTGGGCAGGGCACAACGCCTCAGAGATACAAGGACACTTCTAGAAAGAACCACCAATTGTCTTATTTCACGCTTTACAGTGGAAATTCTGCACTATTCAAGTAAATTATTCTAAATTATCATAAAGATGAATGGGACCGATGCAAGTGAAAGAGCACATATTTGGAGTGATATTTGATAGTAGCATATGTCAGAGCTGCTTCTTTGTTCGCAGCATCTGCCACAGAAACAAGTTTGACTCGTTGGGTGTGACATCATAGTCTTGACAGCAAATGTAGGAAGTAGCTTTTGTAATGATATTACTCAAACCCAACTGAAACCCTGGTGTGCTAAATTTAAGTTTATAATGCGATGTAAGTTGCTTTAAGGCTATGTACCAGTGTATGGTATACTTTTTACCCTGCTTTAGGTTATCTCCCTCTTTTATGTTTTTTTCATTCATTTCTAAAAGTTCATGAGTAAGTCCATTGTATTGAAACCGGCTTTGGTGATAACACTAAGCTGGATTGCAGCTCGGACCTATTTGCTCAAAACTCACAGTGTTACGTTTGTTAAGGATTAGCGCTTTAGTTTGGTACAACCCACAGTATTTGTTGTACAACATGTTGTATCAAGCTCTACATTACATTAGTTTCCTCTTTGTATGTGGTTGTGTTTTTTCATAGCCACTTTGAGCCTTTCACTTCCCACAATGTCACTCAGATGAGGGCCGCTTATAACTTATCAGGCACAATGATGATGAGATGATAAGAAGCAAATGGTATTTTACAGTAAAAACAGACTTTGTCTGGCAGAAGGATTTCCTATGCTTGTGTTATTATTGTTGACCTACATTACATGGCCATGCCCCACTTCTTTCATACGCTGTTTAATAGCAGTTATCTGAATGCTGTCATCCATGCTCAATACTGTAAACAAATGGGATTACATTTGAAACAAACGTGCCATAAGAGCATTACAGGGACATGCAGATGGTCACTGGGTGTCAAGGCACAAACTTTATATTATAGTTCCATCAGGCGGCCCAGAAATAAATTAATTCACCCTATTGCAATTAATTTAGTGTTTTAATACTTATTATACCACAGTCAGTGAGAATTCTAAGGCTAACTGCCGTGGATTATTTCTGTATAACTGCACAGGTAGTCCGGTAACAGTTAATCACTCACTAAAGCTAGACTCCGCACCAGTACATTAAAACTGTGTAGTGCACTGCTCCTTGTTTAATCCTTATTTATTTTATTTACTAATGAATCTATTGTTGTGTTTATCTGGTCCCCACAGATGGACCGGAGTGCTGAAAGCACTCTCCTGGGGATCCCCTCAATGCGCCGAGGCTCATCAGAGAACAACTTGGACCTGGACTTCGATGGTTCGACTTTGGGCTGTGAGGTCCAGCGCAGCCGCTCCTGTTTGGACAGCCTGCAGCAAAAGATCCTTAAAGTTACAGAGCAGCTGAAGATTGAACAGACGGCGAGGGACGAGAATGTGGCCGAGTATTTAAAGTTGGTCAATAGTGCAGACAAACAGCAAATGGGCCGTATTAAGCAGGTTTTTGAGAAGAAGAACCAAAAGTCATCTCAAAACATTGCACAGATGCAGAAAAAGTTAGAACAGTATCACAAAAAGATGAAGGATAGTGAAATCCAACAGACCACACCTCCACATCCACCCATGTTCAAACACAGCACTATTCCCAGAGAGTCCTCCAGAGAGCTTTTAAAAGATATTACAGGCAGTGGACGGCACCCGACAATGGACAAAATCAAGACCATAGGACCTGGTGTCTCTCTCTCCCCGCCTTTCTTTTTCAGTAAGCCTAGAGAGTTTGCTAATCTAATCAGAAATAAATTTGGTAGCGCTGACAATATTGATCACCTCAAGTCTCCAGCCGACTCCAGCTCTCCCCTTCCCACAGACAGCACATCAAAAGGCCTCAGCAGTAGCACCTCCATGGTCGGCAAGCCCAAGTATCCCAGTGACGACGAGTGCTCCTCAGGCAGTGCCTCTATTTCAGACAGTAATGGAAACACACCAGTGGCAGGAGGTGGTGCTACAGGGGGGCAGGTACGTGATCAAGGCCCAGGACAGGAGCAGCAGAGCGTGGCAGAGGGTCAAAGCAAACTGGCCTTGTATCTGGAGGAGGCGAGGGAGATCAAAGAGGCCCAGAACCAGCTGGAGGAGGACCTGGAAGAGCTGAAGACACAGTTCAAGAGGGAGTATGAAGCACTCAATGACCTGCTGCTGGAAGAGAAGTACAGGTATGGAGCTGTTGTAATTTATTTTATACATCCATCAGTGTAGCCATACAAAGTGTAGCCATACATGTTTCTCAGTAGTTGAGTTGTGATTTATCTTCATTTAATCAAATGTTTAACTATCTGCTTTAGCTGAGTCTTTGTGTCATTTTTTTTGTTTCTGTCTTGTGTTGCATCTTCCTGTGTACACAATCACATAGTTTGACCTTTGCTTAACTTTGCAACCTGTTAGATCACTTGTTTCGTTCAAATCTCTTTTCTATTACTATTACTATTACTATTACTATTACTATTACTATTACTATTACTATTCAAATGAAGCATTTTATCATTATGTTACTGTTCCTTCATCAGGTACGAGCAGCTGGAGGACCAGCTCAATGATTTGACAGAGCTTCATCAGAATGAGATGGCCAATCTTAAGCAGGAACTGGCCAGTATTGAGGAAAGAGTGGCCTACCAGGCCCAGGAACGGGCCCGTGACATACAGGTGCATTTTAAACTTATTATTTTATTTAGGTATGGCGTGGTTGTCAAAACTGTAAGATAATGCCCTAAAACTTTGCTTTTTTGCTGACTCATTTTTAATTGGTGTGTTATCTAAGTACTATGGAAATCAGATACTCAAATGCCGTCTCTTTCCATTTAATTTGTACCCAATCATTTGTGAGCAATCAGAGTAATTATCTCCTAAAATGTCAGCCAGTGCCTCATGGCAACCCCTTAACTCCTTTCTCTCTTTCTCTCTGTTGCCACAGGAAGCACTGGAGTCCTGTCAGACACGTGTGTCCAAACTGGAGCTGCAGCAGCAGCAGCAGCAGCAGACTGTCCAGTTGGAGACCCATGATGCTCGGGTCCTGCTTGGAAAAACTATCAACATTATGCTTGCCATCATCACTGTCATCCTGGTCTGTGTCTCTACCGCTGCCAAATTTGCTGCTCCCTTAATGAGGAGTAGGCACCATGTCGTAGCCACCATTTTAGGGGTCTGCTTTTTGACCTTTTTCTGGAAAAACTGGGAGCGTTTGCAGCATGTCATAGACAGGATGCTGCTTCCAGCCTGATAATAAAAGCACACAACACACAGTGTTGACTTAACATACTGTCTGAAATAGGAGTGTCCAAGAAGATTGGTTGTACAATCGTCAAAGACACAATCAACATGCATTTTACAGTTTTTAAAAAGTCTGAATTTTTATGATTCCTCATTTAGAACTTGAATCTGAATAGCGAAACTAAGCTTTTCTTTCTTATTTTATAATAACAATACCAGTATACCTTGGAGTATTTGATTGGTTCTAATCAAATTTCAATACGAGGATAAAAAAAGGTTAATAATATAAATTTTACAATTGTAAACATAAAGTTTAAGGATTTTACCTAATCTGGGCCAAAACGATACAAATTAAACATATTGGTACATATGGGTTTAGTACCATCTTTTAGTGGATTCAGAAATATTATTACCATTGAGGCCTAACACACAATAAATGGACACCAATTATTTTTACACAATTATCCACAATGCTGTGAATAACCCTGAATAAACCTTTTTTCCAAGTTTACTTTTAAAGTGCAATATAAATTTGATTCACAAAAGCACTATTTTTGAAAACTATTCTTTCAAAAGCGCGTGTCAGAGTCAAGGATGTAGCGGAGTGACAGGGTGTTGCTTTGGGGGGTGAGGGGGGCGAGGGATGTTGTCATTATCGTTGGCATGATGGATCCATAACCACAGAAGCCACTGCTAGGCTATGATAAGACCAGCTGTCTCCTTTCTCAAGGGCCAAAAATCAATCCAACCACATTACAGCACTGCTAGCATGTCCATATCACCGCAAGACACACTTCACTGGCTCTCTCTCGCACGCCCAGCCAATACTAAACAGTGTATGTTCAAAAGGATCACTGTCAGCGCTGCACAGTATGGGAAAAATTATTCTGTTAAATATTACAAACTGAAAAGAAGTTTAGATATTTTAATGTATTTTAGCACAATAATAATGCCATCAATCCATAGCACAGGTGGGCCCTTTTTAGTCAAACTGTTGACACCACTTCAAACTATGAATAACACTAAATCAAGACTCATGTAAAGGACTGCTAAATCTAACTTTTTAGTTAAATTTGTCATGTTTGTTTTATTGTGTGGCCCCCAAAAATGTTTATTTCTTTTGTCCTATTTAAATGTCTAAATAATGTGATTTTGCATTGATACTGTGATTAAAGGCCATTGCCTTTTTACTCCAATGATGAAAGATGAGCCACTTTTTCTGGCTCTAACTAAGGAGAGATACAATGGACTGACCAATTTCATGAACACTGAGAAGATGTTACATGAAGAAACTACAGACACTTTAAATACTTGTTGGCCATAACAAGATGTTTCTGTTAATTTTCTTGATGTTGTTTGTCGACTGATCTTGATCATATTTTTGTTCTTGTACATGTTTTCAAAACTTTGACCCGTGGAACTACCACCTGGTTTACATTCTTTCATTGTGACCAATCACCGATATTGTTTATGTGCCTTTCTTAAATTAAACCTTTTTAATCAAATCATGACTATTGTATATTTTTACCAAGAACTCAGCCCTTGAAGTTATTTGTCTTTAGTCAGATGAAAAACTCACTTCGAGAGGTTCAGAAAAGGGAAAGATGAAAAAAAAAAAACAAAACTTTGTTGCGATTGGTAAGGCTAATAATCATGTCTTTATCTCAAAATATTACAAAACCACAGAGAGACACTTAAGATTTAGGTATATTTTCCTTTCATGAAATGACTGTGAAACAAAGCAAAAGAGTGGGTAACATTTTTATTTCATTCAGTTGGTCTACACAGTATTGTGCAAGTACCTGTGGAATGAGAAAGGCAAACAAGATAACATCCCAATGAGCTTCTGTCAAATAAAGTGCTGGCCAGCCATCTGAAATCTTTTTTACGATAACTTTTATTCAGCACTGCAATATTGTCTGTTTATTTTCTTTTGTTTATTTTATCAAACTTCACACTGGTATGGTAGAAAAAAACAAAAACAAACCAACTAATCACTTAAGTTCTTTGGACTACCGCAAAATGATGCACTACCACTAGGGGGAGAAGCTGCATCACTTTTGAATGAACAAGCATAATGGGCCTCAAAAACTGGTTTAATAGGCAAGGTTAATTAATAAGTTCAACCATCCACGTAGGTTCTTCTTATGTCCTAATAAAGTTGGAGAACATTTTCAAATTCACCTTCAACCTAGGGTTCTGGGAAACTGCTGGATATATACACAATGAAAGAGCGCCATCTGCTGTTAAAGTTAAACAAAAAAAAAACAAAAAAAAGGACTGCAGTATTTTTCTCCTGTTTTCTCCATCCTATTTATTGATAACTGTGAAATAAATCACTTAGTATCAGATATTGTTGATTATATGGAGGGCCATGTTAATACAATTATTCTCTTTGTAAGTGTAAACATACTCTTAATTTCTAATATCTTAATTTAAATTGCCTTTAATAGCTTTTCTATTACTATTCTGAAGCTGGTAAGGTGCTCACTGACATGTATCCAGTCTCACACAGTCTCTGCATGGTTAAAGCTGTCAGACTGTGATGTGGGTCACCTGGCACAGTGGAGCGCCCTGCCAGTTCTGCGTGACGAGCGCCTGCCTACGTGCACAGCAGAGGTGGGCATGATAGACAGATAGCTTAACTGCAGCTCTTTGGTGCTCACATTGTGGTCCTGTACTTTGAGAACAGCACAAATTAAAAAAGGAAGATATGGTGAGGGGGGGTGCACATATGCTGGAGTGTTTGTGTGGGAGGGCTGGCGGCGTTTATACATTTGTGGAGTAACTAAAGCCCCTAGGAGAGGGAGAAAATGCTCGGATTGGTGTGCACAACCACCCACACATCTACACACATGGAGGCTTAAAATTGGGATTATAAGCTATTTTTGTAGGTGTCAGTGGCAGGCCTTGTTTGTTTTCCATTCTCTGTCCTCCTTTGGATGATTATCTGATCTAAAAAGTGTGTATTTCCCTTTGATCCACAGTGTTTTCCATTCAACTCTCCCATGAGGCTGTTGGAGCTGCTTGGTCCATTCACTGGGCTCCATAATGAGCTGCTAATTATCCCCGGACCTCATCATCCCTTTAGGCCGGCCTCCTCCTCACAGGTTGGCATGGTGACCACTGATGGGACCTGCAGGATCAGGACAGCAAAGGCGCCGCAGACTCCTCAGGGCTCTGGAAGGAAAACACTCAGTGCTGTTACTTAATTAAGGAAAGGTGTGAGTTACATCATGCATAGTTTTAACTCCATCTATCTTTGTTATTGAGGTTTATAAATAGATGTATTTTGCTTGGTACAACTATATATGGGAATATTATGACCTTTCAAAAAGTTTTTGAGAGACCCTCTAGCAGCTGTGGGTCCTTCCCATTTCCTGTTTGTGGTGTCATGGAAACACTATATTCCATTTCCCTCCATGCTTTAGCACCAGGGCATAAAAATGTATGCTCCGCAGAGATATAGCAAGATGCCAGCGCTCAAACATCAACAGCAGCAGTGTTTGAGACTGCAGAGTTTGTGCCCAGAATTAGAAGTTCTCATGATGTACACGGGAAAAGAGCCAGTCAAATATTGCAGAGTTATGGCCTCGTTTATCATCATGGCCTTGGAGTAAAACATGTCTTAAAATGCCCTAATTCAAAGGCACCTCCAATTTCTTTTAGTTGCTAAGCAACGGCAGAGCAGCAGCGCGATGCTCTGAGTTCAGGACTCCGCTGTAAAACTGCCGTTTGTCTGAGGCACGGCCAGCTGACTGTGACAATGATACAGTGTCACTGCAGAGTAATTACCCACTTGGAGTCCACCAGCAAAATGATGTCCGCTGGAGTAACGTAGGTGTAATCTGACTGTATCACATTTACTTACTACACTATAGTCATTGTTTGTTTGTTTTTTTACATTTAATTGAAGAAATATACTCCACATACACCTCAAACTTAGGAACACTTTCTGCTTCTTAATGTATTAAAACCTCATTTAAATATAAAAGCACTGCTAAACTTAACAGGTGTCAAGACCTCAATATTATGCTTTGGCTGTGAGAAGTACTGTTTTCTATTATGAATATAAATGATGCTTAGACTTAATGAACTGACTACAGATGCCACACAGGAGTCCTTGGGTTTGCTTTGATCCATTCATTTGTTTCTTTGAATAAATTACCAACATGCTCATTAGATGTGTTTGATTTCCTTTGATTAGCACATTTAAAACCACAATCAATTCAGTTACAACACCCCAGTACTGAGAGTGTAATCTATGTTGCATCTGCCAGTACTCTGTGTTTTCTCAGTGTTTGTGCTCAATTACTGTGAAGCATTCCTAAGGCCTGTGCTGTAGCTGGGGCGCCCTGCGTATGGGTGATGAATGTGACGAAAACAAAGAGATCAGTTTAAGAAGGGGGAGGAGCCCCAGATCCCATCTATGACCTCAGACACCAGTCATTCATGTAAAAGCGAATAAACAACTCAATTTAGACACACTCTTGTACAAGATACTCAAACCACTGTACGTATGAAGGCACTTAGAAGTATAGATATCTCTTTGTAACTTTTTGCGTGGGTGGGATTCACAGAAAAAAAAGATTTCATTGTATAAAACCCCCAGCATGCAACAGTTGGGTAAAAACTAGCCAAACCCATGTGACCATTTCCCCAGACACGAGATGTTGAGCAAATACTAACAATAATTTTTGAAGGGCTTGATGTTATCTACATTCTCAATCTTGTGCGTAAGTAACCAGGCAATGTTCACACAGTGACAGGTGGATTGCAGTCTGACATTGTCATCTCATTATCAGCGGCTTGTCATTCGCTCTCACAGCTATCTGCATAAAGTGTGTGTCTGTGTGTGTGTGTGTCTATGTCTATGTTTGTGTGTGTGTGTGTGTATATTTTACTTGACTCAGTGCCTGCTGTCTGGAGACTGCAGCTACCTGAAAAACAGAGTGAAGAAAGTTTTTAATCAAAGCAAGAAATCAATGTGTTAATATAGAGTAGCGTTTCTTAATTAGTGTGCAACCTGTGGGGGTTATAATTCTACTTGTGAACCATTAGCAAATTATTCCCAAATATATGTTACACATATTTTTACATTTTGCACGTCATATGACCCCTAGTGCATGCTTCTTAATTTAATTTATAAAGTCTTAGGCACCTTAATATGTGACCATTTGATCTATAAACCTTAGACGCATCTATAGTATTTAGAATTGCTTTTAATGTTTAACTTTTTTCTCTATATGATTCATTGTTTTATAATTCTTCTATTATTTGTTTATTGCTTTTTTAACTTTTTTAATATTTGTTTTGTAAAGCATCTTTGAGTGTCCTGAAAAGCACAATAAAAATAAAATAAAATGTAATACTATTTTTGTACTCTTAAAATACTCAGTACAAAATGTTAAACTTTTACCTAGTTCATTTTGAGTTACCAACTTATCATTGCAAATCATTTTTTTCCAGTTTAGTGGTGATTTGGGATTTGGCTGCTCTTCCTAATGCAAACCTACTCATACTAATGACACTGAATTATAAAGTGATACCTACTACCTTTTAAACAAATGCTACCTTATCAGTGTTACTATTTCCGTAGCACAGACTTCCGCCTTTCATCTGCTTCCTCTTTGCAATGCAGACAGTTTCCATATGAAAATGTGTGTGACCATATTGTTTGCATGAGTCCGCAGTGCACTTCCTGGTCCCTGACAGTGCTCTGATAGGAATATCCTCTCCAGCTCTGGCCCACCTTTCCTCAGACGTCACTGCGTTTGCCAGGCACAGTCGCAACTGCAAAGGTGAGAGACACAAACATTGCATTATTGTTTGGTGCGAGTGAAGCACTTTTTATAGACAAAAATCTGTGATGATTAGCAGTAAACAAATCAGAGGGCATGTGTTAGGAGAGGAAGTTAACAGTTGTGTTCATCATAAGATCGTAACAGTCTAGATTTTCTACATTTTAACACTGAGCTGAAAGGCAGGACAGAATTTGATGATAGAATTTGCCAACAGATAAAGACTTGACATTGTTTATGGTTAATATCTCAGACAAAATAAACTGTTATTTGTCCCACAATGGGGAAATTACAATGTTGCAATGTAAAAAAAAAAAAAGCAGGAGAATAAGAACATGCAATCCAAATCAAGATAAATAACTATTAAAAGACCTAACAAAAGATATACAATCTAACACTGTGCCAGCAGAGCAAAACTATAAGATTACAGAACTTTTGGATAGTAAGTGGATATGACTATGGTTGTGTACAGAGCAACATATGGACAAGTATAAATAGCAGTTTAAGTGACTTAGGTTTATTATATTATGTACAATCTGCTCTCTAGAAACAAAAAAGTTCCAACATGTTCTCTATCAAAAAAATTTGCAATTTTTTCAAACGTCATGTTTCAATGTTTCAACGTCAATCATGTTTTTTGTCATTTGAAAGAACTTACAGCCATATGTTTATTATGGCAGGTTTTTGGACCTTACCGTGAAAAAATAATTACATCGTTCAGGATCATACGTTCTGATATTTCGTTCAAAAACAGTAAATCTCCCATCTGATGTCATCAAACTCTAAAACGTGAAACCTGACTATTGATACTTGACTCCCTGGGACTGTGGTGCTAACTACAGGCACTGCTCTGTCTGTGGCTTTGCTTGTCTATAGTTTAATCTGTCCTTACTTTACCACAGTCTGACCATAAAGCAGTGACTTAGCTGCAACAGGTGAGCTGAACTGTGCAGTTAAACAAGTAACGTTACAAAATAACTCAAATAACATTACGATCATAAGCATCTAGCATTAGGCAACAGTTTTTCATTAATTCTCACTCACCATTTTTGTAAAAACTCAAACACCTAAACAGGACCATGAACACACTGACCACTCCTGACTCCTAAAAATGTGTTGTTTTAATGAATTTAATAATTTCACTTGAATTTTCCAACAGCTTTAAATTTTTTTTGACAGTGCTTGCTAATGTGTGCATTGTGTTTCCATGGTAACTCCTAAACATTCCACCATTAGAGGTACATGTAGAACACCACCAGCATGATGGCACTGCAAAGTATCAATAGCAGGGATGCAAGCCACAGTGAACAAAAGCCTGTCTGGATCTCATTATGAACAAATGTATTCAGGTCCAGAGGCTGCCAAAGATAGAGGGAAACCATTTGCGAGGAGGCTTTGTATGCATTTGTTGTTCCAGTAATCAAGTCTCGACCTTGTTCTGAAATGCAGCTATTGATTTTAGTGATGGACACACAACCTGTCTGAGAGCTACCTCCATCTTAAGAGCTACCTAATGCATGGCTGGATATTATGCTTACTGTACAGTACTGTATCATTAGCTTCCATTAGTACCATTCCCATAAAGCGCAAATATAGGTGCTGGCAGCAGAATGCTTTGTGATTCATTGCTAATTTCCAGCCAATGTTTCATAATATTGGATCCAGATATGCTGCTCACTGCACCAAAAGGACCACTGATTCAGAATAAGGTGTGATATTTTAACATCAACACATCATGGCTGCTGTGTTTACTACTACTGTGCTGTTTACTCACTAGCCACCCACCTACAACTCTTCTTACAGGGTACACATCTATGACTTATGTAAGATCGTGTCTACGCTTATAGTATGCATCAAGCGCATCTAACACCCATATTTTTGTAAACTTTCACTTCTACATAACTATTGTCTTGAAATGACTGTATGTATACAGGTTTTCAGGATTTCTTCCCCTGTGTTACTCTCTGTTATGATGGAATTTTTGTGTTTAAAGTCTCTGTGAAATGTTTATTTCTCATAGCTGGGACCCTTGAACCTGACCTTATTTGGCTAGAATTATTTTTTTGAGAAGAATGGAGGCTCAGTTCAATTTAGATTTAGTCTTTTATAAGATATTGCTAAATCAGACTGATGTTATTACATTTTATATACAAAGATAATAATGATAATCAATTGTCATTATGAAAGGCCAGAGGTGGGACCAAGTCTTTGTTTTGAAAGTCTCAAGTAAGTCTCAAGTCTTTGACCTCAAGTCCGAGTCAAGTCCCAAGCAAGTCCAAGTCCAAGTCGAATCTCGAGTCACTGGCCCATAAGTCCAAGTCAAGTCCAAGTCGTCTGCTTTGAGCTTCAAGTAATTTCAAGTCTTTAAACCAAAGTACCAAATTTTTGCAATTTATGACTTTTAAACTCAATTGTACTTAAGAAATCATAGTACATTTATATATGAGTATAAAGAGTTGTAGAAATAAATTTTGTTAATTTTTCTTTTTAACTGTCTTGACGACTTAGGGTGAATCATTATGGTGAGAATAGAAAGAATTCAGATATAAAAGTGCTTCTCAAGTCTTCTCAAGTCACATGCCTCAAGTCCAAGTCGAGTCCCAAGTCTTAGTCCATTTTATCAAGTCAAGTCCTAAAATAGTGACTCACGTCTGACTTAAGTCCAAGTTCCCACTTGCAAGTCCCCACATCTGTGAAAGGCAAATTATAGAGTTGTATATTTTAAGAGCCCTTTGCTTCACTTTCATTATGTTACATTAATTGTTAGTATTTTGGTAACAGATTAAACCTATAATTGTTTTTGGATACCTTTCTTTCTTTTAATGGTCTGCTATGCTTGAATGTCTAACTTGCTCCTTGTTGATGTTATCCCCTTGTACATTTTCCACCAATCATCCCTGTGCTGTTTATAGCAGAATCACATAAAGGTGAAAAGTTGCAAACGCTCACAGGCAGGGATGAGTGAGAGACAGAGAGGGAGTGTGAGGAGAGGGAGGCGGTGCGTAGGGCGGTCTGTGCGTGTGTGCGCGCTTCTCTTCTGGATAACAGCATCTCTCCCTCTCTCCGTCCTGCACTCCGCTCCTCCCCTCTTCCCTCTCGGCATCTCTCCCACGCTCCCAGGACCCTCCCCTATAGCCTCCCGAGGTATCCAGCCTGCGCTCGTGCCTGCTATGTGCAATATGTCCTTGCTGTGACTGTTTGTGTTTTTCTATGTGTGTGTGTCTCTCTCTCTCCTCCCTGCAGCTGCGGTGGGCGTGCGAGCCTCTGACCCTCGATCGCCCACTTTCTTTCTTGTCTCTTCCTCTCTCTCTCTCTTACTCTCTTGTGTGTTTGGCTGCAGCTGCTTTTGGGGGCTATGGATGGACTGCGCTTACCTCCACTCATCGAGGAGGCACTGGACTCTACAGGTCTGTCATGTTGTTATGCTATGCCTATTTTTAGCCCACACCGCTGCACCGATATGATCACTAGAGAGCTTTATCGGCGTTGAGGGAAAACTCTTGAAGTACTGGATGGGAGGAGGTGGAGGAGGAGAGCTGGTCAGGTGGCACGGGGAGGTAGTTTTACTGTTGAAGCTGCTTTATTAGAAGCTGACAGACGAGTGGGCATTACACTCTGCGATGGCATCTGCGCGCGTTTGACGGAGCCTGCTTGCTGCCAGGTAATGGATGGATGTCTGCCAAACACACAACATTATGTAGCCAGTAGTTGCTGTGCTGTTTTGAGCCGCTGTAATGGATTCAATATGGAGTTATGCTATACTTTCTCGGTCCGGGAATGACTTTGCGTCTAGTTTCCAGCCATGATTACGAAGCTTTGTGGTATTTTGTGTTTGATGAAATGTTTAGATTCATACAGACGGTCACAGTGTGTTGGTGGTAGGAATGTGAGGAATGTTTTCTTCGTTTTGTCAGTGTTTTGAATGGGCGTGCACGCTCTGGACGCTTACATGCGGCCGGGAGGATGTTTATTGCCGTAGAGGGACGGAGGGTCAGCTGGCCTATGACCAGTGTGCAGGTTTCCAGAACGGGACTTCCTGTTGTCCTAAAACTGAACTTTTTAACTGAATTAACCAGTACTACTTACTAGGCATGCTTTGCTGAATAATGAAGTTAACCTAAAGCATGATGATGTACTTGAGTCTTCAGTAACAATAGAAATAGTGTGTTAGTATATGTATATTTGGACCAGTCTCTCTCAAACTGGTGATACTCTAACTCTGGGCCTTTTGCAGTTCATGTAGGCGCTAGTTTGTTTTGATTTTATCTGGTTTAAATGCATTTTAAGTTTGTTGAGCCTGCTTTTATCCTTGGTTAATCCTGGTTCAGTTCTGGGTTTGTTCTGAGTCAGTCCTGGTTTCGATTTTTGAATCAGGCTTGGTTTTATCCTGGTTTATTCGTGCTTATGTTCTGCCATAGTCCTAGTTTCGATCTAGGTTTCCACTTGACCTGATATTTTCTTTCAGGTACTCTATTCCAGTGTTTCCCAAACTTTTTTTTTTTTTCTGGGGACCCATAGTTTAAAAGTCACAAACCTTCGCAACCGAAATCAATAGACATTATTCGTAAATCACAAAATAAAGATGGATTTGACCATTATTGAACATTAATGAGGATATTTTATTGTTGACTGAGTGATCATGTCTTTCTGAACAATTAGTCTTACTCAAGATATTTAAACAATGAAAAACAGTAATTGAATCAGCATCTCTTGGACCCAGTCTTTGTGAAACAATGCTCTATTCTATCTATATTATTACATACAGTACATTTATTGTCTTTGTTTCTTGGCCATTACATTTTACTTACATTCACAGACAGTTGTTTTTTTCTATTTGCCCTCAAATGACCATGGCAACAGGCATAGTATCCCAGGAGGTCTTCTTCTTCCACTCTAACAAGCTAGTTCCTTTTATGCTATCCCAAGGGAGTTCTCCTTTTTCACCACCTCATCAAAAACATACCTGGAATTGTGTTTTGTTTCATTCACATGTTTGAGTA